CTCCGGTTGCAAAGGGTGGTGACGTCAAAAGTCACGTGACGTCGTCAGTCGCCCCTCCCAAACCCCTCTGCTCTGACGGGAAAAACTAAATATTGTTGGGGACAACCTTGGACTCGAACCCCCAACCCCGAGATTGATGATCTGACAGCGCAACTCTACCGACTGGGCTACTGGCTCGCACATATCAAGCTGAGAATGTATAATATATATAAACATTCGGTTGAAAAGGGTAAATTCCCGGCTTGATAAGTGCGAGCCAGTAGCCCAGTCGGTAGAGTTGCGCTCTCAGACCATTAATCTCGGGGTTTGGGGTTCGAGCCCCAGGTAGTCCCCAATAACATTTATTGTTTTCGTTTGTGGACAGGGGCGACGACTTGTGACTTTTGACGTCCCCACCCTTTTCAACCGTTGGTTTATATTATAAATTCCTGGTGCGATAAGTGCGAGTCAGTAGCCCACCCCGTAGAGTTGCGATCTCAGATCATTTATCTCGGGGATTGGTGTTCGAGCCCCAGGTTGTCCCATTCAACATTTTTTTTTTACGTCAGTGGGGAGGGGCGACTGACGACGATACGTGACTTTTGACGTCACCACCCTTTGCAACCGAATGTTTATATATTTTATAAATATCCGGTTTGATAAGTGCGAGTCAGTAGCCCAGTCGGTAGAGTTGCGCTCTCAGATCATTAATCTCGGGGTTTGGGGTTCGAGCCCAGGTAGTCCCCAACAACATTCATTTTTTTTCGTCAGTTGGGAGGGGCGACTGTCGACGACACGTGACTTTTGACGTCACCACCCTTTTCAACCGAATGTTTATATATATTATAAATTCTTAGCTTGATATGTGCGAGCCAGCAGCCCAGTCGGTAGAGTTCGGCTCTCAGATCATCAATCTCGGGGATGGGGGCTCGAGTCCAAGGTTGTCCCCAACAACGTTTTTTTTTCGTCAGAGCAGAGTGGTTGGGGAGGGGCGACTGACGACGACACGTGACTTTTGACGTTTCCACCCTTTGCAACCGGAGATTTATATATATAATAAATTCCCAGCTTGAAAAGTGCAAGCCGGTAGCAAGGGCGGATCCAGAACACAATTTTAGGGGGTGCCCAAAAAATTTTTTGGTCCCCCAAAAAGTGGGTCAAAAAAATTACGGCGTGGGGTTCGGGGCCCGCTTAAGGGCCCCGAAATTTTTTTGGATTCTAGATGCTCTGTGGTGCGATCTGAGGCAATTTCTGACCACTTTAACCAATGTTTTTTGAGGAAAAGATGGTGGTGTACTCATTGCCTGCCTTTATTGCGATGTCACATACAAAAAATTGGTTTCTTTTTGGGGGGGGGGGGCATGGCCCCCTTTGCCCCCCCCCCCCCCCGATCCGCCCTTGGCCGGTAGCCCTGTCGGTAGAGTTGCGCTCTCAGATCATAAATTTCGGGGCTGGGGGTTCGAGCCCTAGGTTGTCCCAAACAACATTTAATTTTTTTCGTCAGAGCAGAGGGGGTGGGGAGGGGTGACTGACTACGACACGTAACTTTTGACGTCACCACCTTTTGCAACCGGAGGTTATATATATTATATATTCCCGGCTTGATAATGCGAGCGAGTAGCCCAATCGGGAGAGTAGCGCTCTCACATCATATCTTATCGTTACCATGACACGTAGATATTCGCACCGTAAATGCAGTTGACTGCACGGGGGGGATGACGCCACGCAAACCCCGTCGAATTGCGCGCTACGACACGGACAATTCCGCCGGGCATGGCAGTGCGCGTAAATTAATAATTTTAGTCATGTCTTGGAAAAATATTTTTCTTCGTAGACACATTTTCTTGAAGCAAAACAATCCAACATCAATGTGGTAAAGAACAACAAACTAAATAAAACATTAAGGTCTAAAATACATAATTTTGTTGTTGATCGTCTGCCACTGTGCACTTCGTTTATATCTCCCGCCATACCGATCGATAATCAGAGGTCAGCGGTCACATGCATAATGCAAAATGCGTCCCAGTAATGGCGGGAAAGAAAGAGGGCGCCCTTTCGTAAACCGCGCTTGGATTTAACCAAGGGCAAGCCGATGTAATCATCATGGATTTCAGCAAAGCGTTTGACCTTGTTCCAAATCAGATTATTATCAAAGCTGAAACATGTTGGGATCTCTGGCTCTTTCCACGACTGGACAAAAAGATCTCAACAAGTAGTCCTAGAGGGCAGTTCATCCAATTCAATACCTGTGATATCAGGAGTGCCCCAGCCCCAGGGCACTGTTCTTGGACCGCTATACTCTTTACTTTGTGTCTCAACGACCTTCCGGAAGGAATATCATCTCAAGTGAGACTTCTTGCAGATGTGAAGTCCGAACTACGGAAGACAACCAGAAACTACAACACAACATCGATACTCTTTCATACCAAGAACAGCAGCTCAGTGGAACTTACTTCCTACAGATGTCAGGGAAGCTACTTCAGTGGAGTCCTTTAAGTCAAGGCTCCATGAGATGCAGTTGTCTTCAACACTAAGGGGGCCTACTAACAAAATTGTATAGGGACTCTTCTAGTCGTGCACCACGAGCCTGCAAACCGTATATTCCGTAAAGACAGATATTCTGGAATAAATGGTAGTGCCATCAGAACGATTTGTTTATTAGGCCAAAACAAAAAAAGTCTCCGGTTTCTGGTATGCGCGCGCGTCGCCGTAGCCATGCGCGTCGGCAAAATGAAAACTTTTTTTTCAATGAAAGATGATTTCTCAAAACCACCAAACTCACTGGTTTGAATGGAATCCTGCTGCTGCACAATTTTAACGTGTTTTTAGATTGGGTTATGGTCGAGAAGCTTTATGTGGCCTCTCTGGACTCCCATATATTTGCACTAAGTTTAGTCGGGCACCATTTGCAGTCATCAGCCGACATTTGAAGCAAAAAAATCAGGTAAAAAAAAAAAAAAGCCGCGTCGCCGCACCACTTTTTTGACAAACTCCATACCAGAAACAGGAGACTTTTTTTTGTGCATAAGATTCGGAGTGCCAATGCACAGACAATCAGACAGTCACGCCAGTAGTCATGCCAGTGCAGTGGCTAGGGCGATCGTGTAGTTACGGGCCCGGTTCCTATGAAAGGGAACAATTTATTTGACTTATCAGACTACATGTAGTTGGCGACATTAACAACATGCAGGTATGTCATAGATATAGGGCAGGGTTTCAAATTTTTGAGTGAAATTCGGGGGTAAAATGACGATGACAACGACAAAACGCAACACGAAAAAATAAAGATGACGACATGCGCGCTGAATCGGAGTCCGAGAACGCAATTCTTTCCTCTACCGAAGAAACTGTTCAAAATTACAAAAAAAAGTGTCATTAGAATTGAGAGAAGTCTGCTTTAGGTTAAAAAAGCTCATTTTTGAGTGATAACAAACCCTGGACTCTAATTTGATCGAAACTAAACAGAGGCCCTACGGGTGCACGCCTGTAAATAGGCCAAAAATCCGTTCGCCGAGCTCAGGAATAAAAGTTATTCCCTCAAAATGTTCTATATTAGAGAGTTTTGAGAGCCATAAAATTGGGGAATTAAAGAGATATGGTAATGAACCTCTGGCTCGGACTTGGGGCTTCCAATTCTGAGCATGCTATTGGGCTCGAAAGTGGCGCAATTTTGCCATGTTGTGGCGGGATCCTTTTTCAAGATGGCTATATACTTTTCCGCTTTGGGGAAAATAGGCAACCTCGTCCCCAGTGCTTACTTTATTTCCAACTGCGTTTCCAATAGTAAACCCTGGATAGGAAACTTTCTTCCTGTATCCTGATTGGATACCGCAATTGGCTAGTAATGTATTTTTATCGTGTACTTGGTGCTATTATTCACAACGTGCAGTACGTGTTTTCGCGATCATTCGTCCACGCCTTCTCGAAAATACTAATTTCCTTTCCAATTTGCTCATATTAATATGAAATATGATACTGCATGTTGTCTCGATAAGATCGTAACAATTTGATTTCAAAAATCGTGTTTTCGCAACTCACGCCGTGCTTGCGCTGCTACGAATTGACTCTGTGTTTACCCCAGAAACCGCATACAAAAACAAACGCTAATGTGTAACGCATATCCAGGCACCAGACTGTTCCTCATTTGCATACGTGTTCAAAAATCTTGCACATGCAAATGATCCAATACCAGGGTGAGAGAGCAGGTTTGCCCCCCTACACTACACGATCGCCATGGCTATAGACCCGTGAACGCTCATATATCTGGACTGTACAGTAGGCGTTCGTATGGGCTCCATGCCCTTCTACTTCTTTGGAATGACAAATCCTATGCCACTCGAAGTTCTTGGATTGATATAAGCTCTTATGCAAGTTCTGATCATCCAGTGCAGTGTAAGTGGAAGGTCTCCAACCTGGATTTCGAGCATGTCGCAAGTCCAGAGAATATAAACAAACGCTATGAAATGCCTCTATGTGTGAACAGATTTGTAATGGCATATAGAGTTTCATGCTTTTATCACAAAGTGCACAATTATGTCCCTGTATGCAGCTCCTCTAGTAGTTCTAAAGTCCGTTTGTCCGTGGCAAAATGGTTTTCAGTCCGTTGATATTCAATGACGAAATCAGTATTCATCATTTGGTCATTTTGGGAATACGTTCCTTTGTGACACTAATCAGTCCATTTTAACTGACAAAAGAAGACGTTCACAACGGACAAACAAACCTTTCGCTATGCGCCTGAAAAGCGGATGGTCACTTTGAGCTTCTGTACATAATTATTTCGAGGGAACGAAATAATGTTTCGAGGGAACGAAATGATTTCGAGAGAACAAAATAATATTTCGAGAGAACGAAATAAAAAAACAACAATCATCATGCCTGTCCCTTGAGGGGCTCCGTTCTTTAGGGGCTCCATACCTTATTGATTGCATTGCTCGTTCTCCCCCGCCCCCCGAAAAATATTGATAAACATTGCTAAATCTCAACGTACTTTTTGCATTGACACTACTTTAATTCCCCTTTTTAATTCATTTATTCGTTCATTCGTTTATTCCTTTATTTATATTTAAATTAATTTCTTGGTATATTCGTCTTTTCACAGTTTCTTTTCTTCATAATTTTTTCTTCATCAACACCCAATGTCCTATAATTCACCTTAGCGTATAATGCCCGTTTACCAACCTGCCGTAAGCGGCGCCCTTCCTTCCCCGTAGCCCCAATTTGATGACGTCATCGTGTTTCACAGGACACCGTACAAATAGATACCCAGTGTCCTGTCTGCTCTATATCTTTGCACCTACAGTCCTACGTAAAATGCCTCATAGAGGAGAGTGGCGCAAATGTTTACATCTGTCCTCCCATTAATATGGGGCATCGTGATCAGCAGTTTCTTCTTTTGCTGAGCATAAAACTTATCTGGATAGATGATAGCCGAAAGGCCAGTCCAAAAGGAGGGGAGGGGTTATTAGTATATGATGAATAATCAATTAGTAATATAAAAAAACTAACATGAAATTGGTGCATTATGGAATAAAAAACAAACCCACAATCTTCTGTCATCAAGAGGCCCCACAGGAAGCTCAGAGGAACGCCCGAAGCTATACTACTGGTGTCTATTATCTAGTTGCTACTATAGGGCTATATTTATTCACCCAAGTCGGCAGTCAATCAAAGTATCAAGGAGGATTAATTGTAAGTTAGAAGTCACTACCAAATCAAGCTGGATCAAGTTTGGATACAGACATTTCCAATGGACAGCCAACAAGTTCATATTAGGGCACCCCACCCATGCATGCATGGGAGTCGCCAGGATTTGTTTTAAGGGGGGGGGGGGGGGCAAAGCACATTTCGCCCCAAAATCCTTTTACTTTCGCTAGATGATATTCTCAATTTATCATTTGTTCTGGGGTGGGGAGGGGTGGGGACCTCCCGACGCCCATGCGTGCATAATGGAGATGGTCACTTAGATGCTGCATAATGGTCAAGTTTCTCGAATTTGCCAAAAGAAAAATAAATAAAACCTGAATGTTTACCCGAACGTTACCGTTTTGTTTTGTCCACAGATTCTGATGACATCTCACATGCTATTGACAAACAATTTTTTTCTAGAAGACAACAATGTTCAAGATATTTAATTTCAGAAGTTTCTACGAGACAGATAATAATGTAGTAGGTCACTCCTTTTGCTCGATCTAAAAAATCAATGAAAAATTCATAATCCATTACTAATTAACTTTAAACATTCTTGTGTCAGTATCCATTGATTGTTCTCATTTCACTGCACTATGGGTTGGACCTAACCTAATCTTTGGATCTTTCGTCTCATCCGTCTTAGCCTTTTCCCGTGAATTCGGAGAGTCTTAACGATCCTTTCTTGGCATCACACGCACAAAGACATTTTGTGGCTCCAGCATTGTCATCTTCCCGAACGTCAGAGGGATCTACGTGAGGAGGGAAAAAGATAAAGTCATACACGTATGGTGTTTTGCATGAAGTGGTGGCGTAAATGACGTCTTTCGTTACCAAACCCTTCTACAGGGGTGTCTAACAAAACCGAACCCTCTCACAGCCCCCCTCTCTTTCACAGCTTGAAAGAAATACCTCGCAATGTATCGAAACATTATGCGGAGAGTATTATACTATAGTTCATTTGCTTTTCAGTTTTCACCAACGAGAAAATCGTGCCAATGGGGTAAATTCTTATTCATTTTATTGAGTTGTGGCCAATTCAAAATAAGTGCCGATTTTTCAATCTGTCCACGGCCTCATCATTGTCATTTGTAGGGATGTAAAAATGATTTGGAGTGAGGCTGTTTTTGCTTTAGCCCTAGCCCGACTGCCATTGTTAACAAGGCTACCAAGTGCCGTCTGGTGCCAATCATTTATCATGATTGTGACTTCGTATTCATGAGATGGGGATCAACACTACGTGAGTTCGGACTTCAACCAATCACCAGTGCGTTGAAGTTTAATTTAAAAAACAACTTGGCCTATATAGAATCTGCAAGCAAATTCATCGAAAAATTGTACTGTCTGAAAGTAAGTGAACAGTTAGTAATGGCCAGGAGTTGTGTACAACATAAATGATTATTTTGTCCAAGCAGTACAATTTTCAAGACGTGAAAAATCAGACATATTTTCCAGTTAGTGTTTTAGGATAGCATGCAAGTCTGACGCTGTTCACAGTGACGGTGACCGCTCGATTGTCCGACGGTTCGATTGTCCGAATGTTCGATAGTCCGAAGGTTGAAAAGTCCGAAGGTTCGAGATCCGAAGGGCTCCTTATATAATCCGAAAACAGAATGAAGTTAAATAATGAAAGGTTCGGCGGCCCAAAGAAACGATTAAGTTCGATAGTCCAAATCGACAATAAGGTTCGACTGTCCGAATTGAGCATTATAAATGAACATTATAATTATATGGACTAGCGTGCCTGAATTCGCAAAGTATAAACAAATCGGTGTTTCAGGGAAATCCGAAAGCGGATTAATGAACCTTCAGGCTATTGAACATTGTTTTTCGTTTCGGACTGTTGAACCTTCGGACTAATATTTGGACCACCGAACCTTCGGACAAATGAACCTTCGGATTATCGAACCTTCGAACTATCGCATCAAATGCTGGGATTTACGAACCTCATTTCATTTTCGGACTAATATCCCCGGCTGTGGGAAATTTGTGTATTCGGACTACATATCGACCCTTTGGATCAATAACCCTTTGGACTACGGAGCCTTCGTATAGTGACATAACAAGAGGCGAATATCATCAGTCGACAGAGGCAGTCGGACTACTGCTGCACCTATACAGCTATACCGGCGCAGTCCTATAACTTACCGGCGTTTCAGGGCATGCCTCGAAGCGGTATTTCTGGAAGACGCGGGTCATGAAGACCTTTGCGAGGAGCATGACGAATTTGACGGCGATGCAGATACGTGGACCGGCGCCGAAGACAATCCACCCCAGTGGGTTGACAGAGTCCTTATTCTGGGGGCTGAATCTGAAAATGTAGAAACAGGGAATAGGTTAGCACGGACATCCAGGAACTTCTGAAAATCTCCTTATTTTGTTCCTAAACCTGTTTTTCATTTTAAACTGAATGGTTCAAGTTTGGAGTGATGTATGATTACCCATAGCTACCTGTGAAAGTTCACGTGCTAATGAAAAGATGCTTTCACCGGCTGACATAATCCTTCGCTGCCCTATATGGCTTCATGTACATTAAGTGTCATTTAGCACCCAGTCAGAGGGGGTTAAAAACGCCATATCCCACATCACAGCGGCCAACCATTGTTTTGCCATATCTTGCTTATTGGTCGGGCGATGCCCGGACGGTGATTTGCTCCCCCAACTCTCCACCCTGACACCAAGCCTGGACACACTGATGCCCAAAGCCCATTTGCCAATTTCATGTTTCAGATTTTCTTCAGTTTCCGTATACCTTTCCGGATCAAACTTCTCTGGGTCTGCCCAGATGTCTCCATCATGTTGAATGGGATAAAACGGGATGTTGACCAGAAGTCCTTTCTTCAGGGTGTACTTGCCATAGGTAACAGTCTCTGCGCAGACACGGTCAGCTCTATAGCGACAATCAAAAACAATCAGAAAAACAAACTTAATTGAAAATTGTATTTTTTTTGTATTAGAAAGACACTTTGTGGTCAAGGACAGGGTTCTTTTTCAGTGCTGGTCCGTATATTTGTAGGTGTGGCACCATCACCCCCCCCCCCGAAAATATATTTCAGTAAATAAATTGCATCTTTAAATGCACATCCCTCGTTGAGAGGCAAGGGCGGATCCAGTTTTTACTGGGACGGGGGTAGCTGTCAAGGGGAAGTTTAGCAGGAATATCCTATTTGTTGCGGGAGAGGGGAGGGGAGAGTTGGGGTCATTTGGGATTGATCTAGCACTCGATGGATTTGAAACGTCTTTCTTCCCTTTCAATTAAATGTGCAACCCTGTTTGCCACCCCCTTCAATGAAGCCATAGACAACAGGGGCGGATCAATGCAGGTTGGGATCAAGGGGATGGGGTTGCTGACAAGCTGACAAGAGGGGATTTAGCTGACAAGTTGGGGATTTAGCTGACAAATTGGGGGTTGAGCTGACAATAGGTGGGTTTAGCTGACAAGAGGTGGTTTAGCTGACAAGAGGTAGGTTTAGCTGACAAGAGGTTGGTTTAGCTGACAAGAGGGGGTTTAGCTGACAAGAGGGGATTTACCTGACAAGAGAGGGTTAAGCTGACAAAAGGGGGTTTTGCTGACAAGTTGGGGATTTAGCTGACAAGAGGAGGTTTAGCTAACAATTTGGGGATTAAGATGACAAGAGGGGGTTTAGTTGATAAGAGGGGTTTGGCTAATAAGCGGGGGTTTAGCTAACGAGGAGGTTTAAGCTGACCAGAGGGGGATTTAACTAGCTGATAAGAGGGGGTTTAGCTGATAAGAGGGGGTTAAGCTGGCGAGGAGGTTTTAGCTGACAAGAGGGGGATTTAACTAGTTGATAAGGTTTAGCTGACAAGATGATTTGCCCATTTGTCCCAAGACTGGGGGGGGGGGGGGGTTAAATCTCCCTGCCTCTGAAAAATGGCAAGGGACTCACAGTAAGGTTGGTGGGTACATGCGGAAGCACTCCTGTATCACCATTTCTAGGTACGTCATTTTGCTCATGGTCTCGTAGGTAATGTCTTCGGGTGTCGGTGCAAGCCTGTCGATCTCTTCAATCATCTTGTCCTGTACTTCGGGACTCAGTGCGAGCTGATAGGTTGCGCATACCAGGAATGTCGACGTTGCCTCGTTGCCTCCAGACAGTAAGATTACATTCTGTCGACAATGGGGAAAAAGTCCCACCAATGCATTGAATCTTTTTTAAAGGCATGGGGGATCGTTAGCATTTATCAGCTCTGTAATTTTTTTTTTCGTAGAAATATCTTTAAAATAATCTGAAACCCTCCCCCTTGCTCTGACACCCAAAAAATTATACTGGTAATAATGTTTCGCCTGTGCACAAAATACGGACAGAGCCAGTGTTAAATATATGGATAGTGTTAATAATCGTCGGATTTGAAAAGTGCCCCCATTGAAAGTATGGTACGATACCCCTCCCACCCCCCTATTGATTTTCGGAGGCCAAGTGTCCGGAGAAAAAACCTGTCTACATTTCAATGTTTTTGCTGATCAAACCCCCCCCCCGCGAAAATTCCTGGATCCGCCCCTCATAAGAGTCCAGTTTTCACACAATACACCGGCTCCATGTCATAATGACCTTGAAACAATAGCTTTGTACTATCAAATGAGCAGCTCATTGGCAAACTTGTAGTGAAGTCAGTTCATTGAACATTTACCGCGCAGAGGAACTCGTTGTAGGTAAGTTTCTTCGGTTTACCGGCAGCCTCCTTGGCCAGCTCTTCTTCAGTCGGAACATCTCCTGGAAACTCTGTGTTCTTCTGGTACATTTCATTCATGGTAACATACTGTAAGTTAGAAAAAAAACCTAAAAGTCAATTATTAGTACTGTGATCATCTGGCAAGAGAAGTAGGCCTACCCTGGGGAAATCTCCCCGTACTCTAAAGAGATGATGTCGCTCCTGTGACTTGGTTTTGCTAATGAACTTTTATTAAAAGAAATTCAATGTTACATTGGTATTTTTTACGTCAATTATTGGTCTCTTTCTTATCATTGTCATTATATTTCACCTACCCCTGCGGCACCCTCGCGCCGCTGTCGTATCTGGACTCCTCCTTGAAAAGAATCCTCTATGATTTTCTTGAAGAAGTTCACCGCGTCTTTAGGGATAATGTTGGACCCCATCATTTCGAAAAGCGGTCCCAGTATTGGAAAGATGACTGTAAATAGATAAAACACCAATTATTTGCGGGTTCAGGAAATAATTAGTTTTTGGAATATGTTCCCATTTATGATGTTCGACTGCTTTGGATTGATGTAAAAAGTACTTAATGACACTGAGAGGTCTCCCTTGTTTTGAGTTTGTTTTGAAGGAAAACGTCAACCCTTTGGCTACGGCTTGCAGTATACACACGTTTCTATGGCAACACAGTGCAGCCGGCTTTGGCCACATCACATTGACTTGTAAGCCGCAGCCTCAGACACGGCCTTAATACCAAGTTTTGTGTCTGTAGTCTGGTTCCTATGAAAAACTAATACTTACTTGGGATCAACGTGATCATGGATGGCTGGAATGCTTTCTCCACCTTGGTCACAAACGGATGGTCAAGATTGGCCTGACACTGGACATCCAGACCGTAGATAATAGCCATGATGGTTTGGATGAAGAAGCCCAGATAATTCCTGGGAATACAGACAGAAATGGTAACTGAAGCATTACAGGGCACAAAAATGTTTTGTAAACCAATTTGATTTTTTTTTTTTTTTAATTTTTTTATTTGCCAAAAAGACTTCATCTCAGCAAAAAAAACCATGTTTTTAAATAAGACATTACAAAAATTGAGTAGTGGATTATCTAAACTAACTGCATGAGAAAAATGTTTTGGTTTTATTGGTTGAAGAATTGGTCCATCCAAGGAACTAGATAACTTGTTCTGTTCTTTGAGGAGACCCGCACTTACTTCTTTGTGTTGAGCGGTTTGTTTTCGGCGTGAGACTTTCCCATGTTGTCCAGGAGAGGGCCGCAACAATCGCTGAATATTTCCACCATCTGAATATAAGTACAGAAAGAAAGCCAAATAAATTATGTATGACACCTTTCCATGGGTATGGTGTATACATGTCGAATTCGCCTACCAGTTTGTCCGACTGGAATGTAATAAGGCATAGTCACACCAATCCCAGATATCCTTTCTATCGAACGTTTCTATTGGGCAACAACGGTGGGTTGTATAACTTTCGACTAACCACAACGCTCAATAGATCGTTTATGTTTCAGTCATCTTTGATGTGTGTGCTTTAAATCTGTGCAAAAGGGATACACATAAGTATGACCTCTTGTGCAGTCGTTAACATAATTATATAGCAAAACACACATCAAAGATGTGTGCTGAGTGCAATTGAAATACAAAAAAAATTAACATACAGATTAACGGTAGCAACATTGTGACAAATCTCTCTTGTGAGTTTGTGAGGTTCTGGAAAGAACCGAGGAAACTGAGGTTCTGAAAAGAGCCACACGGTTTTTTTTCTTCAAAACCTCACATACTCACAAAAAAGATTTGTCATATGGTGCTTCCATTAATCGTTATGCTATTGTTGTCTTCACCGTGCAAACCTTCAAATCCTATGTTTCCCCGTACAGGTGTCACTTGGCAGATTGTCAACCATTGCTTGTACTCACAGTTGGTACAACCTTTGTACTCGGACATAATTAAATAATAACAATACATGTAATAATATAATGTGTACATGTACTTATAAAGCGCGCTTATTATAGACCATTATTATATTGCGGCCATTTGGATTTTTCCCATTCCAATCAACGTTACCAAAAAGAGGCTGGAAGGAAAAATAGTCTGGTTCCTTTTTGCGCAAAAAAAATTAGCATTCAGTACTGTAATTGGAGACAGCGAACATGACTGAAATGGTGGCAGCATGATAAAGGTCTATTGATGCTCAAAGCGCTACATCATTATTACGCTGCTCAATTGGGCAAGTGAACCATTCCAAAGACAATCTCAGCTCCCTGGGCGCAAGGCAGCTAAATCATGCATCTCTTTTCTCACAGGAGAAGCAATGAGTGACAAAGTGCCTTAGGCCTACCCAAGGGCACACGCACCGCAATCCCAGGCTTGACTGGAACCTAATTACCCTCGACCACGAATTCAATGCATGCCACGGCCCCAACCCTGGCTATTCGGTTTGAAATGTTTAATGCTGTTTATACCTGTCTGAGCTTGCTTGCGGTGAATGCTGGTGTGATGATGGCACGGACGTCTTTCCATCGTCGGCCTTTCATGTAAAGCAAAGTACCATTCAGTGGGAAACCGGCAGCAGGAATGTCCTGTTATGCGTCAACAGAGTAAAATGACCAACAGACGCATTGCAGTATTGTAAGTTCAGCTCGAGAATAACTAGACTCCCCTCCCTCAAAATAAATAAATTAGCCTCTTTCATCACGTATTAATTCTGTACGACATTCAGTTGGATATCTTGGCCCTTTGGCTTGTTCGAAAATTATCGGCCGGGTTGGATATTTGTACGATATTCAGTTGGATATCCCGGCCTATTAGGCTTACAGTGGTTCGGGAACTGCAGGACGGGTTTAGGTATTTGTAGTACGATATTCAGTTGGAAACCTATAGCCCTATTAGGCTTACCCTTTGGAACGGGAACTATAGGGCGGGTTACTGTACGATATTCAGTTCGATATCTAGGCCCTATTAGACTGGTTCGGGAACTACAGGACGGGTTGGATATTTGAACGATATTCAGTCGGATATCTAGAGGCTCAATTAAGGTTTAACCTGTGATTCGGAAACTATACGGGACAGGTTGGATAATTTTGAGCAATATTCAGTTTGATATCTGGGCCCAATTTATCTTACCCAGTGGTTCGGAAACTTGTTGAAATCGGTCACCAGAACCCTTTTCGCGATGTCAATATCCGACACAAAGAGAATCGGGTATTGGAATTTGTATATTCTGCAAGGAGAAGAAAAATCAAGTTTAATACTCCAGTCTCACTCCTTCAACAAGCTTCAACACGTATTCACATTCTTTGGTTTTATTTTCTACTTTATCTTAGACCCCTTTACACAGGACTGCGACCTTTGGGCCTCCCTTGTGCGGCCATAAAACTGGCCAGGTCGCCGTTGGAGGCTCAAAGGAGGCCGAATGGTTGCCTAGGTCGTTCAATTAAAGGTGGTACACAGGATGTTCAAACATCGCCATGGACGCCATGGTCGCCGTAAATTTTTGAACATGTTCAAAACAGTCGCACAAAGGTCGCCAAGGAGGTTGGTTGCTCAAAGGTGGCTCAAATGAGGCAGAAGGGAGGCACAAGCATTGCCGTGGTTGCAGAATGGTTGCACAATGGTCGGCCAATGGTCGCCACGTAAATAGATCCGTTCTGTTGCAAATTTTACCGTCAATCTGGGCGATGCTTCCGCCTCCCTTGTGCCTCAAGGGTCGCCTATGAGGCAGAAGCATGGCTGAATGGTCGACCAGTGATCGCCGTTAGTTGCCGTTGGTCGCCGAAGATGGCACAGAGGAGGCACAATATGGCTGCCCAAACATTGCTCGGGGTCGGTTATGTTGTCTATAATCGCGTTGGTTGCCGTAAGTTGCACAGGGGAAGCACAGGGGAGGCAGGCAAGACGTGGCTCAGTGGACGCACAGGTCGCTCGTAGCTGACATGAAAATGCCCGGAAAATTGCAGTTTAGGTGGTTCAAGGGAGGAACAAGGATCGCTGGAGCAGTTACATAAAAACCCGATTTTCTGGGTTTAGGCGACCATTGAGCGTCCAAAGGTGGTGCAAAGGTCGCAGCCAGGTGTACAGGGGGCCTTAGTGCTTACTGGCCTTTGGATTCCAGAGATCGATATTATAGGCTAATGCCTTTTTCTTTTGAGCAATGCCAAAAATAGCGGGATCAAAGTATCGCATATCAAAAAAGTGCCCAAAGGTCAGCCAGCGTGGAAAGATTATATATTAGGCATATAATGTGGTTCAATTGCACTGAGAAACACACTGGAAACCCATTCCGTCTTGCTTGAGTTCCATTTAGGATAAGGCCTTCCAGTATGGAAGAAATTGTAGATTCTTCCTAGAACGAATTCTTCTCAGAAAAATAAACAGATTCTTCTTCCCAGAACGAATGGGAACAAAATTAATCTTACCCAACTACTTTTCCATATTTCATGACGCATTCCTCGGCATAGAGGTTGTTGCCTTTCTGAAATGTGGAAGGGATTTCATTTGAGCATGGTCATCAAATAGGTCATAATCAAAGTCAAAAATTCATATCGACATTTCGTCGAGTTTGGGAAAGAGACGAACCTTCCGACGACGAACCAACAGGACGGTGAGGTCCTTTGCCCTTTTAGTCAAAATTTTTCTCGCCAAACTCGAAGTTGTTCTTGGAAGAATTTGAAAATGAGTATACAGTTTTTTGTTTTATTTAAATTCATCACAGTAAGTGCCCGAAAGCGACAAATATGACACAAAATTAAAGCTGATGTCATCAACATTAAATATTGTTGTTGTTCGTTTGGCATCCAAAAGGCCTAAGAAAAGAATTAAATGCCAATCAATGGATACAAACACACGCTCGTGTAATTCGAAGAGAATCTTTTCCATTCACTGTCTTTGGTCAAACTGATCGATTTGGACTATTAAAACCGGGATTAACATTGACATTCATAACTGAACTGAAACAACGTCCAACACTTCTGTTGCGCCCCATCCAGGGGCGTAAATCGCTTCACAAAAGTGGGGGGGGGGGACATACTGTGGTCAGAACCAATGCGAGCGCGAACCTCGAAGCCCTTACGGCCCGAAAATAATTGGATTCTAGATGCTCTATAATCATTGAATCAGCTATTATATTCTGAGCTAAAGGCGTGGGATTTGGGGCCCGCTTAAGGGCCCCAAAAATTTGGGATTCTATAGATGCTCTGTGGTGCTATCTGAGCCAATTTCTGACCACTTTAACCAATATTTTTGATCGAAAGGGACATTTGATATTCAAAGAGTGTGTGTGAAGGGGGGGGGGGGGGGGGCAGGGGACATGCCCCCCCCCCCCGCACAGGATTGACGCCCATGGCCCCATCACCCTACGTTTGTCACAAAAACAAACGCCATACGTCTAGTTTTTCTTCTCCCCTTCCCCCCTTTAACTTTACTATGCATCTAAAAACATTTTGTTTAACTTACCCTCAACCAGTCGATGGCATTGCCCACGATAGGGTAGTATGGGACCACAGGAATTCCCGCCCTTTGGAAAAACTGATGGCACCACCAGTCATAGCTGCATGTGAAAAAAATGTGTTGAGCATCGGAGCAACACAAACCACTATTTAGTCTGTAAACTACGGGTAATGTTAAAAAATGTTCCTTAACTAAATAAAATAATGGCATGTGATAAATTAAGGGCATATATAGGGTTGTTTGCGTTTCATGCATTTTGTCGTTTCCAAAAAAAAGGTAAAGAAGAATGTTCCAAACCTCACCCGTTGAAATTTCAGCTCAGTGGATATAAACACTGTTTATATATACTGAAAAACTGAAACTGAAAAACCATGCACAACCTTTAATTAGATCAAGAAACACAAATTACATGTATGTGGCACTCTATAATTCAAAAACAACCCAGTCAGTTGACTGATCGTCAGAAAAGCACCTATATTTCTTGATTTTTTTTTCTCGTAAATGACAGCAAACCAGACGGAATAACTTCACGGGGTGTTTAGACTGTAGGACGATTTTAATCCAAATTAGATTGTTAACCGTCATTGAAAAATTCAAAAGCTTCAAAACCTTACGCCAAAAAGATGAGGATGGCACCAATTGCGAGGGTCCAAGTCACGGAAAAAGAATCGCCGAATATCCAGAACGCCATTTTGAATCGAAACGGTGTACGACGTCTCTTGTGTGCTGGCTGTATCAGACACTGCACTGACTGCCATCAAGCGAAGACATTCGTGAACAGACATTGCCAAAAGGGGCAGGTCAAGTATATTTTTATCTCAAAGAGTTATATTTGTCCTTTTTCATTGTGAGTTTATCGCGAAAAAGTGCGCCGGTGTCAACTTTGGAACGCCGAGTTCACCTCGGTGGGTGGCAAATCTATGCCCGACGGTGAAAATGTTGTGACCTGTTTTGGGCGTAATACAGGGTGAATAAAAAAAAAAACGAAACCCAAATATCGGGACAGTTATTGTTTTAGTGAAGTTCTGCATGTAGCACTTTAGCCCAAAATAAACGAAACCAAAATGTCGGGACTATTGTTTTAATGAAATTCTGCATGTAACACTTCTAAAATATAGAAAGCCCAATTCATAAGCTTTCTTTTAGTACAAGAATCATTCAAGTCACTTATGTAATTTTTAAGTTACGGAATTTTAAACACAACCACCGTTTTTAAGTTCTGTCCACGGATCGCCATATTTTCAATGGGGAGCGCCGATAAAATCCTAAAATCAGGCACACTATATTATCTACAAATGCACCTTGTCACGACTATTTCTTTAGGGGGAGACCGTTCGCATGTACATCACAATCCTTCTTTTTGCTAATGCAATTTTGTTTACGGATTTTTTTTGGGGGGGGGGGGGGGGGGGGGCTAGACAAAAAAAAAATTGGGGAGGGGGGCTAAAGACCCCCCTAGCCCCCCCCCCCAAAAAAAATGGTTCACAGGTCACCATGCATGTCCCAACCAACGCCATTTACTTCCAAGAGAAATGAGAAAAAAAACAGGTCTGAAGAAAAGAATAATGTAGGCCTACACAAGCTATGATAATTATGAAGGTGAACGAGACAATAACTATTGATAGCTATGAACTACATTAATGAGAGAGATCTTGATGGGATCGAAATGCCAAACCCTTTAACTGTTTACGGGTTTGTGAACATTTTTCATATATGGTGTTAAGAAGAAAAGGATTTTCGACATGGAAATGGAATCATTACTATATACTGGCTCTGGATTTTAAAGCAAACATTTGAATCAATGTCAAGTGCTTCGTTATCTTGAGCAGTGCAGTTGGCCCGTTGAACATTGAAGTTGAAAAATTCGATTTTTCCAGAACCCCCAGATTATCAGATTTAATTCATGCCAAGATTACCATTAGTACGAATGGGACGCGTTTGCTACGCCTAGTGACTGAATGTTTTTTTTTGGGGGGGGGGGGGGGTATTCGGAACTGGAACATTCATTTGTATATATAGTGCATGATAAATTTGGGGGCCTTTGGTGTGGATTTTTGATCTTTGAACGGGGTCTGACCTACACGGGTGCCACAGTGAACCGAAAAGGTCAAAATAGTTTGACTAAATTTATATACACAATTCACACATTTTTTGGGGTTGGGGGGGGGGGGGGACGCTATGTGTGGCTGGGTGTGGCTTTCCACTATTACCGGACGCTCCGTCCCGCTTTGGTATCTGGCACAATGGACTCTTTTTAATAGGCCATGATTGGTAGACAATACACAGGACGAAAATCTATCAATTATTCCGAATTCGCTCCACAGACTCAATTATAATTTGTATATTTCACCCCCCCCCCCCCACCCTACCCCCCCCCCCCCCCAAAGAAAGATAAAAAACACTCACATCTCGTTTATGGCATAATTATGGTGCGAATCGAGGATTTCCTACTGTTCCTCATCATAGATCTTTTGCTCATAAATTTTTGCACCATCTCCCGTTGGCTTTGTACGCGTTTTCTAATCGAGGACGTCCTCGATTTGACTTCTGTCCGGTTAGTGTCACAATATAATTCAGTGGACCCTCGATTTACACCATAAACAAACCCACACACGTGCTGTTTAATCAACATGACCATTATGGTCGGACTCAGTTGACGATAAACATTTCGTGCATCAAAATTGTACTTTGGATCAGCAGTTACAAAGTAATCACGTTAAAGGCTACCATTTTCAACCTATATTGGTGGCTGATGGTCGTATTTACTCTCAAGATAAAGACTTTATTTCCATACCCCAGAGTCAACAGCTCTGTCTATCAAGGTGACATGACTTTGTTCTCTGATCGAGTCGAGTGTCTGGCGAACATTATTAAGTTTCTGGTTTTCTAAACAAACTTTGTTCAAATGGAAATCAAAACAAGAATATGCAAGTCTGGTAAAGTTGGTCTCAGAACGCAGAAATAGTCGATTCAGATCAAAGTTTTCACTGCATTGAAGCATTGCTCTATAGCATGTTTTTTAAGTTATACCCACGCCCACTACGGGAAGGAGGGTGGTAATGGATCTGCAGCAAAGTTTGAGATAAGATGGAAGTCCCAGGCTCGTAAATCTTTTATGAGAATTATCGCACCACTTTGTGTTTATTATCATTGGTGATGACTTTACGCTGGGTTCTGTCTCAGTCGCGCCAACCCAGCCCCCCCCCCCCCCCCCCCGGCCCGCCCCCCTCGCCCCTGGCGCTGACCGTGACATGCAATTGATGCGTTTCAAAGTAGGACAGGCAGTGCCTCTTTGTTTTAAAGCTGGAGGCAAAACGGATACATTCTTGACTTTGGGTCACTGTTTCTCATTCAAGTTCTTTTACAAACGACGAAGATTAAAAAAAAAAAAAACAAGCTCGAATCGGGCGCACTGCCTCCGTGAATGAGCGCCCTCTCCAGTTTTCAAAATGCCATTTTAAAGATGGATGCGCCCGTGGAACGATCTGCGTAAGGTTTGTTTTGAGTTACAAAACACAGCTACTAACCAGTCTTGTTGCACATGTACACTCTGAAAGGATGACTATTAATTTACCACCTACCACCAGTATTTAGTGATCACTTGCTTGTGAATGTGATTAACTGTATTCTGGGTGGAATTAATGGTTAGTCCGCGCCCAGGTATCAGAACTTGCAAGTTGCAGTGTGCCACTAGCTAGCACTTAGTGCCAGTGCATGCGCAGCATGTGCAGTGAGTGGACTGGTAGTACAGTAGGCTAATTTATATGGACTCTTATTTGACCTGACAATATCTTTGGATCTTTGGGCCCTTTAGCTCTCGGAACCAGACTTTGTACACAACCAAAGAAGTGGAGTCTGGATGCTACATCGCGGTCCAGAGGCGGCTTAGCTTTGCAGCCTGTCGTCCACTTCAAGCTAAGCATGCTAAGGTTTTACTTAAGGTCGCGCAACTCGTGAACAACTTGTGAACTCCCACACATAATTATACTAGTCTTACCTTACGTACCTACTGTGGACATTCCTTTGTATTCGTGTAAGGCCGAATAAAAAAACCACCATTTTTCTCGTTCGGGGTTTTTGAAAAAAGGGAGGAAGCGGGGTTGTTTATTTTCTATTTTAAATTTTTTTTCAAGATGGCCGCCATTTTAAAATTTCCTGCAACCGTTGGTGTTCCACTGCTCAAAGATACTTTTAAAATGAAAGACAAGTTGGACAAGAGAACTGAACATATTTTCAGTGTCATTTAGAGTTGTATTGGTATTGGTATTTATTTTCCGATGAATTTGTGGACTTTTTCGGTGTCTTTTACTGCATTTTTCAAAAATAAAAAATAATAAAAAAATCCAGGCGGCCTCCAAAAAGGAAGCGGGCAGGGACGAGAAACAGGGTTTTTTTTTTTACTTCGCCTAATGAAGAAAAACTGAGAGAACAAAAAATAATGTTACTTGCACTGTGAACCCTCTTTCAACCCAATTTTTTTATCATGATTTTCTTGAGTGTTCCTCGTCATTTTGTGACAGACCTTACCCAAAAATGCCTCTAAACCTGTTTTCCAGAGAGGGGGCAACCTAGTGTGGCCGTGTGCAAGTCCACAAAACGTTCACGCTTCCAGCACCCTGGGACCTCTTTTGTTCACAGGTCCATAAAGAGTATGCAAGGTTAGAGCACACACATATACCTTTCTTCTTTATAGTATAGTAGTGATGTGTAGAGGTTGGGAATTTGATACGTAATGTTCATGATCACGTCTATTTGAAAAACATCATTATGTTTTTTTTCTCCAGAACATGATGGCTGTACCATCACTGCAGAGACACCTGAAGATTTTCCTTCAGAGGGGATCCGCACGCTGGCTGCAGAAAGCTCCTGTACAAGCACAGGGCACACCACAGATTTATACACCTGGACTTCAGTTCCTGCGGCAATTTCAAACAAGTTTTAGATGTGGGATATGTAGTCAGGAGGCTGGCTCAAATGTTGGTGTGAGGTGTGCCAAGCTGGAAGGCAGGGGCTTGGTGCGGTTGGAGGGGCCAGATGCGACTGAACTCCTCCAGGGGTTGGTGACCAACGACACGGGAGTGATGTGGGGCGACAGTAGGGTGATGTACTCCTTGTTTCTGAACACACAGGTAAAGTTAATGCAAGGAGCCATCTCGTTGAATGTCTCAGTCTGGGATAAGTTGGAAACAAATTTATTAATACTATGGCCATTGCAGTGGGTATTAGTTGCACAATTGCTAGTCATGTAGTTTTGATGGTAAACCTTGGACAAATTCTGCTTACTGCAGTCTCACCTAACTGTATCACCCACGTTGATAAAAATTATGATGAAAACGACAACGGAAAGAATGTTGCATCCTGACGCCACTTTTGTTTTTCATCATATCTCAGTGAAGGTCAGTCATTGCAAAATTGTTGAAAAGACCTGAATCTGGGACTGAGAAACATTTCCAATTTTGTTAGAAAATACTTTGAAAATGCACTGAACTCTCCATCGACTTTGTACATAACTATTAGAAGAAGTGGCGTCTGGATGCTACATTCTTTCTTCTACAAGACCCTAACTTTTTCCATTTATGAACTAATGTTGGTGTCATTAAAAAAAACCATCCTGTTGTAGAAATCCTGCACAAACCTAATCCTGTTTAATGCAACAGAATGAAAAATATTAAAAGTTTGTCACAGTTCCCCATTTTGTTTTCTTTTCTGTTAGTCTTCGTGTTCATTGTGCGGGCATTTAGCATTCAACTCAAAACCCATGCTTCCATGTAGACCCACTAATAATAATAATAATAATAACAGGTTCTTATATAGCGCTTTTAACTAAGATCAAAGCGCTTTACATTATTATTACCCCTAATCATTGGGCCAATTAAACATTCCATATACCATCTCAGCTCCCTGGGGAGTATACAGCTCGATGCTGCCTGTTAGGCGCAAGGAAGCTAATTCAATCACAATAACCATCACTGCCCTCATAGGTACCCATTTACTCCTGGGTGGAGAGAAGCAATGAGTGACAAAGTGCCTTGCCCAAGGGCACACACACCATGACCCCGCCAGGACTCGAACCCACGACCTGCAGCTTTACCCACAGACCACGAATCAGTGCCCTTAACCACGAGGCCACAGCACTCCACTAACTGGGGCGCTAGAACTTTTTTGACATTTGGGATTTTGGTCTGGCCTACCAGCGCCCACTACAGAAGCATTCTTAATTTTTGAATTTTTAAAGTTCACCAGAGGTCACCACAAAAGTTGCCAAAAATCACATGTCAAAGATGAAGCAATGGGGCTTCAGTGATACTCATGATTATTTTTTGGGTTGCAAATCCATGAAATTCAATCACTATAGCACTAATGTCAAAAAAGGAGTTCTAGCGCCCCAGTTAGTGTGTCTAGCTTCGACGAATCTTTTTTGCACTCCTATTTGTGCCAATTAAGCATGTTACAACAATATCCTCTGTTTTATTTGGTTTCATTTAGCAGGGTAACTGCATAGTGCTACGGCTGATGTGTGCTGGGTTCAATGCAACAGAATCCACCATTGTGCAGTTGTACTTGTGTTGCATTTAGAATGGTTCTCATTCCATACATTTTGGATTTTTTTGCATTTTGCAGAAAGTACAAGGTTTAAAGAAAAACTGGAAATCTTTTTGTCTTTAGTAAGTGTATCTGTGCTTTAATCTCTTTGCAGGGAAGAATCCTGTTTGACGTGATGTGTTACCGCGTGTCTGCAGATACCTCTGAACAGCCAAGCTTTCTGCTGGAGTGTGACGCAGAGGTCCAGGAGAAACTTACCAGACACTTGAAGATGTACAGAGTCAGGAAGAAGGTAGTGTAAACATATTCTAAATGAACTACTCGTTAAAAAAAGCCATTTATTGACAATGTTTTGGTTGGCAAATAAGCAGCAATAAATAGTGCCGCCTGATGGATGTGGATTTGACAAAGTGACAAATCCGTCCAAAAACCGTATCTTAAGCAATTTGAGATTTCTGGATAGTCTTACGTTTGTGATTTTTTTACATGATCTACCAAATTTCAAATCACAAAATTGTACCGTTTGTTAAGTGGCGATTTTGCGGCAACTCAGTTTTTCTTTTTGACAAAGTGACAAATCTCATTAGTAATCAATACCTTCTTAATTTAACTTGCTGTTATAAAAACGGAGACAATGTATGACTATTTAACTACCGGACTATTGCATCAATTAATTTTGGGTAAGGAATGTACATGTAAACGTGATTTGAAAAATTGACCAACTTGAAGCGCTATTTTCTCAAAATTTCGCTTTACTGCCGTGTGGGCAGATTTGTCACTTGTACAGACAGGGTCTACGGTACATTCATGTATAAGTAACCATTTCCCCACTTTTCCCACTTCTACAGGCTGAAATATCCACCGCAGATGACCAACTCCAGACCTGGGCCGTCTTCAGTAATAATACTGTAGACACACCCCTCTTGGCTACGTCAAAGACGCAGACGACAAACTGCGACAGGTGTCCGACGGACGTGACGGACCCCAGAGTTGAGGGTTTTGGGAGGCGGGTCATTCTACCAAAGAATGAGTCACGTAAGTGCGCTTTCAGTGTCCTCCACTGAGTACAAATTTAGCAGGGTGGCAAGGCAGTTGAAAAAGAAGTGATGCTCAATTCAGTGTGCTACCAAGCGTTTTGCCTTGAAAAGACTTTTTTTGGCAAGCTTATGTGAGGCTATTAATCAGGGATGAAATTTTTTCGATTTTAATCAGAATTCTGACTTTCTAAATTTTCCTTCTAAAAATCCAATTTTCTAAAGAGTTAAGGCTGCTCCAGAACCCCCCCCCCCCAAAAAAAAAAGTTTTGGCTATTTTCGGACTATTTTACCAATTACCATGATGATGTTGTTGCAATTACTTCTATACTCGGTACACATACATTTTATCATTGAGTATCTTGGCTCTTTTCTTGTTAACAGTAACCCGCCTCATCCCAAACTCTATCGAGGCCAGTGCAGAGGACTACACACTGCACCGATACCAGTGGGGCGTGCCAGAAGGGGTGATAGACCTCCCCATGGGGGAATCCCTACCCCTGGAGTCCAACTTGGCCTTCATGAATGGAGGTTAGGAAGAAGGAATTGGTTCCATTTTGCTATTTATGTATTTTTAAAGTATCTTTCACTGAATCTAATGTTTTTGTCCCGAGGAGAATATAATGAATTCCCAGTTAAATTTGGGAATGCCGCTGTTAGCAAAATTAATTTCTTTGAATATACATGTATTAATAAGACTTTCTTTCAACCTCTTTGTATCAGTGAGTTTCAGCAAAGGCTGTTACTTGGGACAAGAGTTGACAGCGCGAACCCACTACACAGGGGTGACGCGGAAGAGAATCATGCCTATTGAGATACTAAGGTCAGATATAAATAATTTCTGCATAATATTTCTAAATGGGTTATTTTATTAATTTGGGATTCACTTTGTTTTCCTGTCTCTGTTACATCTAAGATCTATGATTTTATAATTCTAGATGCACTCCTGTAATGTGGGGTGCTGTGGTCCAATGGTTACAGTGTTCAACTCGTGTGCCGTGGTACATGGGTTCGAATCCTGACGGGGAACATGGTGCTTGTGCGCTTGACTACGATTGCCTCTCTCCACCCAGGTGTAGTAAATGGGTACCTGGTAGGGAGAAATTCCTTCAATGCTTGAGCGCCGTAATGGCAGCCGTGCTAAAGCCAGGGTAATATTGGAGCGACAGGAGCGTCACTTCATGACAGACATGAGCGCTATACAAGACGCCAATATTATTATTATTATTGCAGTCATCCTCCGAGAGTGATTATGAATAGTAAACTACCTACCAAACAAATAAAAAATCATTTGAAGTCATTCTCAAAGATACTTGAATGGCAAGTTACAAAGTACCAAGGTAACAAGGATGGGAACATGTCAAACTTTGGACCCTAAATTTATAGAATGACCCAAATACATTGTTAACATTTTAAAAGGTTTCGAAACTATAAACACAGGTTTCAAATTCTCCCTCACTGCTTTAACCAGTTCACGCCGGGATTATTTTGACAAGAATGGAACGAGGCGCAGAATTACTTTTCACTCGACCTCAATGCCAGGCGGGTTGAAGCCATCACCCTTGGGCAGCACACTCATATTTCTGGCCTCGCTCGCTGCGAGCGGACGCTGACAGATATTTCCGGCCTCGCTCCCTGCTTTTTCCTCTGTCATCTGTTCAGGATACCGCAAAACCTTTGCGTGTATACACGGCCTCCAGCGGGAACTGGTTAAAGTGTTTGCGGTTCTCTTAAAGTGATTTTAGAAAGTGTTTGTGAAAGTTGAATTTATATCCCATGTTACCAATGGTTTTGCATTATTTTCTGTTAATTTTATTTTAGTCATGGGAGCTCTCCGCCAGAAGTTGGAGCCAAGATCATATCAGAGGCTGGGAAGAACATCGGGAAATTGCGCAGTTACCTTGGCAACCGTGGTCTGGCGTTACTACGAGTGGCACAGTGGTAAGTTTTAAGAACAGAGGACTCGCGTTCATGCCAGACAGACATCTCTTTAATACAAACCTACAGGCTACCCCACTCAAAAGCTAAACGGTACTCCTCGAAATGAAATAAAATATGAAGGCTATCAGCAGACACTCACTTTTCCCTTGTCAATGGCAGTGGTGAAGGGAATGAAGATTGTAGTACTCAAAGCTACTCTGTGGTTGTGATATGGTATAAAGTTCCAAACAAAGAGCATCTTGGTTCTTGGGTGGTTCTTGGTTGGTTCTTCTCCTAAATACTCCACGTGGGAGTTTATACAGGAGGCCAGAAACACCGGGAAAAACCCATTCTCTTAGCGATAAGTGTTTACTGGGTTCTTTTACGTGCATTATACAACACATGGGACCTACGGCTTTACGTCCCATCCGAAGGACGAAGCAATAATGGTTAAGTGCCTTGCTTAAGAGCACAAGTGTCCGCCGGCGGGCTCGAACCCACGTCACTGTTGCCTCTGAAACACCACAACATGAGTCCGGTGCTCTTAACCGCTAGGCCATGACACTCTAGGCCATGACATCTCTGTAAGAAAAATTGCATGTATGAAAATCTGCCAAAAATATATAGAAATTGCGATGGGAGAACATCATACCCTGCTAATTTGGTTGAAATCCCCCGTTTTGATAAGAAAGGTCTGATTATTTTAAATTAATTTTACATTCAAATGAATATCCTCTATTTAAACAATTTGAAAGATTTTCTATTCAATTTTGAAATTTTGGTCTTGTTCGTAATTTTCAATCAACCTTCATTCGCTTGTAATCAGGCGTTTAATGATGATCACATTTTTTTGTTTTTGTTCTGAACAGCAAAGACAAGAAACTTCTCATCATCGGCGAAGACGGTAGCAGAATGGAACTAGCTGCCTTGATTCCTACATGGTGGCCCCAGGAACAGGAAGAGCTGAGAGATTAAAGTCAAGATGTCAAAAATGTCTTGACTTTTCAAGCCATATGGAAAGTTTTGTGCTTAAGTTGCAGGCCTGTAAATAGGCCCCAAATTGCCCGGGAAGTCCAAATCACGATTTGCATGCCCTCAAATTCTCATTGTCATTGGAGTGTTTTGTAGCCCATTCAGTTGAGGATTTGTAAAACTGAAGGGTGGAGGCTCTGCACAGGACTTTGAGCTTGTGTAATGTGAAATTTAGATGAAATTTCGCCCTAAAATTGCTCTATTTTGCAGTGGCATGGAAAAATGGCGATGGACTTCCGACTTCATTTAGGAGTGATCATCTTTGAGTACATTTTACTCAAAAGTCATCGATAACCCCCAAAAAATTTGAACCGAAATTGAAAGATGATGAAATAAGCTTTACTTTGATAGTGTCTCAGAATACCTCGGATAGTTGTATTTTTCCTGATTTTTTTAAGTGAGGACATTTATCATTGGGTCTATGGCAATTTATTTACTGGTCTGCAACCCTAAAAGCCAAACTTTGGTTATGGGCTCTGTGTGAAAACTGGATTGCGCTTTGCAATGACTTTCTAGAGCCCCAGTAGAAGGGACACACGTCATGCTCATAGTGGTTCCTGCGCGTATGTCACGCGACTCATTGTATTCTGAATGAGCACAAACCTGTAGCATGTTCACGTGAGCATCAGGCGTTGTCAGCAATGCATTCAAATGTCTCTCCCAGTGGTCTCCCCCAACTCTCCCGTTGTAACCGTTGAGGGGGTACTTGTACACAGAGACACACATTGTTCAAGATGTTTTGTTAAAAAAAAGTAAATCCTTCACAAACAACAGTACCTCTAGAACCACTGTTTTGCTTTATGTGTTGTGCCAAAATATTTCTACCCATAAAATTGACTTTTGTATTATTCACAGCTGCGGCCATTTTCAGATTACCAGCCAAAGCGTTTGGGATTTGTCTGGTTGTCACATTTATTAAAGATCTCTGTTCTATTTTCGAGTTTCCCCCTGAACTATTTGTTTTCCTCAATTGCTATTTTTCTTGCAATTAAAAAGATTTTAACTATTGAATGAGACGTGCACCGGAAAAAAAAAATCAGCCCATGTTTTATAGGTTGTTCTACAGCCTGTCTAAAAAAAAATGGTACAATTGAAAACGATTTTTTTTTCAATATTAAATCTCAACATAAGCAAGTCGTTTTGAGCATCACATTAAAGAAAAAAGACCAGGCTTTCCAATACTTTTTGTTTCATCTCATTTGCTTTTGTCAATCCAGAGATAACTCCAGTTTACTGCGGAACACAAAAATCGAGTTTGTTTCTTTTGCCAAGTTGCAATCTTTTGTGAGCTTCAAGACAGCATGGCACAGTACTCGAAACAACTCTGCCCATGCATAAAAGTGGCACAAAATCGATTTTGGTGTATCGCACTAAATTGATTATATCTCTGAATTGACAAAAGCAAATGAGATCAAACAAACACTATTGGAAAGCCCAGTCTTTGTTCTTTAATGTTATGCCAAGTAAGAATGACTTATTTTGAAATTTCATATTTAACCAATTTTTTTTTCTGATTGTACCATTTTTTTTTAGACAGGCTGTATAAATTTGGGGTCCACTTTTTTCCTGTCTCTGTTATATCTGACATCTTTTATTTTTATAATTCTGTATGCACTCCTTAATGCTGTCGTCCTTCAAGAGTGATGATGAATAGCAGACTACCCAGCAAACAAAAAATAATTTGAAATAATTTTTAATTAATGATACTTGAATGGCAACTAATGATGTTCAGCGGTTACAGGGACTGAAAGGTCACATTTTGAACCATGAATTTATAGCGACCCAGTTGTGGCTGCTTTGAACAGTAATTCAGTTCTTGCGGGGTACACTGGTTCCCACCCCACTTTTAAAATGGATAATTTTTGGGACCGGAAATCTGCTTGTGCGAAAAAGCAACCGATATAACTCTATATACAGTGAAATCTTGATAAGTCAAACCTCAAGGGAACAGGTTCAAAATTTGACTTAAGCAGAGTTTTGAGTCAAGCAGGGTTGTATATCATTGTTATACTACTGAAGGGAATGGATTTTTTGTTTGACTTAACAGTTGCTTTGAGTTATCAGAGTTTGACTTATCGAGACTTCACTGTAAAACTTTTTTTTTCAGAGGTGAGCAGATACCCAACAGATAAAAGCATTTGTTCCAATAAAAAAGTCAAAAAGGTCAAATTTGGTGTATGTATTATCAGATATTTGTTCAATGTGGGAACTTTTTTCAGATCAAAGATCACAAAATCGTGAATTTTTCATGGTTACTCAAACTGACAACAAATTCAATTTGTTTTGAAAATCACAAGTCTTGATTTTGAGACTGAATATTTATTTTTAAAATTTTCAAATTGTACATAAATTATATTGAACATTGTACATCAGCATGTTGAACATTAAAAAGAAGCTTTAAATAGTCCCAACTCGTACTTAATATTTCATAATTTATTCGTTCGTCAAACTAATACTCCTTTAGTATCTCATGCATTCGTGACAGAAAGCTGTACTGAATCATAGAAGGAATGACTTAAATGAACTTGTATAAAATTTGTTCCATGGAGTGAGTCATGAAATCCACAACATTTCCGATTCTACATATACATACATGTTGATGATGTTGACATCAAAGCTAAAGTAAGGAGTTTGTTCATCATACGTTGCAACGATAGTTGTCTACAAATTGATTGACCGATCGGTCAGTAAATAAAGGCATGTTTGCTTGGTTGGAAATTGAAATGGAAAACGAGGCATCAAGGGGAAGGCAATACTTTATTGTGATTTTTCTCGTTAAAGTAAACAAGGCTGTATATATGACCTGAAGCTTTGCATGGCGGATGAGATAAAGGAGAAAGATTGCATATTGAACATTAAACTGACTCCCCTTCCTGAGGACGGACAGAGCACACTGTCCGAAACGTCGAGTTCTACACTCAACCAACCGGTTCTTTTCAGAACCACACTTCTTCCAAGAAGAGATTACTTTCCACATGGTGTTACCCGCAATCTTTCTACTTCAAACAGGGCTGGACATTGCAAATATCTCTACTGCAATAGACCTACATGTTAGACAATGACGTCACGCTTTGTTTATATGTGTGCTTTGAGCCAGGCTCTCGTCCCCACCTGGCTCCCATAGGAAAGAAGCCACACTCAAGAACTTTACAGTTTCTATTTCTATGTATGCTGAAGCATTTTAAGTAAAGATGCGGTGACTTGTGGGAGCAGGGAGCCACCAACAGCCATTCCCCCATCACACATAGTGTTTTTCTTTTGAATGATACGATTTCAGGCGGACTAATTTCCTTTTCTTCACTTTGAGCGAGGTTTTTTTCATTAAATCGGTAGGTGCGTTTCTGGGTATTTACCAATTTTCCTACTTGTCTTTAAGCAAAGTAGGTACTGGATGTACATGATTACAACTACAATTGAGAAATACGTCCTGGTAGAATAAATTTTGATATTTGTCCACAAATCACATCTCTCCCTATTGGCATTACTATCCAGTTTCCTATTCATAATGTCCAACACGCAGACACCATACCGATGAAATCATCGTCATTGTTGATTGATACGCTGACGCCTTCGTAGTAATCCTCAAATTCTCCATACGTGAGTTCCTTTGCACGTCGATCAAAGAGTTCCAGGAAACCATTCATGACCTCTGAGGCCGTAACCAGACCTGCAAAAAAAACATTGGCATTAATACTTTTTGCATAGCTTTTGGATTTGTAGTAGGTTTGTTTGTTCTACAAATTCCTTGTACAGTTCCCAACAGAGTTAAAACAGCAAAAACTCAGTATGATTTTCTCAATTCAGGAAAATGGAATAAAAGGCAGAGTAGATCATTTGTCACTTGTGCATATTTGTTTCGTTTGAAGCAACAAAAGTGCTCAAAATCTACAGACGGGTGCTTTACACCTAGCCTGATGAAATTTTAGCTCTGTAAAAAGCTGTATATTCAGAGAAAACAATATTCTAGGATTTAGATTTCAAGTTGTGGAGTCGTATTTTGAATTGTGCCTGAAATCAGCATCCGGAACGCGTTCTCATTCAGCAGATTGCAGCTAAGCGATGTCACGTACTGAACCGATGAATAATAACAACCATGTGCACGTGTTCGTTGTGTCAATGCTTGCTCGCACCCATTCACGGATTTGCCCAATTACAAACCAACTACTAACGGAAATTTCCAAAAATGCGCCACTTGACTCATCTCTGGAAATGACCTTCTTTTGTTGTTTCTTCAAAATGACAGCATGCCAGAAGGAATAATTTCACAGGGAGTTTAGAGTCATTACCATCTTTAAACCAAGTAAGCTTTTTAACAATAATTTTGTCAATTACTTTTGGAAAGCTACCAGTGATCTATTCGACCTTTAAAGATCTTGGCTGACTTCCTTGTTTTTCTCTTTTTCAACACTAGTTTTCCCAGAGTCTGTTATAACTGGCTGATGTATCCAGTACCAAAGTACACTTGAAGATATACAAAAACTATGTCACCTTGTACAACGTGCGGATGCTTTTGCACATTGAAGAATTTCTTCAGCTCATCTATGCTGACTGTTCCCGACTTGTTGGCATCAATTTTCTGAAATGCCTGCGTAATTAAACAGAAGAGAAAAAAATGGAAAAGTTGAGAAAGTTGAATGTTACGTATGGCTAATAATGGCATTAACCCTAACTCCCCAGCCTAATTTACTAGGAACCATACCCATTCTGGCAAATTCCAACACCCACATGGGAAATCGTACACACACACTGTTGGACTTAGTTTCTGGAGGTATGCCAAGCCCAGTGTAAAAGACCATCAGTTTAGGGGTACTGTATCTATCCCAACAGATTTAAACAAAACCTGCTGTTGAACTTTGATGGGTTGAGTTCGGTTAGGGTTAAAGGACAAGTGAGAACTAAGAACTGCAAGTTTTTCAGAAGTTGCAAGGTGCTGCAAGAATTGCTCTAGTGATCAGTTCCATCCCAGTGGCATAACTAAAAGAGGGCGGCTTGAGAGAGGATGGGGCAGGCCCCTCAACTCAGTATTTAGGGAGGGTTGCAAAAATGAGTATTTTATCGATGAAACCTATTAAATGTCTCCTGCCTCTCTCCCCCCCTCCAAAAAAAAGAGGCTCTCCCCCTGCAAAATGGACCCCAATTACAAAGCTGTTTCATTCCCAGCTAATTGATCTGAATGAAAACTAACCCTCACTATTGCTTCTAATGTATTATGTGGATTTAAGGTACGTGGGTTTGATGCGACAGAATTGCTTAATATCTTAAGAAGGTGGCATAACAACCAACTTCTTGTAGTTTCAGCTCAGTGGATACTATACATTTTGTGAAAACAGAGAAGACATGTGCACAATTGTTTTGGTCTCATTAAAACCTGTGCCAGTGGGCACACTTTCTAAAACCCCTTTCAATGATTGTTTTCTTCCGAATGATACCATTTCAGGGGGACTAAATTCACAGGGTATTTGGTCATATCTTAAATTTGAGCAAGGATTTTTTTCTTGATTAAATTGTTCATTTCTGGGTGATTGCTAGTGTCCCTACGTGCCTTTAAGGCAAAATTTCAAAATTGGAATTATCTACTCTAAACCTTACAGACAAAAACATTGCCAAAAAATGTTAATACAATTACCACATTTAAAGTGCTACCATTCCTTACCTTTCTGACAAGTGTCTTCCTCCTTTCATTCATCTCCCCGATGAACGCTCGATGGAATTCACTGTAGTCTATTGCACCGTCCTCATTCTGATCCAGAACTAACCACAACAACTCAAATAACTGAAAAGGGACAAAGGAAGATTTGATTTGCTTTACAACTTCACTTTAGGTGTTTCCTGACACAAGACTGAGGGGTGGGGGGGGGGGGGGGAGTAGATTCATCAACCCCTAAGGTGAAAGTTTATCTCCAGCTTATGAAAGATATGATAATAAAAAATAATAATAAATAACAATAACACATCCTGCAATTCATTTCACAAAACATGCCGTTTTGTGACGTGTGACGCGTCGTATGTTTATTTATAGCACATAGTAAATAGTCGTCTGATATTCAGCAAAGAGTCACCAGATCTCCTCTTGAAAAGTTTTAAAATGTAAAACAAGCTCACAGTTAACTGTTAGCTACTTCAAAATTTCAACTGCAATATTCCAGGCTAATTCATATGTGCTTCGATGCATATTCCATTTACAACTTCACCTCAATTTGTCTCGGTACATATTTAATTTTTATGGCTAAGAAAAGACGCTTCTTATTTTGCGATGACTAAACGACCTGTTGTTTGCAACGTGTTTTCAACCATTGTCAAGGAACTTAGTAAGTTTTCTGAAATGGATCAAACAACACGTTGCAAGTCGTGACGTTTTAGGCATCGCAAATCGAGTTGCGATGCGTCACTTCGTAAAATCGTGTGCTGGACCCAAAAGTCTCAGTTTAGAGCATTTTCGGTGAGTGAGTCAGTCAGTCACTCTGTCAGTCCGAGGACAGTAGGTTGACCCTTCAGATCAAGCTAAACAGCAATTACTTACGTTTTGGTCCACTTTGATGTGATAGGTATCCAACGCTAGTCTGAGCTCCTCTTTGCTCAGGACGCCATCTCCCGATTTATCCAACTGTTTGAAGTGACGGCCCAGGCCGGTTAACGTCTTGCAGGCTCGCTTACGAATCTGAGCTCTAACAGAATCTTAAAAGTGTGAAAATGAAGGGGTTATCATACAGGAAGACAACAAATGTTTTTAGAGAGTTAAGTTGATGTTTTACAAAAGAAAATCTTAAACTAACAACAATGTTTATGTATAATGTATACAGCTCCAAAATGCATATGGCTTTATTCTAACTTTTTTCTCCATGCACAGTTTTGCAGGCCTGGAAAATTTGCTAAATGAGGCAAATTCTATTACTAGTAGAAAATATTGAACAAACAATCAACAACAACTGAACTGCTAGCAGTTTTGAAAGCGCTACAGCATGTATACCTGAACTGTATGTCTAAATTCTTAAAACCTTCACAACTTTTCATGTGTTGTTCCTGCCTTGTCTGTCTGTGTGTGTGGGTGAATAGGTTTATGGTGTAAATCGAGGACAGACACGTGCAACATCATTGATGAATTGAGGACAGGAACCAAATCGAGGACAAACTTGATTAGAAAATGTGTACAAAACCAATGAGAGCTGTTGCAAAAAAGTTAGAGTATAAACAAAGGAAAAGGGAAGAAAAACAATAGGAAATCCTCAATTTACACCATAAACAAACGTGGCTGTGTGTGTCGGCGTACAATGAACAAGCATGGCAGTCACAATGAAAATGCTGGCTGTCTGCTATGGTTATTTCAATTCTGGCCAACTCTGGTGAATTATAGTCATGGAAGGTTTCAACCGTCTACCTTGTACTTGACCTATGAGTTTATTGTCGGCAGCTTCCTGCTTTGTGATTGGTGGATTCATCATTGCGTGATACTCCTGGGGGTCGTAGGGAACCCTGCCGTGTTTGAATCTAAATTCAACCAAAAAGGGTAAAGGTTTTCAGCGATAAATGTTGCTTCACGTTATACAAACTACTGTCCGACTGTTTCTGTTTTAAAGAAATTGTGGCACCTTTAACCAGTTCATGCCGGGAATATTTTGACAAGAAAGGAACAAAGGGAGGGGGTTACTTTTCGCTCAAACTCAATGGCAGGCGGGTTGAAGCCATCACCCTCGGGCAGCACCACTCATATTGCTGGCCTCGCTCGCTGCAAGTGGGTTGCTGACAGATATTTCCAGTCTCGCTCCCTGCGTGTTTATCCGTCATTCGTTCCGAATACCACAAAACCTTTGCGTGTATATACGTCATCCGGCGCAAACTGGTTAAAGAAATCCTTGTAGGAATGTTGTAGTATTCTACAAGATTTTTGCAATCATCCACAAGCAAAAGTAAACGATGTTTAGTTTTGGCATTTTTCTCAAAGCCTTTATGATTCTTCCCAGTCCTATACAATGCAAACATTCAAATGTTTTGATCGAATCCAAATTAGAATAATTAAAATTATTTGAAAAATGCACAGTCCCACTTGTGATGAGTTGTGAAGCCTCACAAGTATCTCGGCTACAACACTGGGCAAGTTCGATCACGGACCATAGTTAACCATAGTTCGAATAATTTGAATATTAAAATATTCAAATTTTTTTGAAAAATGAAACTGTGAGTGCTAAATTTCATTTTCACTTCATAGTTTTTCCATTTCCATTTTATGATTATGTCACTTTTGTCACCATTGTACAATAATAATGGCGATTATGTAAGGTGTCCTAAACTACACAATCACTAATTTTGTGTGAATAAACAGAAACTGCAAGTGTTGAAAAATTGTGCGACTGCCATTTTCTGACAGACAATAGTTCGACTACAGTCCTTCAACCTTCAACTTCAGGTCATACACTAGGTACGTCACAAACCAACCACTAGTTAATCACTGGTCCTTGACCGAACTTGCGCACTGGTAAGGGTTACAATTAAATCTGAAGTCTTCTTTATCACTTACACTAGTTTCTCTTTAGTATTCTCGTCCACGTGGGTGATTCTGATCAGGAGAACGGGTTTAGCCTTCAAGGCGGACGAGATGGAGGGCTGACCTTCCGAGTCAAAGGTCAAAGTGGCTCCCTGCGGAGTAACAGTGGTAAACATGAATTCAGCAATTCAGTTAAAGCTATAGTCCATCATTTGCAGCTATCCGAAAAGTAACTGGCGTAATTATTGTTGACAAACATACTTGGTTGAAAGATAGTAAGAGGACTAAACTCCCTGTGGAATTATTCATTCTGGCAAGCTGTCACTTTGAAGTAATCAACGAAAGAAGGCCTTTCCCAATGGTGCGTCTTAAGACGCACCGTAGGAAAATTTAAATTAGTAGTTTGTTTTGTTATTCGGCGCAGCGTGCGCAAGCATTGGCACGACGCACAGGCGCGCGCGGTTGCTATAATTCGTCGGATCAGTGCGCGACATTGCGTATAGCTACAATTCAAAACGAGTTCAAAACATGATTCAGCAACTTTTGATTTGAAATTGAGATCCTAGAATGCTGTTTTTCTCAGAATATACAGCTGAAGCTGAGCTGAAACTTCATCAGGTTAGTTGTTCAGTATCCTTCATTAGATTTTGAACACTTTTGTTGCTTCAAACGAACAAAATGCACAAATTACAAATGATGGACTACATCTTTAACTGCCAGCTAAAAGAAATCTTGTAGTTGAAATGGTACCAAGGCTGTAAAAATCTCTCTACTAAACACAGATGGTTATAATAACTAGCAATTCCGTACGCAAAGTGAAATAACATAGGGAGTAACCCGAGGCTTACCAAAGGAATTTACAAGGTTTCACAGGGTTTCGCCGGGTGCCTCACGGTTCAACCTCGGTTACCACTTGTTTAATTTTTGCATTCTTCCTATTAGGCCAAAAAAAAAATATTCGGTCTCTAGTCAGACCAAAGTTCCGGAATTGACGCGGCCACGCGGCTTTTTTTTTTTTTTTCGCTTTTTTTCTTTTTTTCTTCAAGCTTGGATTGTACAGACAAGGTGGGGTACTATTTTGCTTTTTTGGTGTCCTCATGTACATTGGTGTCCTCCATAATTTGCCTTGGTGCTTTCGATCATTTGCCTTGGTGCAATTTCCCGTTCCTTGGTGCTCTTTGGTAAAAAAAATTGAGGAGGTGCGGAAATAGAGGGCGCTGTTGGAGCTACCGCGGAACATTTTGGAAAAAAAAAAGATCGACGCGCATGATTAAAATCGACGCGCGTGCTGACCAGAGACCGACTTATTTTTTTATTTGGCCTTACAACCGAAATATTTTCTGTGGATTTTGGAGGTTCCATGGTGCCATTATTTGAGTTCCGCTGTCAAACCCAGTCTTGGCAATGTTGGCACTTGGACCCGAGAGAGATTCAGAGCATACCTCACACTTGTGCATTAGCTAGAATATAGCAAACACTTTTGACCAAGACAACATCTACTTTAGAACCAGCTACTCTTAGCTAGCTCATGCATGTGTGACTCATACTCTAACAGTGGGTTGGATAGTTCACTGGGTACCGGTCAGAATATCAACATCACTTGTGCTTTCTGAAAGCAGTAACGTAGAGTTGCTTTCGAGTCCACGACGAGAAAAAAACAGTGCTGATTATTTACTCACTGCGGAAATGTCTTGCACGACGTACGGCCGGCCTTTTCTTCGGCCAATCACATGGCAGTATTTCCCTCTCTGGATGAAGGGCAAGGCTTTTGATCTGCAAAGCAAAACAAACATCAAGTCAATACAGAATAACGTTGTAGGGTGCACCACAAAGTGACAAATTGTCTATGGACTTTGCGCACATGATACGTCACTTCATTGTGCAACCGACGAAGTAATAGTTACATGATGAACCATTAGACAACCAGTTATGATGAAGAGTGGCTATGCTTAAGGGTTTCCTCGTCATTCACAGAAAGACTAGGCAAACCCCCTATAAATTAAAATGACAGAAAGCACAATTGTAGTAATTTCCAGAAATTGCAACCAGTAGGTATTAGAAAGTTTAAGTAATTTCTTTAATGACATTTCAAAATAAACAGCATGTTACATTGATTCCGAAAAGCTCTTTCATGACACTTTATTGATGTTTGACCTGCACGTAGATTTTCAGCTGTGGGTAGTAGCTCAACAAATCATCATGTCTCTCCGTTACTCCGTACATTAGTTTGTTAGTTCGTTAGTAAGTTAGTAACAAACGTTGACATTGTCTATTGCTCCTACATATCTTGACCGATTTCAACCAAACTTTGTCAAAAGTATCAGTTAGCCCAGCCCCAACATGTCACATGACCAAACTGGGGTCAAAGGTCATCATGGGGTCAAGGTCAAAATAACATCGAATTTCAAATAAGCTCAAATGACGAAGGTAGCGCTGTCAAACATTAAAAAATGCCCATGGTGACCTCTTCGTCTGACCTATAGCTATGGGGCCAAAGGTCAAAATAAGGTGAACACAAATTCACTGGCCTGCAGCTTCCGAGATCCGATCGAGCATGTTTTTTTTTTTATACATTTAGCACTCTAGCCTTACCTCCAGAATTAAGTTTCACCAATCTCCGTTGTTGTGATTGCTTTACAAATCACCACGTATATTTGTGTTGATTCTAAGTGTATATTATCATCTCACAAATGAATTGAATACCTTGCTTGTGATTTTGTTACATATCCAGTGAATTTTTCAGCTCGTAACAATTTGGTGTAGATCAGACAATTCAACCAAACACAAAGTTCTCCAAACACCAAAACATCAAAGTGAGCTATTTCCAATATCGTTCCGTAAAAAGCCTCCAATTTTAGACTCCTCACATCGGCATATTCAGGCATGGTATTCAAGGACTGACGGACCTCTCAACTGTTACACTTACTTTGAGCCAAACTGGCGATACTCGTAGACCGTCATGGTCTTGTCCAAGTCAAAGTAGAATCCGCACAGCTCCCGCAGGGCATCGTGACCACTTCTCGTCACGATCCGAGCGTTGAAGGTCAAACGTTTGTCCAGAAGGTTCTCCGTCACTGTCCCTGTTGTCCGAACTCTGATAACAATAATGACAAAACTTAACTAAGTCACAGCAAAAGCAAAGAATCCATTTAGAAATATTCTCTTTGACGTACAAAGTATCATTTGCTTTTTGTGCAGTTTTTCTTGTTTTGAACAACATTGCCGAAAACCTCAAGTAACGTGCATAACGACTAACTTGTCAAAGTTTCAGCTCAGTGGATACTACTTATTTTGAGAAAACAGAGAAACTGTATGCCCGTGGGTCTCCCATGTTGAACCAAATTCAATGTTAGTTTTTTCCCCACATGATACCATTTCAAATTGAATAATTTCACAGCGTATTTGATACCAGTCCTATCCGCACTTTGAGCATAGAAAGTTTCTGTCATTAAATCGCTTGGTACTTTTACAGGTCATTGCAAATGATCCTGGGTGGACTTTTTCTACGTTCTCAGTGGTCAAATGGTAAAATATTACAATTAATGATGGACATTTTTTGCTCATTTCTGTCGTACCGTTACAACAGGATGCATTCTTCAGGAACTGAATGGCAAATTCTTTGCACTTGAATTTCCAATAGTGAATAAGTTGTAGCTCCCTTAATCCCCCCCCCCCTCCAAAAAAACCCCCAATATTAAATAAATATCCTTCAAAATCTTTGGTGGATTGTGAAAGATCTGGCAGGGTTAGGCTTGAACATCAGCATAAAATTAATTGAAATTCTGCAGTTAATAAGAACTGATAACATTGTACTCACTTGGAGTCATGAAGTGTCCTCATTTTGGGTCTCGGTTGGCCAAACGGTGAGGTGGTTCCAGACAGTGGGGTGTCACATCGTTGGTTCTGCTCTGGATCGCATAAGACACTCCTGAATGGAAATACATTTTGGGGAGTCAGGTTGACACGGTGGTTCCTTCTTCGGCTTTCACCTCAATGGCCAGGGTTTGAGTCCTGCCCTGGTCCACATGTGGATTGGGTTTTCAGTCCCTGCCTGATTCCGTGGATTTTCCCCAGAATATTCCTTTGGGGTTTTCCTCCCACCTCTAAATCTGAAATTTCTTCTAATTTGCCTTCTCTCTACAGGTTTCTTCAGGCTTGCGAGCCACAGTGCCTAGGGTGCTTTTGAGACATCCTTGGTTTCATTACCAGAAATACATAATAATAGTTATGGGCTCCGTGCAAAAGTACCCCCTCACCGGCAAGAAAGGGAGAGTTGGGGAGGACCATCGGGAGAGCGAACAAATTGCTGACGACGCTCGACACTCACACAAAGATGCTATAGCTTTATTTGCATCTAGAATAAGCAAGTCGTGTGTGCCTCACGCTACACGCGTGTGAACCGGTACGCACAGGGTGTGTGTCTCATCCACAGCGTTCTCAAAAGTGGTAAAAAAGCGCCCTCTCTTGTTGGCGCACGGAGCCCATAATTATAATATGCGAGTATTTGAATTCAGCCTTTTTGGGGGGTTTGAAATGGCAGTTTTCATGTGGGGAATGGTTTGTGATGGGCTTTGGCCAGGATTTAGGGGAAGGGGACAGGGAGCCTCAGGGAGTACAAAAAGATGGAGGGAGGAGAGGAGAACATTTGAAAATGTGGGTGATTCCTTGACATAATGTCAACAAATTCTCTAACTTTATGAGAGCTGACTAACTGAAGTGGATTAAAATATACTGTCAAAGTTATGGAGCCTGACATTTTGAACCTGCCAGAACCATTATCTCAAGAAATAAAATATTAACCATCGCAGATCTTCATCATGTCATTGGGTTCCTTACAGATCTATATCAGGGCGTTTGGTTCCGGTAAAGAAGACCCTCAACCTCCGACATTCCATAACATTCCTTTGAAAAAAGGCAAGTTTCCCCTTCTAAAATAAAATAAAAATTAAAACACTCTACCTTGAAAGCTGATCCACTAAAACAGTCTGTTCAATCTCCTGCCTCCTTCTCTCAGCAGCCAGGGCTTCCTGGAAGAAAACATGCAGAGACAATATCAAGAAAAGCTCCAAATTGTAATTTCAGGACTTCTTTCTTAATTTGCAATAAGATGCTACTTACATGTACAGTGTTCTCCAACTTAGAAATTTAAAGGTCGGTGCGCCGGCAAAAAGCGGAAGGGGGGGGGGCCCATATGCTAGGGGCGCTATTTCTAGCCAAAATATACCCTGGAGGGTAAGGGAAGTCCCACTTGTTTGTCTTTTTTATTATTAAAATTTTTTTGAAAGCATGGCTGCAGCTTTTGAAGCATGGTGGCAACTTTTGAAGAATGGCGGCAACTTTTGAAGCATGGCGGATGCCTCAGAAAGCATGGCGGGTTACCAGGCTATTTTGAAGGTAAGAGAACACTGATGTACATATACCGCTTGTTTTCTGGCGCAGCTAAAGGTAGGTAGGATCATTTGCGTTTTGTGCATCTTTTCTTTTGAGGCAACAGAAACACAATTAAAAACAGTTAATCTTTTATGAATGTTTGCATGGTGGACATTCATGACCACAAAATTCACTTACTTGAACACCAAGTAATTGTTGAATTTGAACAATCCAGTTAAAAGTGTGATCAAATCCCTTTTTTTCGTGAGATAGCATTGATTGAGGTGTGTTACAAAACACATATTGAATGGCACTATTCGGTCACTAGTATACATATAATGAATGTTCATGAGTGCAATGGTGAGAATATTTTCATGAGTTGAAAGATGGAATGTTCCTTTCAATGAGGCGCAGCTCAGTTGAATAGAACACTCCATCTTTCACTGAATGAAAATATTTAGATCTTTGTCATTCGATTTGAGGATAAAACTATAAGAACAAACAACATTAACAAAAATGTATTATGGCATCCACTATTTTTTGGTCAGCTTGTTTAAAGTTAACAAAGGTTTAAAAGTCAAAATATGAACAGTGTGACAGTTAATACTGTAAGTTCTTAAAACAATGCAACGGCTTCAAAGGCAAGTTTTGTACTGCTGTATAAAACGCATGATGTGGTCTAGTGCAAAATTATATAGTGCCGCTGCGCGTCTTTGCGTGGCGCTAAACGATCTTTGGTCTAGCGTGCGCATGCAATAGATCAAAAGGGATGGAACGAAAATGCACAGTGAATGGAAACAAAAATGCACAATTTAATGACATAGGCAATGCAATGGTTTGATTAATGAATGTAACGTGACCTGCAATCCTCCAATCAAATGACAAGGATTTACTCAGGTGTTGTATAGTACACACATATAGACTGGCAATGAGGTCACTACTGCACATCTATAGACCCTCTTCTGGTCACTCACAGGCCCGAGGGGGCATAGACGTGCACTAGTGACCGAATTATGCCAGTCCACATGTGTTTTATAACTCACCTCTGTCCAAAATATAACATAATAAAAGACAATTTTCAGGGTTTTATAATTCAACTGTTTTATTTCAACAACTAACTCATAAGCAATTCAACAATGAGTAATTCAACAATTAAAGGTATGCTTTTAGTTTCCCTAGATTAAGTTTTTGAGATTTAGTTTTTGAGAGGATGTTGTAACCAGTCAAAAAATGTTGAGTATAGTGCCCGATCAGGCACTATACTCCGGAAATTACACACGGGCGATGTCTTGCGCTTGTCTAGTTCACACTGACGCGAATTTCATGCACTAGCCTATATTAGTGAACCACACATGACCGTGTTTCAGCCAACCAGGATGAAGAACCAGCAAGAGGTGTGTTATAACACACAATAATGCCCCCTCGAGCTTGTGAGTGACCACAAGAGGGTCCTATTTCCCGATGCTCCCAGGCCCTCAGGGTGCGTAGACGTGCACTAGTGACCTCACTGCCAGTCACGTATGTATACACATAGTACTCACCGCATCGACTCGTTTGTCTTGCTTGTTCTGACTGCTGTTCAAATCTACATCATCGTCAGCGTCATTGTCAGTTCTGAAAAGACAAATTCACAAATGGATATGTATCAGTGAATCTTGCAACAACCTCTGCATCTCCTTTGTCAGCACAAAGAAATAGAACGATAGAAAGGAATAAGCAGACAAATTTGGTGACATATTCAAAACCAAATAAGTGCCGACAGAAATGTTGATTGGTACAGTTATCATTAAGAATACATTCAATTTCTGGAAATATTGCCTCCACCATGCATTCTTCACAATTTCTCTGCAGCTAATTTTAAGTACAATTTCCCCAAATAAATTTTGGTCCGAAAAACAAAAGATGTTCTAATCTGTTTGTAGAACTGAATGAGCGAATGTCCTATGTACCTGTACGGGGCTTTCAGTTGCTTCTTTGGTTGGCCAGCCCTCTGGGACCACTGCTTCAACTCATCTTTCCTGTCCTGCTCAAGCTGTTTGAACTGCTGCTTCTGGCGATCAGAGGGAGGGGGAAGGTTCTCTGGCACAGCTGGTTCAGTCAAAGCGGACTACAAATAAAAAATGTGTTACAAAAATTCAGTGCTGAAATGAGCCTGCAGGTTCAGTTCGGGTTCGGTTCAGAAATTTGTATCCAAACAATGGTGTGGTTCGGGTTCGGCAGCAAATTGGAACGTCAAAAACGAGTTGCTGCAGACATACACCTTTTATATGTAATTATCATAAACAACCTTCAAGTGCCCTGTGAAGGACCCAGTCACATGCCAAAACATACCCTGCAGGCCCGTACGCTAGGGGTACCCCCCCCCCCCCCCCCCCCAGTGAACAGTTTTGCTCAGATATGTATATGAAAAAAAATCCCCCCCCCCCCAAAAAAATCAACTTTTGATGACTCATCCCCCTAAAAAATCTCACCTTCAAGTTGTAAACACAAGCAAATTCAATTTTAAAAGTCACGGGAGTGCGGCCAGGAAATGCCTCAGATTGCACCACAATGCATCTAGAATCCAATCTGGAATCTAGAACCCCACGCCATAAGGGCATCAAAAATGCTTTGGAAGTCAAAACCTATCAAAGTACAGCTTTAAAATGTCTTCTTTTCACATCAACTGTAATTTGAGAACTCATAAAGCATATCCAATCATTTTTTTTGGTCCGAATGCAAAGTCATTGTGCATGCTTTTTTTTTAAATTTGAAACCATCACATTCTTATATTTGCCTGTCCGTCAATTTTTCAAACTTGTCTCTCGGTAAGTATCCCACAAACCTTGTGTTTTCCTTGCAGGTCAAGTCGTGGCACACTGCCCGGTCGTTGGCTGCGGTTGCTGGGTCGGCCCGCGGTAGGGGTGTGGTGGAGGGCAAAGGGGGCATTCATGGCTGGAGATCTGGAGCAAGAAAATGTAGACAGTCAAAAAAACATCTGGGCTCCCTGATATCTCCTCCTATAATTTTAGATGAGATGCTAGTAAGGTAAGTAGTAAAGTCTGTAAAAAGCCAATATGCTTCATCGGGCCGGTGTTTATCTCCGGTTTCTTTGGCATGAAATGACGGAGAATAATTCTATTCCCATGGATGGGATGCCAGTCCATCGCAGCTTCCTCCCCAGCTAATGCTGATACACATTTATACTCCTGGGTGGAGAGAGGCAAGTAGGGGTGAAGTGGCTTGCCCAAGGACACAACATATGACCAGCAGCTGGATTTGAACCCCTGACCCTTCTGCTTTAGAGTCACGAACCCCAACCACTAGGCCACACTCCCCCTAGTGAGATGCTAGAAACCTTCTTAATTAGGAACATTCATTTTCTTGTTAATGTTTAGCAATAATGTGATGTTCAATGTGATGCTCAGTTGGTAAAGCATTGGTCCAGTGTAGTGTGAAATTTGGTGTCTATTAAGAAATCCGGACTCAAAGGTTGTACTACGCATGCCTAAGTGAACCTAGCTAGAACAGTGACAGGTTACGTGTGAGGGTTAGAGTCCATATAGGGTGAAAGAGACCAGATTTCATAGGAGTCAAATTTTCATGTGACACCGGTATTCCGAAGGTCGCAGGTTCAAACCCCACTGCAATCAATTTCTTTATTCAATTTACTACATTATAGCTCATAAATATGTACCTTGCTGCCGGACTGTACTCGTGATATCCCCAACTGTAGCAGAAAAAAAGGAAAAGGATCAAGAGATAAAATCGTGTGAGTTTCAAATGATATCTAGTAGCCTCCAAAATCTTGAAACATTACATCAATCTTCACGCAAGTTCTGACTGCCGAGAAATTTGTATTAAATTTTTTTATTGAAACATGTATACATATTAGTTTCAAAAATAACATGAGAAAAAAAAATCAACATTGTTTGGAGAAAAATGTCTTTTGTCCTGTCGGTTTCAACAAGGAAAATCTTTCCAAATTAATATAAAAAAGGTCCCGTTTTTAAGAGTGTCAATGGTTGAAGAGACAGGGAGGAAAACCAAAACAGTTTACCTGACAGTACTGGCTGTGTCTGGGGGATCCAGCTTCTCCTCATAGCCCATGACTGGGTTCTGTAACGAGTTGTCTCCGTCTTGCAGTTTGCCGAGGTTGAGAGAGGGAACTCTGCAGGCAGAATAGAAAAACAAAAACGTTGAATGATTGCTTTTTGTAAACATTACATTGTCATATCTAGGAGAACTGGGCAGCCTTAGCAAGGGGGCTCAGCAGCAACAAGGCGGATCCAGGGGGAGGGGCAAAGGAGGCAAACGAACCCAATTTTTTTTTTATGTGACATCGCAATAAAGGCAGGCAATGAGTACACCACCATCTTTTCCTCAAAAAACATTGGTTTAAGTGGTCAGAAATTGCCTCAGATCGCACCACAGAGCATCTAGAATCCAAAATTTTTCGGGGCCCTTAAGCTGGCCCCAAACCCCATGCCGTAATTTTTTTTTTACCCAATTTTTGGGGGACCAAAAATATTTTGGCCCCCCCCCAAAAAAAAACAATTGTGTTCTGGATCCGCCCTTGAGCAGCAACACCATGCAAAGTTCAATAAGACATTATACGACTATCTCCCACAATGCACTGGGAAAAATTTACTCTCCGTGGCAAACTCTTGGTGGTGCACTGCATTGTGAATCGCCCGAATTGACGTGGGTATGGTTCACTACATATATGCATTTATCATTCAATTAAACTTTCAACTTTATGATTAAAGTAAGCATTATAAATCTGTTTGTCCATGATAAACAAAATAGCCTTTTCAATTTCAACTTGATGGGAATTTGTTATTGAAACTTTACTTTGCTTTGTATTGATGGAGTCTAAAGGCTTACTTTTTTCATTTAAAAAACAAACAAATCTTCATTAGTTCATGCTTACTTTAAAATCTATTTTAAAAAAAAATGTCCTTCCTTGAGTAATATTTCTCTTGTTAAGTACATGTAAGTGTTGTGCTTATACAATTTAAGTTGAGTTCTCAAGTTGCAGGATGTTTTAATATGTAAAATACTTTTAAACAGTATATCCCCAGAGACTTTCTGGAGCATTTTCGTGTTCGTTTGGAAACAAGCAAGTTCTGTTAATTGAAGAAGGCAATAAACGGCTGGTTTCCACGTACAGTTATAGTCCAATCCATAAACACCACCCCTTAATGTTTTGACCAAAAACAGTTGTGATTAATGAAAAAAAAAGTCTGACATGCCTGTTTAACGCATGGGTCTGGAACTTGCATTGTGGAACTTGAAAGATGTGATGTTGCCAAAATGAACACTGAGCTGGCCTTGTGCATCGGTCTACTGAGTGCCTGCCAGTAGTATGCAAATTCAGAAAAAAAGCATGACTTTCAAGGTGATTCTTCACTGCTTACCCTTCAGGTTTTGGGTACTGCATCCTGGAACGTGGCCTTGGCGTGACGACCTTCTGGATCTTGTCAAGCTTGGCTTGAGTTATCACGCTTGCCTGCAGTGGCAGAGAAAAAGCTGGTAAGCAGTAACCTACAGAGGCTTAAACATTTGCTGATTATTTTAATAGAGAAAAAAGAAAGACAAGTTTGCTTTTTTTAATTATACAACATTTGCTATTGCTGTAATTTTCAGAAATGGATGGATTTGGGGGTTAGTATTTTATAGCAAATATTGTTACACCGCCCTGTTTAAAGTTTTGTGTTCCCAGATGCTGGAAAAACCAAGAAAAAAAAATTATTCTTGTAGTCTGGTTCCCTGACCTTACTTCAGACGAAATGGAGCAATTTATAGGCCTCGGAAATTGTCAGGTCAGCGAACCAGACTAGCTGGCTTGCACCTGTTCACGGATGTGTAACCGATTGCAAACAAAGTGTGGAGAAACTAAATTTGGTAAATTGGGGGCAGTAGTTGGATAAAAGGTCAGTTTTTTTTCCAATGATGGTCAGTTGACCATCGTTGGAAATTTATACAAAAATTCCGCCTTTCTTGAAAATAACAGCACACCAGATGCCATGATTTCACAGGATGCTTGAGACTATTATTCACTTACAGTCAAGTAAGGTATTTCATACTAATTTGGTAGTTTTTTTTTTTTGATATTTGAAAATGTTGAATGTTACCTTCAATGCAGACAACAGAAACCTGTAAAATACTCCTTTGTGTGTCCCATTTGTGGCTGGCTCTTACACGTACCCAATTAGTTTTGGTTTTAATTCAAATATTCTGCCACATGGCTTTCAGAAAATGGGCCCTCTCCTCAACAGATGAGTGCATAATCACCTCAGTATCATTCTTTTCTTTGACTTCAGGATAACAAATACAAGTATTTAAAAGAAATCAAAATTTTATAAACGAGACAAACATGTATAGTATCAAACCAAACAAACACAAAATATGAAGTAAGTATGGCAGTGAAGAAGTAAACTTGAGCGTGTGAGGTAGAATTTTATACAATTGGGGAGTGATTGTTGGCTGTTGGGGCCGTCTCAATTCATATCAGGGACAGGTTCCGGACAAGTTCCGGACAAGTTCCGGACAAGTTCCGGACAAGTTGCGGGAAGAATCATTCATTTTTTCCGGAAGAAGCTCTGCATTTGTCCCGGACATGTTCCAGGGAAATGTTCATTAGCAAATGCTTGACTAACCAATACTGATCACTTCATAGCGGGAAGGTTGCGGGGAAGTTGTTCAGAATTCTGCAACTTATACCCGATACAATGTCCGGAACTCGCCCCGGATAAGAATTGAGACGGGCCCTTAGGGCAACCAAGGCAGACAAGTGTACATGTACATGTAACCTTAAAGAGGTTGTGGAATGCTCGAAGACATTTCCGTCATTTTTTGGGTATATGTAGCCTAAGGTGTGATGAAATAAAAACGACTATTGTTTCTGTCATAAAATGAGTACAAAGGGTACTTTTGAGAGCTATTTTTCAGGTCCTGTTTCGACCCGAACGTGCAATTTGTGTAAAAGTCGTCGTTGCGGGCAGCAAACAAAACACAGTAAATTGTGACGTAATAAACAGGACTCGTTTATTCTACTCTGCATCGGGAGTCCTGTTTATTACGTCACGATTTACTGTGTTTTGTTTGCTGCCCGCAAACGACGACTTTTACACAAATTGCACGTTCGGGTCGAAACAGGCATGACAGGACTTGAAAATCAGCTCTCAAAAGTACCTTTTGTACTCATTTTATAACAGAAACAATAGTCGTTTTTATTTCATCACACCTTAGGCTACATATACCCGAAAAATGACGGAAATGTCTTCGAGCATTCCACAACCTCTTTAACCCACTGGGCATGTTTGCAAGAAATTCTAAGAACGTTTCAACTTCCAATACAATGAACACAACTGACATGTGCTGTGACAAAGTTTTGACATTAAAAGCCATCAACAGATGACTACATGTACATGTACATGTAGCTACAAAAAACATATGTGACCCTCCAGCAAAAAGCCAGTCAGTTGGGCCAATTTTTGGAAACTGGGATTTTGGGCTCATTGGAAAGGACACTGAATAAACTTTCCAATGATGTACATGTACATGTATAGAATGGGAATTGGACAAAAACTGGCAGAGTTATAGGTAATGTCAGTTCCCCGGCCCGATTTTCGGGACACGGAAAATTTGTCATTAAAGTTTTCCAAATAAACTCCTTTAGGAAATTTACAAATTAACTTCACTGGAAGTGAAATACATGTATATTCATTCACCCTCCTATGCAAAGATACATTCTGTGCAAAGTTGTTCTTTCAGTCAAAATCAATCAAGTGACTGTTTTCAACAGTTAGGAGCTCCCAGCCTACATACATGTAAAGCAGGATTGACTGGCTGTGACTTTTTATGTAACTTGATACAGCTATGCTTTGACTGTAGGTGAGTGATAAGCCAGCTGTGCCTACCACTTTCCTGCTTTTGTATACATGTTGACTGAATTTGACTAGTCACAGTGCTTGCTTGAAATGTAATCCGACTGTTGGTCACTAGCCTGTGTAAAAGGCACGACAGGGGAAGAAGATTGATTATTTTGACTGTCTGTTGCTGTTAAGACAGCAGGAGGGTTACTCTAGCTTCTAATGTCTAAATCTGAATTTCAATAAATTTTGTATGTACAATGTAAAATGGGCTGTACATGTATGTCCAAATATGGCCATGCGTCACAGTGAACTTTTGTAAAAGTTATTCAATTGTTAGTGCAGTACAACCAGATAGTACCAGATCGGTCAATCAGAGAAACTGACCTTATTGTTAGAATTGTTAGTAGAGAGAGTAGTGCGAAGAGCGGCCGGTTTGGGCCCCTCCCTGGGTGCATCAGGGGTGCTATAGTTGGGCCCTTTTTGGGTGGGGTTCAGGCCAGCGGTTGTTGTTGACTTGCCTTGGGTGGCTTCCTGGCGTGTTGGTCTTGGGGTTGATTTGCCGTGAATGATCAAATCCATTCCTATATGTACAGGTATCGAGGAAATATAAAAACCTATGTACACAACCACAACGAACAAGAAAAAGAAGCTATTATGAAAATAAACAAGACTGAGAAAGCTAATAACAGTCAGCTCAAATGTTTAAAATGTACATGGTGCACCGTGCATGACACCAAACTTTCCACTCTACATCATGTACGTTAAAGGTATACATGTACAAATGTAGTCCATCATTTGTACATGTTGTAATTTGTGCATTTTGTTCTTTGAAGCAACCAAGTGCTCAAGATCTAAAGAAGGGTGCTGAACAACTAACCTGATGAAGTTTCAGCTCAGCTTTAGCTGTGTATTTCGAGAAAAACAACATTGTCGGATCTCGATTTCAAATCAAAAGTTGCTGAATCATGTTTTGAATTGGGCCTGAATTCAGCGTCCGAGACATGTTCTTACTGAGCCGATTGCAGCTACGTGATGTCGCGCACTGATCCGACGAATCGTGCCAATGCTTGTGCGTGCTTCGCTGAATAACAAAACAAACTACTAATTTGAATTTCCTGTGGTGCTTCTTTAAGAAGCACCATTAGAAAGGCCTTCTTTTGTTGATTTCTTCAAATTGACAGCTTGCCAGAAAGAATAATTTCACAGGATGTTTAGTCCCCTTACTATCTTTCAACCAAGTATGTTTTTCAATTAATACGCCAGTTACTTTTTGGATAGCTGCAAATGATGGACTCTGGCTTTAAACCATCCAGTTTCCAATATGACATAAAGGAAATGTAAAGATCCAAAGCTTTATCAGAATGTTAATTACACAGTATTGAGAGTGCCAAATTTTCGGACTAGGTTCGAATTACTGTAGGACTTTTTTAAAGGGATGTTTAGCCTAATCTGAGAACCATTCAGTTGCCTCCCCCTAGAACTATGGGTATTACAAGTAATACCCATACATGTAGTTCTAGGGGTATCAGTTGCACACTGACACATGCGCAATGGTCGACCTTTATAAAATTAGCAACAACATATTACTTCCTTTTTAAAGTAGGCCTAACAAAAAGTATTTATTTATTTATTGTCATGAACAAAAATAAGGACTTTTGCAAGGTTGTCAGAGTAGCGGTTATTCCTCCTTTTTTTCACTGCAATTGTAGGCTGAATCTTCATCGTGGATCGTTTTTTACTTCAAGGACCTGTGTAATGGTTATTCCAGGCAAGTTTGGGGCGAGTTGCAGTTGCAATTAGTGTGTAATGGGGACAAAATTGAACATTTTCAAGGGGGGACCTGCCTATACTATCGGTTACGAGAAAAACTAGCTCCAGCCCTAGATGACAACCCAATGATAAAACTCAGGGCTGGGTAACTCCAGCTACTCAAGGACAAGGACCTTGACCTTGTCAAATTTTGTGAGAAAAAATATTAAACATGAATATGAACACAAATCTTACACACAAGTCATCAAATTGGCACTTCATGGTACTTCCATTGCTTCCGAAAACTTTAGCCCCCCCCCCCCCCCGCCCCGCCCCGCCTGCTTATTATTATTTTTTTTTTACCATGACAACCCTTTTCTTTCGCGGATCGCCCATACATGTATGTCCGGTATCTGGGCAACCTACCTGACGGGTTTAATTTCTTGTCATCGACTCAACTGTAACCAAGCTGATTAACACAGTAAACCATATTAACAGTGCACAAATCAGTCCTACATACTCACAGATTTCAAAGTCTCTTTACACACAAAAACGAGACACCTAGGTTTTCTTCTCCTTTTTCAAACAACACAACGAACGGAATGCTTTGCACCGAAAAGTCTGGTAACGTAACAGTTGTCGCATTTTTCCATATGTTTTACGTTAAGTGAATTTGGGGACTAGACATTATCTGGCATCCAGACGTTGAGCATGTATTTCCCATCTAATTATCTAGGTAACCAGTTCAATTTATTTATCTGCGCGATTTTAGGCGATTGATCGATTCAGCTTCAGAGGATTTGGAGCGAGGAAAAACCTGACGGCTGACGGTTTGAAAAACAGTGAGTGTTGCGTCATTTATTGAGTTTTTTCTGTTCTAATTTTACCACATTCTGCTGTGATTTCATAAAGTTCTTAATGATTATTATTTATCCGAAAAATAACGTTTCGATGGGGAATAATAAAGTGCGGATGAGGCCTGGGCCCGGCGCGCGCGCGGCTATAAAAAGTACGCAGTGGCTATTGTTACGGCAGCCGTAATGCATTTCCCATTTTCTATCGTTACGGTAGACTGCAACCTGGCAACTTTTATAAAAAAAACATGACAAGAAAATATAAAATTAGAAGGAAAAAAGTGAATTTGAACTTTATTAAAATTCGGACTTTATTTCCCTTTTAAAAAAAATCCTCCAAAGCCTCAGGTTAGAAAAGGAAAAAAATTCGAGTGCAAAACTGAGATTCGAACCCGCAACCTCGCGGTGCAAAATGCTACCCTCTATCGGCTGAGCTGGCGCACTGCTCGATAATACGTGTGGAAACAAATAATTATATACCTGCGTGCGTATCAAAAAAATATCGTAGAGGGCGCTAAACAACGAGTGCCGTAACGATAGCCACTTCGTAAAACGTAAAGCAAAGGCGCTTAGACCATGTAGAGTACGTAGGCCCTATGTTGAAAGTGAAACCTGACGCCACTTCAGCGGTTGTGTACAAAGTCTATGGAGAGTCAAGAAAATTTTCCAAGTTTTTCCTGACAAAATTGGAAATGTTTCTCAGTCCCGGATAAATGTAGGCCTATGTCTTAAACTTAAAAACCATCGTTTTTGCTAGTCCGAGTAACTTGGACCCAACTTATCGCCTTTTTAAAAATTTGGACACGGTCTGGCGATAGTAGACCATGTCCAAATTTTTAAAAAGGCGATAAGTTGGGTCCAAGTTACTCGGACTACGTTTTTGCAATGACTGACCTAGCCCCATAAATGTGGCCTATTTACTGGACTGCCTCCGTAAACATAGGCCACACATCCACATGTACAAAAATCGTGTCGACGGAGCCAAATTTTGATTTTCACATTAAGGCTTAGTTTGTAGGTTTTTTTTGCTTTAGAAGCATACTCACCCTCTTTATAGGCTAATCAGAAAGTGCTGCCTTTTTCAGATGTATATTTTTCGTGAAATTTCCAGATTCATTTTTACACGTTTGCGTATCAAAATTTCAACATGAAATTTCACAAAAAATAGACATCTGAAAAAGGCAGCACTTTCTGATTAGCCTGTAAAGAGGGTGAGTATGCTTCTAAAGCAAAAAAAACCTACAAACTAAGCCTAAATGTGAAAATCAAAATTTGGCTCCGTCGACACGATTTTTGTATATGTGGATGTGTGGCCTATGTTTACGGAGGCAGTCCAGTAAATAGGCCACATTTATGGGGCTATGACTGACCATGCATGACCTTCATTGAGATGATATATGAAGAAAAAACAGCATCAGGTTGCAACATTCTTTCGGGGGGGGGGGGGGGTAGAGGAGGGGGTTGGAGGGGGGTTAGAGGGATGGGAGAAGGGGGAAACAGGGGGAGTGGTAAAGAGGAAATACGTAAATATAGAGAGGAGTTAGCCCTACCTCCATAAATAAAGGTCACTACTCACACTTGAACACGTACCCGAAATTTAAATGTACACCTGTGTCTAGCTTGAGTAACTCCAGCTGATATGCTCCATATTCATTGAAAATGGAGCATGTCAGATGGAGTTACTCAAGCTAACCTGAGGCTGTGTCAAGTTTTGCTTTTCACATTTAGACTTTGTTTGTACTTTATTTACGCTTTAGAAGCACACTCTTATAGCGATACAAAAGAAGTCTCACCTTTCTTAGTACATGTCTATTACACGTCTATTTTTCGTGTAATTTCCAGGTTCGTTTGCACACGTTTGCGTATCTAAATTCCAACATAGAAAAGATCACGCACGTGCTGGATCGTTTCTGCTGTCAGTCACGTAGACTTGAGTCAAGGGGCATGTGGTAACCTGGACACGAAAAAAAGACCACGCGAGTGCAGTGGCGGCGCACACAGCCAATGAGCTCCGCCACTCACATGAGAGCGGCGTAGGATAAAAGGGGGAGTATTCGACCACTTTTTAGTAAAACTGGCACTGCCTAGTGTAAATGAGAGAATAACCATAGTAACTCATGACATGATCATGAGCTGTTGGATTCGGAGCGGGACACTCCTAAATCAGCTTAGACTTGACTGAAGTCGGACTTAAGTCCATACCTACACTGCCGTCACATCGTTTTCATAAACCGTTGTCCATCTTGGACGATTTACAGTCTTTGGTAGCAAATGACATAACAAAATGTAGTTCACAAAATTCCCCAAAAGATGTATAAATGACGTTAGGCCAAAAAAAAGAATAGTTCTGCTTCCGGTTACCCAACCGACCCTATTTTTAGGCTGCGACCCTAAAAAATGTATCGGCAATTCCAAAAAAAAAAAAAAAAAAAAGATTGAATAAATAAAAATAAAATTTTGTTGTCTTTTCTGTCTTCACAAAATACCTCAACAACCCTTTTGCATCAAAAAATGCTTGTATTTATTTGTTTTCTTACTTACATTCACTTCTTTTCAAAAGAAACCTCCGTTATTTTTACAAATTCGCTTCGCGATATAAACGATGTCCGTACGGCGACTATATCACGTGGCGACGACTGGTTCCCGCCGCGCCGCGCAGGGGCCAATTTAGAAGACATGATGAAAATGCGGTAACCAGTCCATAGCTATGCGATCGCGACCGATAGCGCGCTAGCAGTGCAGGCCACTGTCAACTGGTCGGATTCGACATCGTGAAAAATGCCAAGAAAACACCGATGGAGAAAGAACATTTTTGCAAGTTAATTTACAGAATTGATCTAGCTTGTCTGTGTATGTATTTTCTGTGTTCAAGAGTTCATTTTGAGATCGCACTACTCGTATTTGGAGTGATACATGCCGCGTGTTTCCCGAAATTTTTGACCGTGAAAACAGGTCTGTCGGCCCATGGCGGGCCGCTCGCCACACATGCTCGCATCACACACCTCGGAGTTTTGGCCAGCTCCCCGCATCTTGACTAGCGTTGTGCATATGGTGCGAACGACCTGAATTTTCCATTATTTTTTTAAATTATCGCACGTAAATATATTGACAATAATTAAAGGTAGGTTTTATTCACTTTTTGTTGCCATTTCGTGTATAGCTTTCGTAGTGCAATGGAAATAGTTCAGGCTAAAACTTCGCATATAATTGAATACCCCATTCAATCTGCATAAAAAAAATTGGCAAAAAAAAATTTTTTTTCGACCGACCGACCCTTTTTTTGAAGGGCATGTAATCGGAAGCAGAACTATTTTTTTTTTTTGGCCTTATAAGACGATCTGATTCAAAATTATGACCCCTCCAATGAGTGTGGACTTTCCTTTTTTGTGTGATGTTTATGTACATGTAGCATATTAGCACACATGCGTACCACTTCGGTGTATGTGTACATGTACACCGGTAGGTGCATGTATGTGTACGCATACTGCACAAACTCCCAGTCTAAATTCAACTCGAGCGTGAAACAAGCACAACATGTACATGTCGTGTAAATGCTATACAAACCAATTTATTCATTTAAGGACTTCATATTTTGAAGAAAAAAATTGTTCGAAAACAAAATATAAGATTTTAAAAATCACTGCAAAACTAACTGTGTTAAGTGGCATTGCACTCACGGCTATCTGTTTGAATAATCTTCTGTGTGGTTTTCTTTAATATCGATTTTTCTCTTGTACAAATACCAAGCTCATGCATCTGTATAAATACATAAATACATGCCATACATATTGACATATTAACATATTGACATATTAACATACAATGAATTTGTGTACAAAATACAATATTGACTTTTATTTAACAGGGTGTGTATTGCTGTGATGTAACTGTTTAACAACTGTACATTATATACATACCAAGCATGTACATGTATGTATATTGCAAGCTGTACATGTATTTGTTCTTTACTGACCACATACATGTAGTATTCCACATATATGTACATGTGGCTGAATGGAAGTTGAGCATGCTGTTTGAAGTTAAGCCCAAAGATAAATTATTGAAAATTTGAACCAAGATAAATGATTAACCGGAACAAATGAATTTCACACTTCATTCTTCGGAAATGAAGTGTCAATTACCTAGCAAATATGTACTTTTTTTGTGTGAGGATACCCAAAATAGGTTTCCATTCTCCTGGTAGAAGATGACGCCGTTTAAATTTTGTTTACATTAGATTGAAATTATTTGTTTATTGTCATAATAACGGCCTGTATAGTAAGCCATGACCTCTGTCATCTCACGACTTAATGAGTTGCGTGAGTTTCAGCATGAGTAAACACTTTGTATTCCAAACTGTGAAAACAACCTCGCTTTCCATCTGTTTCTGCTGTTGTACATGCCACACAGATTTTCTCAGGCACTGCTGATGAACTGTACAATACACTAACCATGCACACGTATGCATATATACATGTACATTTTGTACAAGAAAAACAGAAATGGCCCCGGCAAAATCCTATAAAATCCATCACTGGGCAAGAACGCGAATGTAAATGTAAGAATGAACATGCTTGTATTAATTGTACTGTCCTTAACCCTAAACCATCCCAACCCTTCAAAATCCAACTGCATGTTTTGTTGGAATCTGTTCTATATTGAGTACTTCACTAGTAAACTAAATTAACTAATTGTGCTTTGCATGGGGCATAAAGAAAGGACCACTCTATGGTACATGTAGGTCCTTTTTTTGTCCTTTCTCTATGCATGGGGTAAGGCATACCACCATAATCAGCAACAGTTTAGGTGTTTGAGTTAATAATATGGTGTTGGATTTTGCAAGAGAAGTTCCTAGTAATGAATCCAAGCCAATTCAATCCAAGCCAAGCCAATTACCGCAAAACCAATTACGTGTTGTATTTTAGGGGAATTGTCAGTTAAAGGGAAAATACAACATTTGCAAACATCAAAAAACGAATTGATCAAATCATCACGAAATACCTTACTGAATTGTTAGGGACTGACAGTCTAAAGCATCCTTTAAAATCGTGGCTCCTGGTGTGCTGACATTTTCCAGAAAACCATTTTCCAGAAAACGCTGGTCGGCCGACCAGCGTTGGAGAAAACTGGCTTTTTTCAAAAATTGTTCTTAATTTTTCATATTTAGTTATTCTGACTTTTCTTTGCAATTGATTACACACCTCTGAAGGGGTACAAGCCTGCTAGACTGATTCTCTGACCTTACAATTCCCCAAAGTGTATTAATTGCTCCGTTTCATCTTAAGTGGGGTCAGGGAACCAGACTACGAGAACATGATAGGTTTTCTTGGTTTTTCCAGCATCTACAAGCCCAAATTGTGAAACAAGTCATTTTAACAATATTTGTTAATACATACTAATCCTCCAAATCCAGTGCGTGAAATTACAGTTGGACATCGGACATTTTCCAACCACTTTCATGGTTTGTCCGACCAAATGCAGATGTGCTCGGACAAAATGTCCGAGCGATTTATGTATTCTTTGTGGAGTTGTCTTTTTCAGAAGTATGAAATAAACGCTTGCACTCAAAAGTATTTTGTTGTTTATTTCCGATGATCCGGTCTGTAATACTTACCGTACGCTGAGCGGCTGCTAACTACATGTACGTGTTGTCTTATATTCACGCAATAGATGCAACGCGTTTACACCCCAATCATTACACAGTCTAGTACAGCGCGGCGTGCACAGCGATAATTGGCATTCGTACGTACGTGCTGTTTGCCAAAAAGTAGACGTGAAATCAAGTCGATAAATTGTGTTTCGATCAGCAGTCTTCGTGTTTCTTCTACAAATCAGTTAATACAACTTTTTGTACTTTTCAAGTCATTTTATGGAAATGAGCAGTGGCCGTTTGTGGAATTCCCAGTTAATTTCTATTGGGCAAAAGTGTTAAATTGGACCTGATTCAACCTCTATTCCTTGCTATAATGATTCGATCGAGCCTCTTTGGACATTCAGAACTGCAATTTCACCCAGTTTAAGTTATGTGTTCTGCAGACTTGAATCGAGTCTGTATAGTGACGAGTCGAAATATAGAGTATTAGGCCTATAAGGACATTGACGCGCATGAGAATTTAGCAAGATCAAAGTACGTTGTGTTGCGCGGTATGCTTTAAGTGCGTGATTGTTACTAAATTCTCACATTGTGGCTTACTACAGAAACGAGCGCGTGAATCAAATTTGGAACGCTAAATGGCAGATCAAAACTTGACAATGGCAGAACACTTTTGATTGTGCTCGGACATTTTGTCTGACCACTTTTTTTGTCTAATTTCACGCACTGCAAATCCATTTATTTCTAAAAACTGAAGCAAAAGCAAATGTTGTACATTCCCTTTAACTATATTGTATGTCAACTGAAGAAGACGCTATTATTTCACGTTTTAGCCCGAAAGATTTCACTTTCCTTAAAAACCAATCACTGGGCAAGTAGGCCTATGTGTTTAATAAATATATGTTTGCACTGTCAATTACCTGAATGTATCAAAGTATTGCACACTCAAACAAAACACATTTATTTTAGAGGATTTTGACATTTAAACTCCCTGGGTATATTTTTTTGTAAAGAACCTAATCTTAAATCCCCCAAAATCCAAATTAAAAGTTAAGGAAACCAATGGAATTAATGGAGAAATAGTTTATTCTTTAATTATCATCAAGTCCACATTCTACCTCCATGGTCCACCAATTAATTCCTTCACCATGCAACCATGTAACATCATACACATACCATTTCAGAAACTCAAGCTATACCTAATACATTGTATTACATGTAGAAGCAGATGTAGATGTATGTATCATTATGTACATGTACTATAGACGAAACCACAGGCATAAGTTCGCTGTACAGGATGTACGTGTACCGTACATGTATACAGTCATCACAAGGCCCCCTTGGAGAAATTTTTGTGTACGGTATTGTACAGAGCAATTGCCCGTTGACAGATAATTTGAACAATTGTATTGTATTGTATTGTTTTATTTCCATTTGTCACAAATTATGCAAATGCAACAGTTTGTTATACTACAACATACCCGGTACATGTACAACACTTTGATCAATTTAAACATAAATGGTGACAGATGGGGGAACCAGGAAAAAAGCCTAAGCTTATACAGAGCCTGGTCCCGTTTGTGAATAACTTATGAAATAAACAACAATTATAGCTATAATTTAAACAGTGGTCAATAAATTAATTAAATTAACTATTTACTTAGCATAATAGTAGAAAAACTGAAGGAAATTGAAATATACATGTACATGCTAATTTACAATATAACATTTGATTATGATGGAGTGTGACTTGTACAAATGCGAATTATGGGTGCACGTCTTATATAATACCGGAAATTAGTAGGTTTTTTTAGATATCTTTTGAATTTATGCACAGTCCGAAAGAAGGGTATAGGGGTAAGCTGATTCCAAAGAATAAGCTGTGGGGTGCTGTGGCCCAGTGGTTACGATGTTCAACTCGTAGTACATGGGTACACGTTCGACTTGGTACATGGGTTCGAATCCGGATGGGGAACATGGTGCTTGTGCGCTTGGGCAAGGCACTACGATTGCCTCTCTCCACCCATGCAGGTGGAGTAAATGGGTACTTGGTAGGAAAAAAATTCCTTCAATGCTTGAGCGCCGTAATGACAGCCGTGCTAAAGCCAGGGTAATAATAGAGCGCCAGGAGCGCTATACAAGAAGCCATTATTATTATTATTATTTGTATTAATAGCTAGCACAATGCTTTCACCATTAAAGGGGGCCTTTTGATTGATGACATACGTACAATGTACGTACCGCTACGTGTACGTTGGTTTCTGTGCAGTGCATATTTAACCTATTTACCTACATTTGATGTTAACATGTAGGTCGTGGCTTCAATGTCTTGTAATATTCAACTGGTCAAATTTTTCAAACCCAACAATGGCCTTGAATTATCCTCTTTGTAATTGGACAGCTAGTGCTCAATTATAGAAGTGTCCACTAATACTAAAGTATAGGCATGAAGCCGTACATCAGTGGCGCCTCCTCCTCTGGTTTTTGTACTGTATGAATAGGGTGCTTTTTTTAAATGTCAAAAGTACAATGCTAACAAAATGTATGTGTACCAAATATACATGTACGTGGCACGTGAACCATACATACATTTGTACATTATGTATTGTGTTTTTAAATCTGCATGTAAAACGGCCTGTGGAATTTCCCCGCAGTGGGATAATAACGTTTTTAGTGTATTGTATTGTATGTACCGGTATATATACCGATAGTTTATCAGACGGTCTAGTTCCATGGTATACGTTGTACATGTCATGCATGTTGTACATGTACATGTACAGTACATGCTGAATGTAAACCAACATGTTCAATACAGTAAACCATTTGATTGGCCCATCAGACATGTCAGACCTCATGTTTTGGTGACGCTTGCTGCCTTTTCAGCTCATAGACCGTGTCTGCCCCTTAATTTGGTAATGTCTGATGTGGCTATTGTTCACATTTGACCTTACAAAAAACCCAATTCATACCCCGGTACATTGTCATGAATGCATGGACATGTACTTCAAAGTTAAAACCCCCCAGGAAATAATGACTTTATGTTGATTTGTTTTCTACAACTTCACGGTTTGAAATCTGTCCTTGACTATCACTATCAGGAAGACATTGTTACATACATAACGGTAGGCCTACATAACATATTCGCTTTATGCGTGCACATGGAATAGAAAGTTAGTTTCTTTTTAATAGTGGATTTCAGTTCCCCTCCAAGGTCAGCCAGAATCAACCTGAAGTATTTTTTTTGGAAATTGAAGAAGGTTCATGTAGAGCCACTGTTCTATATTTTACATGTTCATGTACTTGAAAGGCACAATGATGCTTTAAGTACAACAAGTAGTGTTGTAGGACTCAAGTCCAGAACTCAGACCCGAGTCCATCTCGATTATTAATTTCGGTGAGTTGAACTCGACTTGAGTCACATCGGCAAAAGATTCGGACTCGTACTACTCGATCATCATGACTCGACTTGAAGTTAATGACTTGTGACTTACGAGTTACACATTTTGTTTGACCAACACATACCTTTTAAAAAAACATAAGTCTGATGTTTATTTCCTGAAAGTAACATTAAATCAATGTTAAAGAACATTGAACACACAAACCGTATCGCACTTTGGTGTTGCAAATAATAATGTTTGTTGTTTAATGCACCCCTCCCTATTTCATTGCTTACATGTACCGGAATGTGGTTCCGTGTCCATGTACATCCATTTTGTACAAATGTGACTCTGACTTGGATCAAATGACTTGGACTCGGACTTGACCCACGTGACTCGGGCCCAGACTCGACCCAAGTGACACAAAACTTGGACTCGACTCAAGTGAATTGACTAATGTACATCACTGACAAAAGTACACTGTTGGTTAAGGGAAATTGCTCGCATAAAAGCTTAATAGCGGATCTTGGTTGTGTTGTAATAATATTTTGATTTGCTTTTTCTATTTTCCCTTTTTAACCAGCGTTTGCAGTGAGAATAGTTGAAAGCATGCTCTCACGGCAAATCAGAATGACACTGAAGAGGATAGCGTACAGTGTACGGCCCAGCTGCCAGCTGGTCTTGATTGTTCTGGGCGTGCTCACTGTCGTCTGGGTGCTGATTCTGCTACAGAGGCCCCTGGAGGACATGGCGTCCACCAAGAACAAACGCATAGAAGTGCCAAGACCCAAGGAATATGCTACCAAGAAAGCGTATGAAACCGATATAGAGAGTGAGTTTAGATGGAATCATGTTTTGTCTTACCTGACAGAGGGGTACATGTATGTAGTTGGTAAAGCTGGACATGCTTTTCTTGCAAAGGGAGAGACTTTTTGTTCCATTTGTAAAGGATGTTTGCATAAGATAGGAATTTGGAAAGTTTATATGTTGGGCATGAAAGTTCAGCAAATATGTTAATGGAAGCACTATTCTACATGTATATTAAAACATATTTTATTTACTGCTGTGAGGAACATTTCTGATTATACAACACCTGAATAAATCCCCCGTCATCTGATTGGTAGGTTATTGATCACATGTCATTGAATTATTCGTCCCAACTCTCGGCCCGGCTGTACCGTAAAAATAGAAGTTCTATTCCACGGTAAATGGAAGATCCGTTTGCACGGTCGCGATATTGATACCGTAGCTCTGACGAATCAGATGACAAAGATTTCTTCAGGTGTTGTTTAAAACAAATAATGAATGTTTCACATTTGTGCAGCAATGGAAAGAATAATTTCATTCAGTGACAGATGGAATGTTCCATTCCACAAGGCGACATTCCATCTGTCAATTCATGGCATTATTCTTACCATTGCACTCGTAAACATTCAGCATTGCTTAGACAGCCCAACCTTTCTTAACAGTATAATCTGACGTGCATTTCCAACAATTTTCCACTTCTACCCTACAACTTGTGAATTACAAAGCATCACTGCACTGTATTTGACCCATCTGACAGTGTGTATATTTGTTTGTTCTCTCGCAGTTGTTTACAAACAAGGATTCCTAGGGTACAACACATCAAGGTGAGTTCACATTTATTCTGGTTCCAAATATCATTAGAAAAGCAGAATAACTTACGTTGTTGCAATTGTAATTCTTGGATTGCAAAAAATATGAAGTATGTACTCTGTGCACCAGTACCCTCAGTTACACAAAGAGAATTGTGTGAAATTGCGTCGGAACCGTTGGCATCAAGTACAAAAGTCATGCTCAGGTCACAAAAGTGAGAAGTCGTGTGATTATCAAACAAGTGGCATCTCAACACATGAAAATCCCAACCATGCTCATGTCTCTCGCGACAAAGATTCACAATAAAATTAGATGATCCGGATACCATCACGTCGTCGTAACTTCCCACAGGTCGATAACGATTGATTCCTGCCCCTATACAATGCGTTCCATTGCATCCCAGAAATTGAAGTTTTTCTACTCTTGCGACTGTTGATTTTTCGGAGTGCCAACTGATGCTGATCGTCTTAATATCGTCACTGTAACGCTCGGGTCGCACAAAAAAAATTCAGCGACTGAATTTTGCCAATGGTCGTAGCTCAGGCGCAGTTTGATCCTGAAAAGTCAGTTGCCGACTGTTCTGTGTCATGTGTGTTGTCGCAAGGTCGATTTGAGGGCAGCTTAAGAGACCTTGAATGAGTATGGGAGTATCTTTAGAAACTTGTTTTTTCTTTTACACTGCCACCCAGGATCCCAGCCCTGGTTTATCATCAGGGCTACTTCCTAGCATTCTGTGAGGCTAGAAAGGAAACCTTCAGGGACATTGGAAGCATGGACCTGGTGGTGCGACGAGGCAGGAGGTTGGATTGGAAGGTGCAGTGGGGAGAGGTCATAGTAGTCGTCACTAAACCAGGTTACAGGTAGGAAATATAACATCACATTAAAAATGTGTATACAGTACATGTACCTGGGTAACCTGTAAGGGAGTGCGACCTAGTGGTTGGGGTTTGTGTCTTGTGATCAGAGGGTCAGGGGTTAGAATCCAGTATGTTGTGTCCTTGGGCAAGCCACTTCACCCCAACTTGCCTCTATCCACCTAGGAGTATTGGCCTAGTGGTTAGGGTTTGTGTCTCATGATCAGAGGGTCAGGGGTTTGAATCCAGCTGCTGGCCATATGTTGTGTCGTTGGGCAATCCACTTTACCCCCACTTGCCTCTCTCCACCCTGGAGTACTGGCATTAGCTGGGGAGTAACCCGCGACGGACAGGCATCCCATCCAGGGGAAAAGACTGAGAATATTTCTCAGTCTTTTCCCCTGGATGGGATGCCTGTCCATGCCACTTAAACCGGAGATAAACGTTGGCCTGGCAGGCCATATTAGCTCGTGACAGACTCTACTAACAGGTCTGCGTAATCAAGCGTGTGCAAGAGGTCATTAGCTTTCTTGCGCCCATTATGCGCACGTCAAGTTTGCTTGACGATAAATTGGTTATCATGCTCACGCTTGTGGAACACGGAAAATGTAATGCGTCTGTGTCCCAAATACCACTTGGCCTTTGGCTTCGTTGCATGTCGGACATGTGCACTAGCTACATTATCCTGTGCTCCACAAGGGCTCGTGGGATAACTTATTTGTCCACTGCCCTAAACTTATTTTTATTATCTGTGATCCATAACTGCCTTTGCCTGTGATTGACACTTCTTTGCAGGGTAATGAACCCTTGTCCAATTGTAGACAAGGACCTGGAAGCTATTGTTTTAGTCTTCATAGCCATCCCAGCTCATCTGAGTCAGTGGACGATGGTGGAAGATGGATTCATACAACAACAGGTCATGGTTACAAGGGTGAGGACATGTAAATAACTGGTAGATGGAACTATTACAGAGCCAAAAGGCTGTGCCAAACTCTGGATTTGTTTTGCAGGATATAAAAAAAGAAGTTGGATCTAAACACAATACCTGCTTGAAAATCGTTTTGAGTCCATTCCCATCAGAAGTAATTTGTGAATATGTAGTCAAAAGTCATGCTTCGTTTTAAAGTGCATGCAGTCGTGTGCAGTTCAGTATGTGTATTGGCTTGTATTGTGAAACAAATCGTTGAAATTCTATTGCGAATCCTATTTTTCTCTCGTTATTGTTCATTTGTCATTACTGAATTGTTGTTTTTATTACTATGTGCATACATGTGCAAGAGAGGTTTTAAAATCTGATTCATTCATACCTACCAAAGTTATTACCCATTCCCATTGGTCGAGAGCCGTCACGTGGTGGTTGATAAAGACCGGCTGGCTGGTCTTTAACACTTTTTTAGTGTCACATGAAATTTGGACTTCTATGAAATCCGGTGCCTTTTACTGGTAGTTACCATTTTATTGGTTGAACGTTCACAAAGCACACGCAGGCATGCACAATTGTACCAGTGAGTCATTATTTCATAGTCCTAAAGTCACACTACACCGTCACAGCTGCGTTCTGTGCTACATTGTGCATTACGCGCCACACGCGTGCCAATCTCCGTATAAGGAATTGTTTACGACATGGACATACCATAATATAGCTGGAGGGGTGTTGCGAAAAACATGAAATAAAACCGTTGAACAAATCGTTGAAAATTAATAATTTTTTGACTTGTTTTGACTTTTGTACCAAACATTTTTGATTTTTTTTTTTACTCAAACCGGCCAAGCACACATTTATTCCCTTAGTTTAATTTAGCAAATCAGCGTTTACAATTGTTATTACATGTTCTATTTTCTTTTCTTGCCAGAGTTTTGATAATGGGTTGACGTGGACCTATCCCCGTGACATCACAGCCAGCACTCTAGGCAAGATGCGTATCCCGCCGGGAATCTACGCCCCAGGCAAGCACTGTTTCATGCACTGTTAAACGTTTGACCTTTGTTCGTTTTGCGCTGTGAATCACTTTTATAAACACTGTAAAAAAAAAAAGAATGCCCACACTCATTGGAGGGGTCATAATTTTGAATCTGATCGTCTTAAGACATGTAAGATGACGTCATTTATATAGAACTTTAGGGAATTTTGCTAGCTACATTTTGATACCCCGTTTGCTACCAAAGACTGTCCATGATTGACAAAAATGATGCAATTACACGAGGAGACATTGCCAAGCGTAATCACACATGCATGACATGTCTGTAATTCGCCCCTATAGACTGCACAGTGCCCGAACAAAGCGCTGGTAATTTAATTCGCGTGCTCGCATGCATACAAGCACTGTGCGAGCGGTATAACCTGCCGTTTGTTTCGGGCAGTGTGATATTGTCAAGCAGCAATTTCCACTCGCGTACTCTTTACGTTTTCAACTTTTCAAACTAAATAATTTTTCATAAACCGTTGTCAATGTTGGATGATTTACAGTCGTTGGTAGCAAACAGGGTATCAAAATGTAGCTAACAACATTCCCAAAAGGTCGATATAAATTAAGTTGTCCTAAGACGATCAGATTCAAAATTATAACCCCCTCCAATGATGAGTGTGGACTTTTTCTTCTTCTTTTTTGCGGTGTTTATAAGGGCAACATCTGGAGGGGATCAGGCAGTATTTCAAGTTTTTTTAACCTAAACTTGCCGTGCCCTGCTATTTTCGCGGTCCTTGTCATTGTTGTCAGTCAATATTTTTCCAAAAAAATATTTAATATTGACTTGTATTGCCAACAGGTCCCGGTCATGGCATCCAGACCTCATCAGGGAAACTCGTCATTCCAGGCAACTATTTTGTGAAAGACAAGTTCGGCTCAATGCTCAGTGAGTATTTGCTATCATACATTATTCATGCATGTAAATGACATTTAAACAAAAAATATAAACTCCGTTTTGGTATATTTACCAACTTGCAAACCATCTGCATTATCGGAATTTGGACTTCTATGAAAGTTGAACATTTAAGAATCATTTAAAGTTGATAAAATTCTGATAAACCATTATCTCTACTTACATACCAAACTAGAAGTTGGTCAGAAACTTATTTTCATATTTTTGGGCACATTTTGAAAGGGTTCACTGTGCACTTCGAATTAAAATCGGAAAATCACGTCAAAATATATTTCTCTGCTAACTTTTTTAACGGGTAGATAAACTCACATCTTATGAAAGGGAATGTTTAGAGCTTGATGGAATTTCACCTACTGTGAACTTTCAGGTAACAGTTTGCTCTAGCAAAGCACTAGAGGCGAAAAATCAAAGTGTGCCTCGTTAGGGGCTGTGCCACGTTAGGGTACATCAACAATATAGGATTATCCTGTAACCCTTATGGCTGAATTTGGCCCATTGTGTAGAAGACTAGATGCATGAGAAGACTTCTAGTGAATATCGCCATTCTGAATCAACTGATTAGAATCTTGTGCACTCCCAGTGTCTGTTATTTTGCTTTTTGTTTGATGCATGCAGAAAATAACGATAACTTTAACGACAGCACCAACTATGCTAATGTGGTGATCAGCAGGGACCACGGCCTGTCGTGGTACTTTGGCGGTAGCATACCGTTTGATTTTGACCGGACGTGGCGTCCTATCCACACTGCCGAGCCAATGGTATGGCTTATTTGCACAAACCTACAAACGATAACCTGAACAGGCCTCGGTAGTGCTGCAGCAATTTTGGTGTACACTTTGTCCCTTCACTGTACATGCTGTACAAGTACATTGACGTGTATGTCTGAAACCACATTCCCTGCACAAACAGTTAGATGATGCTTTCTGACCAGACTCGAAGGCCCAGGGGACAGGACCATAGAGTAAATTACTAGAGCGCTAACTCCTCATTCCCCCGCGGAGATACTTTGAAGCCCTCCTGGGCGCAGACATTTTGAATTCATGTGCGTGTTTGTAGAACATTGTAATGAAATCAGATGCAATGAATTTCGAATAATGCTCTAAATGCAACGCACAAGTACAACGCACGCGTTTGCTTTTGAGTTGTTTGCGCAGAGTAAAATGAAACGCTCATTTACTGATTGTGTGTTTCAGTTTTGGGTGTCTCGGCTTAAGATAACGCACTAGCATAGAGTACAAACGCAGATATGGAAATATCCATACTAAAACCGTACAAAGTTTCTAGTTTTGCGTAGGTTTGTGCACAAACATGGATGCGCCCAGCAGGCTTCACTTTGTACAAGTTGAAACTCTAGTAATTCAATATAGCTCTATTGACGGGACACACTGCGTGCGCATGTCTGTTCGTGTGTGTATAGCTCGAAGTACGCACAGCTTATATTATTCTGAACATGTACAAAGCCATAGTGTCTTTGCATGGGCATCAGGCGTCATCAGCAATACGTTCGAAACTCCTCCCAGTGTTCTCCCCCAACCCTCACCTTGTTAACGTTGAGGGGGTACTTGCACATGGAGTCCACACCTGCAATATGTCATTTAGTAGTTTGAAAGCCTATATTTGATTGCATGTCAAACTCCACACATGCACTTGTGGTAGTCTGCATACAACCTGTAGACTCACGAAGTAGCACCAAGATTGCTGCAGTACAACCAAGGCCTGTTAATCATATTTGTATGAATTCATTTAACAACTAACTTTTTTCTTTTCCCTGTTGTCTTATTTTCATCTACCCACCTTCCCTCACTCCCAATATTTCTTGAACATTCTGTCCATGTACTGTGCATTCTCTGCTCCCCTCCCTTCCCCGTTTTTCGTTTTCCACTTCACTCCACCCCTTTCCCCTCCTATTCTCCCACCCCTGCCCTCCTCCCACCCCTTCCCCCCACCCCACCCCACCCATCCTCCCAACCCTTTCCCCTCCTATCCTCCCCACACCCACTCCCACCTCCACTCACACTACCCCAAAAAACCCACCCGTGCATACATCGCCGGACAGAGTTTGAGGAAAATATCTATGACAACGCAAATTACGCCAATGTGATATACAGCAGCGATGGTGGCGTGTCGTGGCACCTAGGGGGCAGTATACCGTACGGAACGGACGCGTCTGGCTGGACCATTCACAGTAACGAGGCTATGGTAGGGATGCAGTCACCGAACTTCCTTCAGACATGCTTCTCTGAATGGAGGTTTTTTTTGTACACGTGCAAATTGTGGTTGCGTTTTGAAATGTATAAAAAAAAATACTAATTACTGCATCGAACTAAACCGACTTGAATTATTTTATTTATTTATTATAGGTTTTCCCGGTTAATTTCTCAAAAATGTTGTTTCACTTCTGAAAATCGGTCATTCATTTTCGTCTGATTTGAGAATCGCTCTGAACACACGTTTCATATTCGCTACCAGGGCATTCGATTCCATTTCAGTTCAATCAATTAAGTGATTGAGCATCACCTTTGGTTTATGTCCATTCAAATTGGCTTACAAGACTTCTTTTTTGAATTTTTGCTTTAAGAAGGCAATTTAAAACATTCACCATTCTATTTCACTTTTAGTTTAATGCATTCAGTACCAGATACAATTAAGGGTTTCTTTGCATTAACTGTCAATCAAATTAGCTGTACCTGAAATCAATTCAGAAATGTATGCTTGTGTAAATGAATGCACAGGTAACATAATTGGCCGTCTTTTTGTCCAAACCGAATTCACGGACAATGAAAAGGATGGATCTTTTGTTGAATTGAATTGGAATTAAAGACGTACTTTCAAATTCAGACAAAAACGAATGACTTTTCAGAAGTGAATGAACATTTCAGGAAATTGGCCAGAAAAACCTAACCTATTCAATCTCTTCACCAAATTCAATTTGTTTTACTCCCAATATATTTTCAGTTTGTATGTTTCATTTTTACATTTTTTTTTTTTTTTTTAGAAACAAAAACAAAATGTTTTTATTTTGGCTTGCAAACAGATGTGGCCCTGTGAGTAGACTGGCTCCCTACCCTTCATAATCAATTCTGAGATAGGGAGTCATTATTTATTAAGTAATTATTCCATAACTAAATGTGGGTGGATTTTTTTTAATGATAGCTGATTCAAAAGTTAATAACTATTGTGCTGTTAGAAAAAAAGCACTTAAAAAAAGCACCAGAATTGTTTTTGGAAACTCCAAACTTGAAAAAAAAAACAGGGACAGTGCATCTTGTATTGCATTTTAAGTTGAACAAAAAAAATGTCTTTGGTTGCATTTTAAGTTTTGAATAAAGAAAATGGGCTGAATTCCATTCAGATTTGAATCTTTTCAGACTGAACACTGCAGATTTATGTTGCATGGCGGTCTGCGTTGCCTTGAATCTGTTCCCCTTAGTCGTAAATTGCATACAGTTTGTACTATGTATCAAAAGAAAAGTCCTACTTTTGATCTGTTGTTTACCAATGGAATTAAACCAAAATTTCAGATCATGTAAACAAGGCATAACACATTTTAATGGAGGGAGTTTCATCAGCTTTGCGCAAGAGGGTGAGATTTAAACGCTATTCAAAAAAAAACCCTCACTTTCAGAATGCCGATATAGCGCTGCAGATGGTGGAGGAAGGTGTGTGCTGCGGCTGAAAGCTTCTGAAGGAATGCAGGATCACCCCTGATGTCATTGCACACCTCCTCGATCGTGTGTTGCGCCAAACGATCGTGGTGTGCAATGACATCAGGGGTGATCCTGCATTCCATCAGAAGCTTTCGGCCGCAGCACGCGCCTTCAGCCACCCTCTCCAGCGCTGTATCGACATTGGAGGACGCCAAGTCAAAAGTGGCAGATTCTGAAATACTATTTTATTCGTATGGGTTTAAATCGCACCTTCTTCCGCAAAGCTGATGAAACTCGCTCCATAAAATTTGTCACGCCTTGTTTACATGATCTGAAGTTTTGGTTTAATTCCATTGGTAAACAACAGAGTTATTTAGGATCAAAAGTAGGACATGTTGTGTTTTTTTGACACGTAGTTCATCATGCACATGCTCACTACATTAGCAATGCTGCACACATAGACAACGGCACTCTATTCATGAGCACTTTCGTGTAACAACTACTTTGATCTTTGCTCCCATCTACAGTGATGTAAGCCCTCCTGCAATTGCCTGATTTCAGGGATTTTGTGTCATAATTGTAAATAACATATTGGCACCATACATGTGTGTACATACTCGTCCTCAGTACCTCAAATTTCAGGCAAAAATGTCGGAACCCGCTTACATCTCAGCATATACAGCCTGTCTTAAAAAAAATGGTACAATCAGAAAAAAAATTGGTTAAATATGAAATTTCAAAATAAGTCATTCTTACTTGGCATATTATTAAAGAACAAAGACTGGGCTTTCCAATAGTGTTTGTTTGATCTTATTTGCTTTTGTCAATTCAGAGATATAATCAATTAAGTGCGATACACCAAAATCGATTTTGTGCCACTTTTATGCATGGGCAGAGTTGTTTCGAGTACTGTGCCATGCTGTCTTGAAGCTCACAAAAGATTGCAACTTGGCAAAAGAAACAAACTCGATTTTTGTGTTCCGCAGTAAACTGGAGTTATCTCTGGATTGACAAAAGCAAATGAGATGAAACAAAAAGTATTGGAAAGCCTGGTCTTTTTTCTTTAATGTGATGCTCAAAACGACTTACCTATGTTGAGATTTAATATTGAAAAAAAAGTCGTTTTCAATTGTACCATTTTTTTGAGACAGGCTGTAGTTAAAAGTTGCCATATTGTTTAAAGGTAGAGTACATCATTTGCAGGCGTCCAAAAAGTAACTGACAAAATTATTGTTGAAAAGCATACTTGGTTTAAAGATAGTAATAGCACTAAACTCCCTGTGAAGTTATTCTTTCTGGCATGCTGTCATTTTGAAGAAAACAATAAAGGAAGGTCAGTTCCAAAGATGCGTCTAACAGACGCATATTTGGAAATTTCTGTTTTTAATTTGGCAACTGGTGCGCCCAAGCGTTTATTTCATGCACATGCAGGCGCGGTTGTTACAATTTGACGGTTCGGTGCGTGACTTCGCTTAGCTGCAATCGGCTGAATGAGAACGTGTCCCTGACGCTGATTTCAGGCGCAATTCAAAACATGACTCTGCAACTTTTAAATTGAAATCAAGATCCTAGACTATTGTTTTCTTGGAATATACAGCATTCACCGAGCTAAAACTTCATCAGGCTAGTTGTTAAGCTCCCCTCTTTAGATTTGGAGCACTTTTGTTGCTTCAAAAGAAAAAAATTAAGGAACAAATGACAAATGATGTACTTTACCTTCAGTGTTGACAAACATGCTACTTGTGTTTTTCCTTTAAAGAAACTCAGTTGTTCAGAGTTAACAATTGTTGACTGCTGTGATGTGGGATAGGGAGCTATGCGTCCAGAGGGTGTTCAAAACGTCATATATCCCACATCACAGCAGTCAATAATTGTTTTGTTATACCTCTGTCTTGGATTCTTTGGATTTTGATGTAAAATCACAAAAACAAACAGTCAGTAAACACAACAATCATGACAATCAAACACCAACTCACATGCATGTCGCGTGCTCGAAACAGCTGATTTGTCTGCGAGTTCACTGCTCCCTCTCATGCGCGAAAGCATGGTGAAATAGCGCGGGTACCAACGATACAAGCGTTTCACACTGTACGTACAGTCCGTGCAAAGTCTCACACTCCCTGTGGGATATCACGTACCTGATATCCCACAGGGAGTGTGCCATAACTTTTTATAAACTTAACACACGATCGTTCTAGACCAATGGAAATACAGTATTCAAGACAGAGGTATTTACAATGGAGTACCGAAGAACCAGAAAGTGTAGTGCAAATGAATGGAGTACGCGCCCGTGTTGGTTCACGGGCTGAATCACGCGCTAATGTCTTTCACACACACATCGTGCGCGTGACGTATTCACTTCGGTACTCTATACAGTATGTTGATTCCTACAGTTTTATATGTATGGTACATGGAAAATGCACTAACATAACATGATCGTAGCATTGATTAGATGTTGTTGACACCTTCATGTATGATTTGTTTTGTATATTGTACTTGTAAAAAGTTTGTCAATATTTTTCTTTCCAAAATAACAAGGACATCTGTCTTGCAATGCACATCTCCCCTTCCCTTCCCTTCCCTTCCTTTCCCACCTCCTTGCATGCTTTCGTTTGATCTTTTCTGTATTAATTCTGAGTGTTCTGTGGTTTGACTTAGTGATCAAATTATGTTCTTGCCTTGTTTCTTATAATTTATTATTGTTATTTGTTCGGCCAAAGTACAAAGATACAGCAAGCAATCCACACAAAAAAACAAAAGTAAACAAAAACAACCCAATCCAAGCTGGCCAGGATTGACAAAAGAATACTAAAATACTGTGACTTGAAAGCCTGTCAATCTGTGACTCGAAAGCCTGTTTGCCTGTTCTTGTGCGTGTGACTAAAATGTTGCTTGTCAGCATGTGTGTTGTATTGTCAGTTTGATGAAATTTGTGTTACTTTAAGCAGTGTCCAGCAGCTGATTTCAGGAAACTTTACGCGATGGCACATAACTCCACTTATGTCACATTGTATTGCGTATTAGTTCCGCAACATTTTGCGATAAAATTAACAGTCCTTCCAAATTTTAACAAAAGTGTAACATTGAAACATTACTTTGGTTTTCGATTCGCAGCATTGCTAATGTTGCTAGCATCGTGACTTTGGGCTTGATCCCGGGCTACTTGTCAAATACAGGTTTATGGCTCTGACAACCGCCCCTTGAACAAAGACATTGACAAAATGGGAAACCCACAATGGATCGGTAATCCGGAAGTTTCAGATTCAAACCCCGCTCCAGTCAATTTCTTTGTTCAACTTTGAAAAAAAAAAAATATTATAATGCACCTAGTCATTTTTCCTTTGAACAAATGAAAACTGAAACATTCCTCTGTCCACTGCTTTACGAATATATTAAACTGACAGAATGATTATTTGCTGGATTTAAGAAACGAAAATTGACTGTGATTTCCCATAGGTTGTTGAAATGCAAGAGGGAGTGCTCATGCTAAACACCCGAACCCTGCATCCCGACTTACCCAGAGTTCAATCCTGGAGCAGAAACGAGGGACATTCCTTCTCCTCGGGAAAACTAGTACCTGAACTCATCGAGCCCGGGTATAAGTTGGTCAACAATGAAACGCAGTCATCTAAAGCGGCAGGGTGCCAGGTATGTGCATGGGAAGCAACTTTTCTATGAACAAGACTAGGCAAACCTAGTAATACTGGTCTCTGAGCACTTTGGTCTAACGGTCTATGTATAGGCAGTCATCTGAGTCAAATTTTGGGCCAAGGCGAAGCTTATGCAAGTCTAAGGCTGAGAATCAATGGGCGTATTCGAAACGTTCTTGTGTTAAACAAACACGAGAACAGGGTTCCGAATGACGGGAACCAACACACGAACGGTGTTTGCGAACAGGATTTTTACTCCCCACTTATAGGGGAGTAGATGAAGAACATCAAGAACAAAGATGGCGGACTTAGGCCCCTACCGGAACTTGCGTTACTATTTGTGTATAAAATTGAAAGCATTCATTCAGTGCAGGAGCAGTAACGATAACAAAATATAATTGTACCTGGTTATATACATGTACTGGGCTTGTCAGCCTTGTCTTTGCCAATTTCTATAGCTGTTTCGGGATTTCAATTATTTTTGTATTAATTCAATTGATTGTCCGTTCTTTTCATTCGGCGTTTTGATACGGCGGCACACACTTGCGCGTTAGTAATCGGCAACCCGAGAACACTGTTCGCGGGTCACTCAATAACAGGGTTTCGAATACGCCCCATGTGTCCATCATGCCTTAAGCGCAGCGCACACTGCGTGTTGTGTGAAAGTCAGTTCGAAAATCAATGTGCATACATCCGTGTATCCATATTGCGTAGTGCGCTTTCAGTACTGTGCTATCCATTGAAATGTTATACGCTTTAGGTAGGGATTGAAACGGGTGACGCATGGGATGCGCATGGGATTTGTTGCCCGCAACCTGAGGGCGTTTTCGAATCCCTGTTCTTGACAACACGCGTGTAACACGAAAACGTGTTCTCGAGCTGGTTGTTACGAACGCGTGGGTGCGTGTCGCATCGATATAAAGCAATGCAAAATGGCCGACAATCATCTGAATTTGTACTTAGGCCTATTCCAAATGAACGAGGACGACTGTTGCAAAACCGGACATGCGGGGATGAAATTGCAGACCTGCACTATAATGGTATTCTTATTCCAATCATGACATTAGGGTATTAGCAAAAAAAAAAAAACACAAAACAAATTACGAATCTGCACAGTCCGCCTTTTTGTTCAAGCTGCACCTCGCTGAACCCTCCATCAACCAGGGAGTGAAAAAATCGATCCGCGAACGCCCTCTCGGGTCTGTTCGTCATGTTCGAGACCGCTGTTCTCGGGTCGGGTTAACCCGAGTGTTGTCAAGAACAGGGATTCGAAAACGCCCTAAAAGTGGAGCAGAAGGCTGAAGAATGAGTTACAGATTGAGCCAAATATTGCAGTTGTCGGAAGATTCTATTTCTTCAAGTATATTTGACCTTGTTCTCTTCCGACAGGCTAGCCTAATAGGCTTCCCAGCACCCCACCACATCAGTAAGCACAAGACCTGGTTAGCTTTCTCCAATCCGGCCTCCATGTTCCGCGAGCACATGTCGGTCCGTCTAAGCAGGGACGGAGGCCGGACCTACACCAACCCCTGGACGATATACGATCTCCCCGCCGCCTACTCGGACCTGACGTATTTTGAGACGCTGGACCGGGAGACGGGTCTGAAGCTGCAGAACTTTGCCATCCTCTTTGAAGGAGGCACGGACACTCCCTACGAGAAGATCATGTTTAAAATGTTCAACCTGGATGCCTTGCTGTCCAGGGTGCCAAGGACTATCAGACGACATCGGACTGCCGCCGGTAGTGACTGAGAATTGCTTTTTCACTTTAAGTTTTGAATTTGTTAAGTTAGTCACATATTGAGGAAAGTGTTCTGTCAAGTCCATCACGAGAAGATCATGTTTAAAATGTTCAACCTGGACGCCTTGCTGTCCAGGGTACCAAGGACTATCAGTTGACTTCGGACTGCTGCAACTTGTGACTGAGAATTTTTTTTTTTTTAATTTGAGTTTTGAATTTGTTAAGTTAGTCACATATTGAGGAAAGCGTTCTGTCAAGTCCATCACAAGTCCTCCAGTCCTAAGTCAAGTCACAAGCTATTCCAATGAACTGTAAACATTGCACGGCCTTGTTACAGTTTGTCCGCTGCTAATTTTGGCAAGACTGGGGAATAGACCTGTGATTTATTTGTGGCCGAATTTGCGCTGGACGTTTGATGACATTTTGATGGACTTGTGATGGACTTGAAAATGGCTCTGACTCAAGTTGCCAGTGGGTTAATTTTATTTGCCAAAGAACAAATCGATAAGGTGTTGCAATCAAGTATGAGACTCTTGTGTTCGTGAGAAAATTTTCTAACCAGGGGCACAGATTTGGTCAAGTTGAAGGCATCTACTTATTAACAAGGTTGATATTGTCAAATGGAATCGCAGCTAAGGCACCTTGGATGATCTGTGAGAGTGGATGGTACTGTAGTGCTGTGCGTTTTCGAATAATTTTGTATGTGTGCATTCGATTATTCTAACATGGACTTGATCGAATATTCAAATATTCGAAATGGGCGTATCAAGTTTTACCTGCGCCATCCGTAGCTGACCACCAATCATGATCTGTGTGTGCTGCACTTGTCAAAAATTGGCAAAGAGCGTTGAAACAATACAAAGAACATCATGGCTGTATCAATATATATTTTTTTTTGAGATAAAGGAATGGCTGATGTTTGACAGATTTTACAGAGGAATTTTCAGCTTATGTTCCTCATGGAAGCGCCCAAAATCATGCATGTAGTCTGGCTTTTGACAAAAGTGTGGCATTTGACAGTGAAACCATGTAACATACTAAAATATTGTGGACGTTTTTCATCATTTCTTCGAGAGACCACTCGCATTTTTTTGAAAAATCTGAATTGAAAAAAAAAAGCTATTCGGATATTCGGTGGAGGATTGAATATTCAGTATATCAGGCACAGAGCCCTATGGTGCTGTTGGATCTCACATGAGCCTGTCAGTGCACTACTTCGCACACATGAACCAAGTCTCATCTCTGCCTGCACAATCATGTAGCATCTTTACATGAAAAATGTATTTCCACATCTTCAGGTGGAACACGCCTGATGAGTCTCGGGGCTTTGCCCACTGGTTTTCATAACCTTTGCTCATGAGTCACATATTGCACTACATGTAGCTGTTGATGTCATAACTTTGCATAGTCCATTTGCAAAGCCGCCTTGTCCAACTCTTTACACCGTGTTTGCCACACCACATGCAATTAACCTTTTTGAGATATCGCGGATGCAATAGGATGGGGCTTAATTTGTAGGGGCTTAATTTGGGTAAATACAAAAGATTTTACCCAGACCAAATGACGCTTTTATTGTGTACACCATATCTCAAACAGGCTAACTGAATGGAGCACGGTAGTAACTCAGCTATAACATGGCGGTTGCTGGATGGCATAATTAGTGAAAGTGGCAAGTCAAACATTTTTTTTTTGGTGAGGCTCTAGTGTCGCTGTGGAAATGCTTACCGCCATTAGTTTTGTATTATTTTAAAGCTTGGAATCGTAACTTTATCCCTGGTAAGTATTGGTTTTATTTTCACAAGGGTTTTGAAATGGAATCATGTTCCAATATAGGCATGTCAAAAACATACTTAATTGATTTCAAAGAAAAATCAATCGTGTGATTTTTTTCTAATGTGGAAATGGTTAATCATGTAGAAAATGTGAAGATCTCGTTGCCTTTTACTTTGTGTGTTTCCTATTCTTTTCGATCCACGTAGGCTACACCTCAAATGAATTCACTGTTCTTCGTTTCAAGTTCAATTTTGAAATTCACGTGCAAGTATGTACCTACTCAAAAAAGCGCGCTCAAAGTGTGACTTAAGTTCGCATCTGATCAATTTTTCTTGAAATCGGTTGAGTTTGTTTTCGACATGCCTTTATTTGAACACGAATAATTTTAAAACTCTTCTAATTATCAAACCAATACTCGCCAGGGATAAAGTTCAGATTCCAAGCTTTAAAATGGTATATAAATAATGGCGGTACGTGTTTCCGCGGCGATGCTAGAGCCTCGCACAAAACAATTGCGGGTATTTTGGGATGCGCCGTATTAGTGCACTTTCTGCACTTGCCTTTGACATGTTTCATCATTGGAAGAAACTTACCAAAGGAGATGGTATTATTAGATGCTTTAGTATCGTTGAGGTAACCTTTTCACAAGAAAATAATGTAAACACGGAGCAATACATAAAAGTTACAAGCCAATGCTGCTTTCTCTCTGTAAACCTGTCTCTCGTTTACGCAGTATTTATTAAGATATTTCAAGAATTTACGAGGATACAATTATTCAGTAACTTTGTACAGACACTGAATCATGTTTGTTATAAAGACAGTCTTCATGTCTTTTATTAATTGTCGCTTTTTCTAGAAAAATTGAAGCTCATTATTAGGTGAACAGTGCATAATGGATTAGAATTTTGTCGCTCAGAGCCAAATATTGTAATTATAAATATTTAAATTCAAACCCTTTTTTTTTAAATCGCCAAAAAAGGAAATAACTTTTGAAAATACTGTTTCCTATGGAAATTGTTTTCAAATACAGGTAAATTCGTTTTTAGCTTTTTTACGGTCAGCAGTATTAAGGCTATTTAAGGAGTGGGCGGGGTTTAGGGCTTAATATAAGGACGTGTCATACCCACCCTCGGTTGCTACTTGACTGGTGATGGCCCTTACTAGCGCCTCCACCCACTTAGGTTGCATGTCTAGCCACGCCCATCAGGTTCCCCCAAACCACATATTCCAGCTGGATCATTTAGTACGGCAGATAGGTGATGGGATTGTGCCTTTGATGATACAAGCATGGCATTTGGCACGCAGTCAGAGTATGTCATGAGAAAGATATTTGGCTATAGGACCATCGCAGATTTGTCTTTTGAGAATATCAAGCAATGGCAGCCATATTGAAAATTTTGAAAATTGCTTGTTATTCTACGTATATTTTTTTCAAAGGACAAATCTGCGATTGGCCCTATAGCCAAATACAGTCGAGTCTCGTTAATACAAACTCGTTCGGACCTAGCCAAATTGTTTGTTATATCAGAATTTTGTATTAAGAGGAACATCAGTCCCATTCCTTGTGCACATAAATGCACAGTCGGGACCAAGGTTTTATGTTTGTTACAACCAGAGTTTTGTATTTACAGAGTTTGTACTAACGAGAGTCGACTGTATATATGACATACTCTGACTATGCCTAATTCCATGCCTGTACCATCAAAGACACAATTCCTCCAACTGCCCCAATAATTTTATAAATTTGGGGTCCACTTTTTTGCCTGTGCCTATTGCATCTGACATCTATGATTTGTATAATGCTGGATGCACTCCTTAATGCAGTCGTCCTCCGAGAGTTATCATGAACAGCAAAGTTTCTATCCAATAAATAATAAAATCAATGATAATTGAATGGCAAATTACAAGGTTCCAAGGTAACGGGGGCAGAATAACTGTCACACTTGGTACTCTAAATGTATTGAGTGGTCCAGCTACATTGCACACATATGTCCTCCCATAGGCCATCAGAATCACCATGCTTTGTCTATGTGCCTTCATCAATGACACCACATACGTGATTAAGTTGATCATATTCATAGCATTCTTCTTCATATGAAGAGTATTAAGTATAACTTCTTTTTGTTTTATTAATTTGGGCATTTCGGATGTAATATTCTATTGTAATTGCATTGCCAAATTAACCGAGAAGATATTCAGAATTACTTCATGTATGTGTATATAATTGAATGGAGTGGTGAATTTGTTTATAATTATGCTGAAATATGTAGTGTGACTGAAATGCCACGTGTGTATGTGGTATTTGAAAATCCCATCTTTTTTTAATGAAAGCATTATGTTTGTACACAATTATACAAATGTCACATGCAATGTATTTTGTTTACGTACGTGTAGTACACCAAGGTCTTATTTATGGTTACTTAATGTTAATCAGAGATTTAAATTTGTAGCTTGTGGCTGCATAAAATAATTGAATATCTGTTTATTGTTAAAGGTACGCGGCGGTTCATTTCCTTTTTTTTTTTTTTTTTTTTTTTTAAAGCAACCAAATTCCTCAAAATCGTTGAGGTTGCATAACAACCCTTGGCAGATTCTACAGGGTGGAGCAAAAAGAAGGAAACCCACTTTTGACAGCAAGTTTCACCCACTATAGTACTAACAAGTAACTTGTTAGAGCATATTTCAAAAATTCATTTTAATGATATTAAAATATTGATCTTTAAATGTAAGTGACGAAAAAGTGATTGCAAATGCATATTTTGTCTCAGAGATATGGTAGTTTAAACATTTCATGTGCCAAACATGTTTGTCCACGGACGGCTTATTCCATCCTCTTGAATGAGCTCCGGAGCTTGATTTGAAGACAAACAACACTACACTAGACTTACACGTGGATTGTGATGACTTGCATTCAAATTAGCATAGGCCTATGCCTAATAACACTATTCTTGCGATTTTTTAAAAGACTTTTTTCACCATGTATGGTTGAAGAACTATACTTCACTACATTATTAAAAAAAAAACAGTTGGAAAGTTAAGTAAGTAGGTTAAAATTTCCTTTCAAAGGTGGGTTTCCTTCTTTTTGCACCACCTTGTAGAAATGCTATCCGTCGATTAGAGGTGAATGTGTCAGTGAAATATAATACACATCAACACAATGAGAAGGATTCTTTTTCCTGTAGGCCTGCATAATTTGTTTTCGAAACCCTTGTGGAATTAGCTTTAACAGGGGTGTGAAATCTCAGCTTTAAAGCTGATTTCAGCTTTTTTTGTTTTGGATTTCAGCTTTTTTCACCTTTTTCCTCACTTGCCGTGTACAAAAGCATAGGAGATTTCCAAAGTTCAGCTTTTTTGCACTTTTTTCCAGCTGTTTTCAGCTATTTTTATCAGTGGTCACTCACACCCCTGCTTTAAGTTCACACTTAAGAATTTGTAAATATCTCTTTATGATACAGATTCTGTGCAATAAAGGGCTGTAGTTGGGTGAAGGGAAAAACTAGACAATTAGCGTCATTTGTAATGTGTCCAGCTTTTTACGTACATGTATGTCAGTAAACTTGAAGGCCCTCCAGGGCACTCGGCCATGTTCGAGGTAGGGGCGGATCTAGCTTTCCGGAAAGGGGGGGGGGGAGGTGAGTGAAGACGTGCTTGGGGGATCCGGGAGCTTGCCCCGGGAAAATTTGAAAATCAACGATGCTTTCGCCTGCATTCAGACAGTTTCAGAATAAATTTAGGAACTTTGGCATTCCGTTTATTATTTTGGCCCAATGTTACTGGTATAACATCAGTCAGCGGGTGAACGGTGGTGTCGGTGTTACCCCCCCCCCCTCCCTCCCCCCCCCCCCCCCCGATCCAATATTGCGATTAAAATAAAAACAAATTTTTTTTTAATAAGTTCGACATTTAAAAAAATATTCAATTTCGTTACACAGTTTCAATGCACAAAAGGTAGTACGCGGTGCGTATCCGCGTAGTGGGAAAAATACTCTTCAAAAATCATGGCTGCAAAGCATTCCGCGATTTGTCTTTATTTGAACGAAGAACATGTATACATCTCCGGCTGCCGCTTCACCCACCGTGGAAAAAGTTGCATGGGCCTCGCAACTCTTGGAAATGTTAAAAGATTCCTCCGCGGTCCGGGTTACTTTTACCATGGACGAATAAAACCCTGAATAAAACCTCATGCATCGACAGCTCGCGCGTAGCACGTCAGAGCATGGGAAACCTTGCTCGGCACTCGCACTGTTTAGTACTTGGGACTTGTTTTCCTTTCAACCATAATCTTCACACTTTAAACGAAAACTTGAACGAAAACATTCTGTCACTGTGACTTTTTCTAGTCTTTTGTTCCCCTCTATTCGTTCTAATTTGTATATAGACGCATATTTGAACAAAGAAATACATCATTAATTGCCTCTGAAGAAGATCTTGTTCAGATCGGAACGTATATTAGGCCATAAGGCCGCCTTATTTTTGTTTGAAATATGCTTCGGCCGGTTTTAAACAAGTACAAAGCCCGAGCCGAAGGTGAGGGGAGGGCCCTTTCGCCTTCGGTCAACTTAAGTCCGAACAAGTCAAAACGTATAAATTTCCAAAGATTTTGTTCAACAAGTTTACTTCACGTTTTGTGAAACACGTGCCTCGTGCGTAGGGCTAAAAATCTTCTATCCGGTTTTAAGTGTGACGTTATGCACATCTCAGTAAAATAAAGTCATTGCCCTCTAAGATGGCCGCCACGCATATCAGGTCTATTCCTAGCCCACTATTCGTACAGGCTAACTGAAGAGGGCGGCTGGCCCCCTTCAATGGCAATGGGGATTATGGAGCATGCTTCGTACACTTCAATGCTTTCACCATTGAAGGGGGGCCTCCGGTTATGTACCGAATAACAGTCTTGAAATAATGGTCTAAAAGATCATCCAAATTAATACTGGTACATGTCAGATCATGATGTGACATGTGCATATACATGTACGTGTACTTGCATTGCGTAGAAGACTCATATCGCACTACTTGAGTTGATCACCACGCTAAACTATAGGGGACCAGTCCATTATTTGCATGAGAAAACCTTTTCCACCGATGCACGCTTGGGTACACATTCACAGTAAACACACCTTGAGAATGAAATGCTTTGTGGTGCCGTATGACTGTACACGATCCAATAGCCTTTGCTGCCCTTCACCCTATCAGCATCTACAAGCTGGAGACTCAACAAAGCTACAAATCCAACATCGCCAGTAAGTGCCATCAAACGCGGAATACAAAGTTTGGCTTTTTTATAATGCCCCTCCATTGTTATGCAAAACATTGGTCGTTGAAATGCGCTCGTGTGAAGCAATAAATGGAGGCACAATTTAACCCCACGCCCTAGTATAGGCCCGCAGTGCATTGCAAACGTACGTCATTCTTCCATCTTTCCGCCATCCTTTTTTCACTGCGCTATAAGTATCACTATCAGCAACTTGTCGGCGTTGAGGCAAATCGGGACCGGTGATACAGTATTTTATCAGTTCATCTGATCAGATTTGGAATAAAACGGTAATAGGTGAGTTCATGAAGAAATAGGAATGGTTCAACATTACTGTTTGTCCATTTTTATTTTCATTCAAGGGACAAGACGTGGAACTTTATGCATGCCGGTTGACGATGTCAATTGAAGGGAATCTGTTGGTTAAACACTGGTTTAGCATGAAGGAAGGAATCCTCTGTGGTTTGAGGGATTGCTACTGTGCAAGTGTAGTCATGACTCGTTGGGAAATAATTATGTAGCCCTCCCTTAGCATTCAGACGCCAATTTTAAGTTGTTTTCGTACGAAATAAGGGAAAGAATTCCGAGCTAAGTAAGTTGTAGTTGTAAGGGTTTATATTACGTTTTTGAAGTACATGTATTTTGTTACAATTGAAACTGTTTCTCAATCGGTATCCTGAATTCGTGTTTTCTAATTATCAACATTAAATCCATGCCCCTCATTATGGTGAAAAGGCTTTCTTGTAGTTGCATTCCGTGAAGCAAACCAAACATTGTTTAAGACAAGTTAATAAAATTAGATTGCCCAGTTGTAATTTTAAAATGTTTGTGTGTATTTAGTCGGTTTTCAGCATTTGTTCCAGTTCTCTTTTTCTTAGTCATTGTCGGTTCACTTTTCAACTTGTTCAGTTAACTCGGTTTATATTAGAAATCGTTGTGGAATAAAGTCACGCTGAACACAAAATGCCTCAACTACGGTGAACATGGCGAGTCAAAAAAAGAAAGTGGCCGAATTAGACACAATTAGGAAAAATATACGTTGCTCGCAGCTATATTATACCAAAAACCCACATGCATTAAGCACATGTTATTGACTAGTTACTGTGAATTTCACGTAATTTACATACTTTATTCCTCAGTTACAAAATCCGACAGTACAAATATTGATTCAGCCTTAGATTTCAATGATCAGTCTCATTTGTATTTGAATGCTTGTGTGTAATCTGTAATTCTCACTCGGCTTCTCACATAACTTCCACGCAATGGCATTCCATGGACAGCTACGAAAATGGTTTCAGTAAAAGTGCATAACATCTGATAGCATTAACCAACTTCGGAAATTCCTTCTTTTTTTTAGATGAGTGGAAGAACATGCTCTTTTAAGATTTCTTGGTGTTTCAAATTTGATTGCCTTTTAAGAAACAAGGAATTAATTTGGGTGACTTTCTTTTGGACTCGCCCTGTTTTGATTACCGACATGTATTCCCCAACCGTGCATTTTGTGTACCCATAGGCCGGGTTATACGGGGCCTATCCAAACTACTTGAGGTGCGCGCGGTATTAAACAAACTCGACCTACATTCCCGGCGTAGCAAATCTACGATCGCTGGAGCGCCTTTTTGTAGCTCCATGGTCAATTTAAACAGTATAAAAGGCCTATAGACCATAAAACTGAAAAAGAACGCACCTATTTAAATAATTCACTCCTCTTTTTACAATATAATAATCAACAACACCAATTCAAAAGGTTTACCGTGGAATGTATACTTTGTTTCGCACTCTCTGTATGTTTTTAGATTGTTTTCTTTATTTGGAAAGAACGTTGCGTCCCGACGCCACATCTTTTTTCCATCAAATATGTCAATGGAGGTCAGTCATTGCAAAAAATGTGGAAAAGACATAGATCTGGGACTGAGAAACATTTAAAACAAATATTTTGAAATTCCCCTTTACTCTCCATAGACGTTGTACACAACCATCGAAGTGGCGTCTGGACACTACATTCTTTCCGTTTATTTTTATGATCGAGGGAATTATACAATGTTCTGGTATTGTTTGCAATTTGACCCCGCCCCCCCCCCCCAACAAAATACCACTGAGACCCTCATGCCTTTTAAGCCGGATTTACACCGCAAGAACAGGTATTACCGCAAGTTCTTTCTTTGGTTCATTTTTTTTGGCAGACATGGCATTCAGGTGGGCTTCAGTATTTGCAGTTCTGTGCATGGCTGTCTTCGCCTCGGCACGTATGTATTATATACAGCGATATTCATTTCATTAATGTATCAATGGTTCAAGTTCAGATCATGCTATAATCACTATAGTTTAAAATTTATGGTGGTTGCCATCAATTTTCTAAGCAAATTGGTTCTTATTTGAATAAAGACACCGAACTTCAAAGGTCAGGTGGTCGTCATTGTCATACCAACAGCCACTTGGGATTTCCCCTAGCAACTTGGAACTTACACCGGTCCCGGATGTTGACTTCAGAAGTATGGGACAAAGTCTCAATCATTGTTGCGGATTAATGTTTACTGCGTATGTTACAAAAATTGCCCCAGTTTTGTACAATATTCTTTATAGTGGCCAAAACTCCGTCGATGACTTCTGGAAACATGTATTACACTTTACACATCAAATACACTTAAGGATGTAAAGCCATTGCGAAAGGGCCCATGACGTGAATCTTACTTGGGAACATAATTTTGTGCAACTTTCTACTCCTCTTAAATGTATAAAATCTATCTGACGTATACCTTTTGGTTATTATATTTATAGAAAAGTGCACTTTTTTACATTTAACATTGTACATGTTTTTCCTGACAAATGAGGGCGCTGTTGCTGTGATGTCATTACAAGAAGACACTGTTCACTTTAGGGGTTTTCTGTTCAAATTGTTAAGCCAAAATTTTGCTCATTGGCTTACTGACACGTACCAAAGCCACAACAGATTACCAAAGAAAGTGTACCACCGTGAGCAAAATATCAAAACTTCTGGCAACTTTTGGTGTTGAAATAGCTGTAACATTGAGTTTTCTGCCTGAAATGACATCACACTTTTGCTCATGAATATAGAAATTGGTATTTGCATAAAAAACAAAAAGGCACCAAAACTGCTTACAAAAAATGGCGGAACGAAAATTGAAAATAGAGTTAAATGGGACTCAAATGTGCATATTCAAGGACTGCATTAAACAAATGTCATGAGCCCTTTAAACTAATAACATGTACATGTATAGGAAAAACCCGCAAAAGAGTTAGCCTGTCGACAGCTGTCCACTGTACGATAAGCCGTGAAGTACAGAAGTGTATAGATCTATTCCTGAAGATAAGAACTTGAATTTTTCACGTTACGAATACTTGTGTACACGGTACATACAGTAGTTTTATAGAAGAGGCCACTTTCAGAGGTCCCTCAGCTAGCGGAGCATTGCAAATAAAAGAGGACTCTAAACCCGAAGAGTCGGCTCCTACGTTTACGCCCGTATCTCTTTCTAAACACAAAACAAAATGGGGAAACTGCCAATTATTAAACATTATGGCTGCATGGATGACACAGTTAGTGGAGCACCGGCACGGTATTTCGGAGGTCGTAGGTTCAGACCCCGCTCCAGTCAATGTCTTTGTTCCCTTTTTTTTTTTTTTTTAATTGATGTACATTTGTATATGTACTTTGATTCATCATTTATGCAGAGGAAGAAGCGACGTTTCGCTGGTCTGAGGTCTCTGCCGGGGTCGGTGGCTGTATCGGCGGTATGATGCTCATCATCGGCATCTCCTTCGTCATCTACGACTTCACTTGCCGAGACTACTTTTCTGGCAGGGCTGGAGAATATTTCAGGTAATGTCACCCCTTTACTATTTGGTTGACTGAGATTTTGTAGTATTTTTCCGGCTAATTAGTTCTTGTTCACAGAGCTTGGCGAAGGTTAGCCTACTCATTTACGAGTTTAAAACTCGCATTTTATTTCGGTTCACTTGACTCGTCTTGACTTAACTGTTTTAGAATGGTTGTACATATACAATTGAATATGGTCTTTGTACATGCACTTTACCGATGCAAGGTCTTCAGGAGCCCCGCTCTTGCAACTTGTAGCCAAGTTAGTTTTGATCCATGTCCAGCAGGCATGTAAGAGATAACTTTTTGATTCTCAAGTATGGAAAATATCTGCTTATAAAAACATGCGCTCGAAACGGTTGCTTCTTTTGGTCATACCACTTACTCCCATTTTCTTAAACAAAATCATGGCGGACTTTTTTTAATAATAGAACTTTTGGCAAAAACTGTGTTATTCCACTTTCATGTAAAAAAAAACCACACGAATGACCCCACTCATTTTCAAACCAGGAACGCAACATAATTCTGCTGTGATTATAGGGATGAATACATGTAGGCCCTATACAGTCATTTTGAACCATAAATGCATTTGGTGGTACATGTATTTTTCTGTTTCTCTCGACAGGGCGGACGCAGATGTGGCGGCTGGAAATTCGACGAAGCTGTAAGCTGATCGCTTGGAATTATTTCTTGTCGCCAAATGATATAGGTGAACGATTACCCAAAACTCTCTACCTGATGTACCAAACCTCACCCCGTTTTCTAGTCCAGTACTGTTCTTATGCCCAATTTTTTAAAACCAGAATGACGTGTTTTTATCCGTTCGATATGGCTGACTTGTAAATATACATTTTATTACTCCATTTTAAAAAAATCTGAAAGAGATTTAAGGGCCAAATCAGTCTTTCAAATACGTTCCCGAAGAAAATGCAAAAAAGGACATGAAATAACAATTATAACAAGTCTTAATTTTGATATATACGTGACTTGTATATTACAGTAAAATAATACCTTTTTATATAAAACGCCGCACACGTTTGCATACCTGCTGATCCAAACAAGTATTTTTACTTAAAAATTGATGTAAATAATAAGCACATTAGAGCAGATTTGGCACGATATTTACATGTAGAAAGTGGTCGACCAAATTTACATTGCGTGGTCCTTGAGATAGGGTCTTCCAATCAAATTGAAAAACACTGACTAAACGAAACGCTGAATAGGCCCAAGTACACAAGGCAACTATTGTTGATTTTTTAATGTAAAACACCATTAATCTCCAGTAATTTTGTGGTCGTCTTCGAATGAATTTTTAATTAAATTGCAGTAATTTCAATGGTATATTTTTTTACTGACTGGAATAGAACGTAGTTTAATGAGACCTTTGCTCCAACTATAGAAAACCGGGTCATGAAGATATTGATGCTTGTATATTTAGTTGTGGAGATATGTTTTAATTCTAATCATATTAATTGTAATCATAGTACATGTAGTTGAATGTTTTTAATTGTTTGTCGAATAAAGTATATATATATAAGATATAATGACATTTTAAAGAGTGTCTTAATTCTTTCTCTAAGTTAATGCCTGCAGCGTGCCAAAGGTAACTTGAAACCCCAAAATTGTGCACTGGATGGAAATGAAATGGAGTGAAAAAGCCAAATCAGCATTTTTACTTGCAAGTACCAATTCTACTAAACATTTTTTTCGATTATAAAAAAAATAAGTCACGCGGTCCGAGTGACAATAGATGACCATTAGCAACACGACAGCGATGTTATTCACAATTTGTATCCCACAATAGCTTTGCTAGCACGAGATGTCAATTTGGTGTATTGGACGAAATTTATTCAGTCTTCTGAATGATACGTGTACATGTAGTGCCAAGTTAGGGGCAACAAAGTTGGTTCCAAGCCTTGGGTACAAATCTTATCATGAAAGGTTGGAAGGGTTACATCTGTATCATGGGAGGTCAGGAGAATGAGAGGAGGTTTGATCAGGACTGTTGTTCAAGATCCTAAAATGGTCTGGATGACATCAAGCCAGAAGACCTGTTTTCCATGTCTCACACTGGAACAAGAGGCCACAAAATCAAGCTACATGTATTCAAGAAGCGGCTCAACAAGGGACTAAATATAAGAAAGTACTTCTTCTCTCATGCAGAGAGTTGTAGTCGTGTGGAATGATGGGCTTCCAGCAGAGGTGGTGAAGTTTAAAGGCAAGATCGACAAGTACTGGAAAGAAAATAGATACGGGGTACTATAAAAGGCTTAAACTTATACATGTAAATTACACCCATCAATCTTAAGTTTGACCAATACATGCATCAAGAACTGAAAATAATACACATGTATTTTGTGCATTATATTTCTCGAATCACGGAGTTATTATTCCTCCTTCTTGCCACCGATGACACCTTCAATCTTCTCGGCTTGCAGCCTGCTGATCTCGTCTAGCGTTGGAGCCACCGGCCGGTCTGGCTGGGCCCATCCCGGCACGCACACTCCGCCGTACTGAGCTTCTGGCAGATCGAATACACTGACGAATCTGTGATGAATAATCAATCTTGATTTACATCCGGATTTAAGCATTATACATTTTGCTCTATGTTTCGTGATTAAACTTTTCCAAATATCGTCAATGCAGAATTTCGTCTAATGGAGTTTTAGTGGGTGCCATCAATTTTTGTCTTGAGTATTTATAGGCAATTTAGCCACGAGTATTCGACGCATGAAGTGTTTTGTTTTAATTCACCACATGAAAAAAAGCCACGGCATCGCAATGTTGCAACGTTAGGTTTCATCGGTACAAGATCGATGTACAAGATCGATTCGGCCGGTTATCCTTATCTTTAGACACTTAAGTTCAGTTCAAAACTCAAGTTTGCAGGTGACTGTCCAGACCAAAGTGACTTCTGCAGGCTAAAGTATTTTTTCATCAAATAAATTTTGACCCCCTTCCCTTTAAAGAAAATGTGACTTTCCTGCCTTTTTTGCAGCCAGAGACGTCTGACCTGCACGTTGTATCACAACTCCGTGAATGCCCGACGAAAACATGATGCTGATTGGCTGATTGTTGATTATCAGCGCGCCAATCAGCATCGATCTTTCATTGCATCGTGCTTTCAAGGTTGCCATCTTGGTTTTTGAGCCTCTTTTCTGGTTGTAGTTGTCGTCTTTTACCCCGTAATTTCCCTCATTGAAAGCCCTGCCCTCTTCGCTCAAAATTAAACCTGCCAATATTCAGGCAGGTGTCAATACCAGCTGTTCAGATGTGACAAGAAATATCAGAATGCGAGTGACGTTTACTCGGCTGTTTTGGTGAGTTTTTTTTAACCCTAGGAAGGGGTCCTAAAGATAAGGATTACCATTCGGCCTAAGTTTGGGAGTACAGTCAAGGTGCGAATTCAGTTTAATTAATGATCGACGCGACCTCAACAACCCAGCCGTGCTTGTTTGAACCGGCCAGCTATTTCGGCAATAGTGCAAAGTCTTTGAAGTCTTGTACTTACGTTTGGCCGTAGTTGACGCATTTCAAGCCTTTGATGCAAGGACATTCGAAAGGCAAGCCCTGGTAAGGGATGCTCCTTTCTTGGATAAATTTTTCAAACAGAGAAAGGGATGACTTGGTCTTTTTGTTTCCTTTCTTGAGATTCTCCGCTTCGTCCTTGCTGCAGCAGTGCTGGCCCTCAGTCGCGAGAGGGCGGCAGATAGCTTCGTCGATCCCTGTATATCAGTATCACAATGTAAACGAAGTAGACCTATTATGTCGATTGTCGAATGTCAAAAAGGTCTAATGTCGGTTAAACATCATCAGTTATATTGATTTTAAAAACTACATTTAATTATAATGTATATCATTGGAAATGGCGGCGTTGAAAAAAAGAAAGATTTTCATTGTCTAGCGCTAACGATGTATACGGCATACGGGCAGGCGACATACTGCGCGCGCGAAGTCAGTATGTCACGTGACGTCCATTGAATCTATTCATAGTGATTATCTGGTTGAAAGTGTGATACAATTTTACATCAATTGTTCAGTCCGCCCACCTTCTACCAAGGCGCAACACTCGTTTTCACCGCAGCCCGAGTCCTTCACGCAGATCGTCCCAATCTGGCCGCTGGTGGCGCCCTCTCGACAGCGCCCCCACCGACACAGGCTCTTGTCGCAGCAGTGGCTGTCAGCGTGACACCTGCCGCCGTTTTTGGAGCAGGCCATGCAGTAGCTGAGATCGAAGCCGAGGAAGATCTCCCGATGGCAAAATTGCTGTTTGTCACAATTCTTGTCTGTCTTGCAAACCTTAACATAAATATCAAAAAGGCCTTGACGGGTCTACTCGTATTCACACAACTATGATATCGCGCCCCCAGTCTCCATATGTGATCTACTTAAAGCAGGCCTGAGATTTGTCAGGATTTCTCCTGATTTCGGGATATTTTTTTTTAAAGAATCCCTTTGAATCTGGGAATCCTGGGATTTTGGGGAGAGCTGTTTTGATGACCTGAGTTTCTACAGAATAAATGAAAATTGTATTTTAGGAATGCCATTAATATAGGCAAGTTTATATACCATAGACCCTACTCTTGGGCCCTCAGCGATACCAAAACCTTCTGCCGATTATTTCGCCCAATCTCAACCCCCGGTCATAAAATTACGTGACGAATTAAGGTTTGTGGCAAAACGGAAAGGGAGCAGACGTTTGAGGGATGTTAAAATGAGCGTTTTATAGTTAAACACCCATTGAGTTTTCCACCAGGAAATGAGGCCCCTTAGTGCCCCGCCCCTTCTGCAAATAGGACAGTTTAGGACCAAATACATATATCGCCTCAGACTTCGGCCTCTGACCATAGATCGAACACTTAAAGTAGACGGTGTTTTATCCTCAGCCCTTTTTCGGTCTGCACTGTCAGTACTGGGATAAACTAAACATTGTGGCGTCGACCTGTTCGGTCACTGAGTGGCGGTCGCTCGACCGAATTGGTGAGTCAGAGAGAGAGTATTGTCGTGTATCACTCGAACATATTAATGCTGCTCGGCAGTCAATCGGTTGATCCTTTGTTTGTCAGTTCACTGAACACAACTTACCTTTGCATTCGGCGGTGGTTTCACCTCCGTTTGGAAGGTGATCATCAATGCATCTTCATCACGTGCGCTATCAATCGTGGTATTCACGACGAGCGTTACATCTCCTATCTTTCTGACGATGGAGGATGTGTTGTGCAGTTCCCCCTCTGGAATATCATCGGCAATGTCGGACTTTTTCAGGATGATTATTTGTTCTCTTTTACTTCCTGTCTTTCTAGTCAGCTCGGCAAGTTTTTCTACCAGAGAAAAAAAATCAGTTCATTTCATTTCCATGCGAAAAATAGAGAGCAATACAGGTACAATACACAACCGATCACAGTCATTACCCTTCAAAAATGAATGTACAACTGTTGTGAAGCATTTCTGCAATGTCTTGATTTTAGCCTATTTTAAACCTAACTCCCTAGCATGATTTACTAGGAACCCGGCAAACCCATCATCCTGGCAAATTCCAACACCATAAACGGGGAAACTGCACACACGTTATTTCTGACTGTGATCCTAGGAGGTGTGGCAATTAAATGTAAAAGACTGTCAGTTTAGGGGGACTGTACCCATCCTGACAGCCTGCCATTGGGGTTTGATGGTTTGAGTTCTTTATTAATGTACAGGGTGAGTAAAGAAAAAGCGGAACCAGAGCCCCAAACATTATTATTTCATATTTAATAGAAAAAAATATGTAGCACCAAAAATAATAAAATGACTGGAAAGCAAATTTCAGGCTACTTTTAAATGAAAAAAATATCTGAAAAGAAAATCACCATTTAAACACAATGACCCTTAAACCTCTTTCGTCCAAAAAATGCAATTTCAAGAATCGTCATCATCGCAATTGTCTTCAGATAAACACCAGCAGTGATTAAACCTCAGTTTAAAAGTAAAAAATATTCAACAAAGTCCCTTTGAAGGACGATCTAAAAGGGGATTTTATAAATCATAATTGTTTGCCTAGCCAGGCTTGTTAATAAAGATATTGTGTACTACAGTTGTTGACAGTTGTTGAAACAAGTATTCTATGTCATTTTCTTTGTTGTTCCAAACAGCAAGAATACACAATACATTTGTTTTTGTTTTTTGACGAAACAGGTTTTAAGGTCATTGTGTTTAAATGGTGATATTCTTTGAACGGATTGACAAATTTCAGTATTTTTTTCATCTAAAAGTAGCTTTAGAAATTATTTTTGGTGCTACATATTTTGTTAAATATGAAATATAATTTTGGGGGGTTGGGTTGCGCTTTTTTTTTTACTCACCCTGTATGTGGTGGCATACTAGTATTTGGGCCACGTTGCCGTGTATTGACTTCTCTTGTAAGTTTATCAAAATGTGACCCGGAATATGTTCCTTGAGTTGTTCGTTGCCTGACGATCCCGGTACGGTGTTTCAGACAACACATGCACAAACTGTATTCTCTGATAAGGAGCATACCGTTACAGTTTTGGTGGGAATATTTTAGCAAAATAGCACACATGAGCCTATGCATAAACAGAATTTGAAGTTGACTGCTTAAATGATATTCTCTCTCCGGAGATGACTGAAACAAACAAGGCCTCGTTTTCTCATTCCTGGTGCACGCAGCCTGCCCCCATCTTTTTCTTTCCAAGGAAGCAAGAAACACAATATACCTTTCACAATCGAACTGCCGAGAAGTTTGTCGAAGGAATCGACGATGTCTTCAAGAGGATCTTCGAGAGAGTCTCCATGTTTACCTCCAGGGACTGGGGTTGTGTCATCATTGCTGGCAGTCCCCGCCGCGAGACACAGCAACAGAATTACAAAGAGTCCCCGTCGTGTTTGTGTGAGCATATCCATCTCATAGTAAAGGAACGGTAAAATGAAATCTAAATGGATCCGAAGACGATTCTATAACCGCAACGCCCACCACTTTCGCTTTGCACTGCTGAAGTAATTCCAGGAGTGATGCGTTTAATAAACACATATATACATGCACTTACAATGGAGTTCTGTCGATGTCGCAGAAATGTTAGTCTATTGCCAATATAGCGTTACAGCAGGCCACAATACACGCGGATACACGTAATCGTTTTTTTTTAACTAATCGATAAAGTACTATATAATTATGATCATGCCGGTGTAGCGTGAATATCCGACTCCATGAAATATGGACTCATTGGTGGTATTGCGCATGCGAGAGTACGATAATATGCTATTTTTAGGATCATAATGTAAGAGTGACCTGTCACGTGCGAGGGATTAACCAATAAAAGGGAAAAGGGGTCCGATTTTCATAGGAGTCGGATTTTTATATGACACCGGCAACAGCCTGTCGCACCTTCTAAATGTATGATATGAGGAAATTAAAACGCCCTTTGTGTTGCATGATGGATTTATCTTCGGATATTAAAATTCTGTCGTTTATCCACCAAAGCATTGATTTTCCGTACTAGGTAAAAATGAAAACATTTTTGTATTTATAAAACAATTTCTATCTCAGTTATATAAAATGGCTCATCAGAGGAACCCCCCCCCCCCCAAAAAAAAAACTGGTTGGGTTTTTATGATGCAATGAGGGAGGTTTTATGCGCAACAGGTGTTACAAATTGAAATCTATCGATCGTCGCGACTGTACATAATTTTGTCCTGGAACCCTATGAGTATTAAATAACATCACTAGAACGATAAGAGAAAATTCAAGAATTTTATTATACTAGATAATATCTTAGTTTATCGTTTATTTGTTTGTTTTGAGAGAAATTGCCCTAGTCCCCCGATATCCCCCCCCCCTAAATCTCATGGTTTTTTTGAAGGAGGGCTAACAAAAAACCCACAATTTATATAGAAATTTCCCAAAATTGAGAAATCCTTATCGTTTGGCCTACGTGTATATACACGAAGCGCAAAACCGCGTACGGTTGTTAAAATTGTTTCCGAGTACATGGCATTTAAAGGGCTCCGTCCACTGTCGATGTCATGACGCACGTCCTCTATTTGCTTCCGTACTAATACTTCCGCGATTGATGCCTGGATGACCGTTGTAGCCGATTTTCAGCTAACTTTGACAGATTTTCTGTTATAAAACGAGTTTGACAGAAAATTTGACAGAGTGGATTTTTTTGGCAGATTTCTAGCAGAATTATACAAAAATGGTTATTTGACGGAAAAACATAGCAAATTTGAAAAAAAAAGGCACATTTGTTTAAAAAAGCTCCAATCTTTTCAAACAAAGTTAACAAACCCTTGCATAATGGGACAGCTTGGCTGGTCTAGGTGCTGAGGTTTACTGGAAACCGACCTTCGTCACGTTCTGCCTGATATTTACGCAATTAATAATTTCATAACATCTTTATGTGACTTTAGATTGTTTATAATGTAATTTAAACCTTAATTAAGGCAAGACTACAAATATGCATGATATTTTAAGTGTTTATAGTGTATTTCGAGTGATTCTGGGGAATTTGGCAGATTTTTAATAAATCTGACAGATTTTTGAAGCGCATTTAGCAGAATTTGGCCATGACCTTATGGTCATTCTAATTGATGCATTGCGAAGTTGCGAACATGAAATTCCGATGACAGAGGACACAGTTTCACGACAATTTGGTTCGTTTGCAGTAATATTTAACTCTAAAATGATACAATGTGGAATTTTACATACAAAAGTGTTCTTTTGTGTTTGAAAGTGTGATGTTTGTATTTCTTTCTCACCATTTAGACGATTTTATTAAAAAGTAATTCGTTGGGTCCAGTTTTCGGACAAAAAGTTAAAACCTAGGCCTATCTAATTCTTATTTATAGGCGCTAGGCCTAGGCCTACATATTTTCAATAATCACTGACTGACTGAGAAATTATTATGCCATAAGTTTAGGATCCCGGGAGTAATTGCAGAATACCCTGCCACTCGGAAATACACCCCTAAATTCTCTGGCTACGAGGTTGAAATCACTGGCACTTTTTCCGGAAAAAATTCCGTAGGCCCTACTGCATCTGTGCATGGATCACCACTTTTTTCAATCAATTTTCAAGCGCCAAAAGTTGCATCCTTTTATGGTTATTCCCTCCACTTTCCCTCCTCTACTCTCACCCTCTCCTAGCCCCACTAGTGTGGCCGTCGGTATGCTGCGCTGAACCTTAGGTTCAGCGCAGCATACCGACGGCCACACTAGTGGGGCTAACCCTCTCCTTTCCTTTATTCCTATTTATTTAAGGAATGGGAAATTGCATTAGGCAAATGATCGAAAGCACCAAGGCAAATTATGGAGGACACCAATGTACATGAGGACACCAAAAAAGCAAAATAGTACCCACCTTGTTGTACAATCGAAGCTTGAAGGAAAAAAAAAAAAAGAAAAAAAAAGAAAAAAAGCCGCGTGGCCGCGTCAATTCCGGAACTTTGGTCTGACCAGAGACCAAAATTTTTTTTTTTTTGGCCAATCTAAAACATCCTGTAAAATCATGGCACCTGGTATACTGTCATTTTCAAGAAAAGTGCTATTTTCGTATCAATTTCCAACGCTGGTCGGCTGACCAGCGTTGGAAAAAACTGGCTTTTTTCATGAACTGGCCCCAGTTGACCATATTTAGTTAGTCTGGTTTTGTTTGCAATCGATTACACACCTGTGAACGGGTACAAGCCATCTAGACTGGTTCCATGACCTTACAATTCTCCAACGTCAATAAATTGCTCCGTTTCATCTTAAATGGAGTCAGGGAATCAGACTACAGGAAAATGATTGCTTTTGTTGGTTTTTATAGTATATACGAACCCAAAATGTAAAAAAAGTCAGTGTGACAATATTTGCTATATTACCAACCCCCGAAATCCATCCATTTCTGAAAATTACAGCATAAGCAAATGATGTATATTCCCTTTAAATGCATGAGAAATCGAACTGGCAAATTTGGGATACATACATGTAGGCCTAGGCCTTTATGTAGGATAGGCCCACATATATTTTTAGTGACTTCACTCGCATACAATTATACTCTAATTTCCTTGTTAGATGCTAGTAAGCTTAACGCCGGTGCGGCTAAAACGCCAACTTCAAATTTTAATTTGCAGATTTTTACGTGCTGCGGCTTATACATTTTGTAGTACTCTGCGCGGCCTATATCCAAAAATTACGGTACAACATCTATGTAATCTTTTTCTGTTTCCCTATAACAGTCATCTTGTAATGTTAGCATATAGGCCAATGTTCATTTAAAAGGTGTTTTTTTTTCCGCAGATTTTCACTATGAGATTTGTTGATGTTGATGGGAACTGAGAACGTACCACCTCGTGAAAGAGTAAATTAAAGTTGGATCAACAGCAGCAGAGAATTGAAAGTCTACCATCTAGCATTATCAAAAACTGAGGTCTGGAACTTTAAAGCCTGTTAAAAAGTAAGTCCAGAAGAGTTGCAAAAAGACGTAACTCAAGATGTCATCTCCACCTCAAAAGACGGAGCACCGCCTCTCGCTGAGGGACACCCTGGAGGGAGATTTTGCAGACTCGCAGTCAAGCACACCACAGGGGTTCCTGTACGAGACTAAATTTGTGGTTCTGAGTTACCTCGGGCTGGTGCCGCCAGATCTGGATCCCGGCTACTCAGAGTTTGACATCCACTATGAGAGCTCTGCCAGCGCCACACCCTTCAGCGTGTCTGACGATGACCGGTCAAGCGGCTCCAGTGGCTCGAGAAGGTCCAGTGACCTCCTGACAGTGAACACAAAGGTCCGGGCTCGCCGCTCTCCAAAGATTAGCCCTCGATCTGGCGCTTCCTCAAGCCACGTCTCACCGGCTGTCCTGAACCCACCTGCAAATACCTTTTCCGGATTTTCAGCTCCCCTAGGGGCTCCTTCGGCAGCCTTGCCACCTCCACCCCCACCCTCTTTCTCAGACTCCACTGTGACAGTGATCCGAGAGTTCCACACAAGGGGTTTCGTTGAGGTCAGCAAAACAGTAGTTACTCGGCAGGAATCCTATGACAGCGATCTGTGCACAGATGCAGCCATGGATGGATCTGAAGAATCGAGTCACAGCCAGCCCCTGAGCGATGGGTCGGAAGAAGACCGAGCTGGGGAGCATCCACAGATCAGAATAGGTAAGGGGGTAGATAAGAATGCTCCTTTGCTACTGGAATTTAGATACAGAACTTTAAAGATGTCAAGAGAGATTTTGTGTACCAGTGTACCACAGCTGTTAATTTTTGGCATTGAGTCCCCTTTGACGTCTTTCACACAACTCGTTTAGCAGTGTGTCATGAGTAAATGCTGGCCATATGTTGTGTCCTTGGGCAAGCCACATCGCCACCACTTGCCTCTCCACCCAGGAGTATAAATGGGTACCGGCATTAGCTGGGGAGTAACCTGCGATGGACTAGCATCCTTAGTCGTTTCATGCTACTGAAACCGGAGATGAACACTGGCCTGATGGGCCACATTGGCTTGTGACAGACTTTTTAACTTTTACTCTAGTCTAAATAATCAACTACAATTTCAAAATGCATTGTGTCAAAATAAGAAATCCCTTTGAGAACAATCTGGCAAAGAGCTTGGTATCTTTGCATTTGGAACTGAATACAAAGTATTTTTTATAGCTTTAAATGGGTTTTGACTTCATGCAGACACCCTTCCCAAGAATAGAAAGTACTCTAGTTTCAAGAATAACTAAGAACAAAATTTTGTGTGATATATAGAGGAACAACTTTGATTGCAGCGTACAGTGGTAAAAGGTAAAGGGGCAAACCTGTGTTCACAGGAATGGGGTGCCCGTTTCTCTTTCGAAAGGTTAGGCCAGACTCGATCCCATGAAATGCTGCTGTGGGGGATCACCACACCTCCTCCACAACGAGTCTGTTACCTTAACAGCATTGAATAATGCGGGTACCCATTTAACACCTGGGTTGAGAGGAGGAATTGAGGTAAAGCACCTTACTCAAGGGCACAACACGCTTGGCCACGGCGGGGCTCGAACCCACAATCTCACGATCATGAATCCTGTGCTCTACCCCTAGGCCACACATGCCACTACAATTTCAAAATGTGACAGTGATGCTTTTAAAAAGCTCGAAATTTAATCATGATCAGTTGTTCCTTCGATTCACTTCCGCAGATGACGATAGCACGAGTGACTCGTGGGAGTTTAGGCAGAGACAGAGGCAAGAATTGGTGGAGCCACTCCGGGAAGAGGTCAGGCAGGCCATGGCCCAACTACAGGAGGAATTCAAACAAGGTATGGCAATCTGGCTAGCAGTAACTTACATTTGTATGGGAAGCGGCTTCGGCTGCTTCCATTGGTGTTTGTGTAATCGCAAGCTGTAGCCAAGAAATTCAGGCATGGCCCCCTTGAATGTCAGGTTCTAGTAAATTTTGAAAACATTTCATGCAGGGACACGTAAACCTGTACGCAGTTGAAATAGTCGGTTGCACCACGAAGTGACATATTGTGTGCACACATTCACTAGACGATCCGTACCTCGTGTTGCGCCCGACGAAAGTAGTGTGAGTCAGAATCCCCAGACCGATCACTGTCAATATTGCCAATTGACATCGTTATTTAAGTACGTGTTATGTCCAATTTGCATGTACATGCAAATCAAACTTGTATGCACATGAACATGCACATTGTATGTGGTAAATAATTTGCTTGACACATGTATACAGTGAAACGTCTTTATAACGAACATCGTGGGATCCACAGAAATTGTTCGTAATAGCGATTGTTCGGTAAAGCGATTTTCACACATTAGTGGCGCCCTCTTTTGACCATTATACTGTAGTTGCATTTACAAACCACAAGCTGATTCGCCAAACTTGTCCATTCATCTTTTCAATTCCGTAAGCAAAGCTTCACCATGTATGCCCTTGGTAGTTACTGAAAGACGACTTTGCACACGTGCGACTATTGAATCATGTAATTACAGTATTTGAGCTTACACAGTTGGCTTTCCCTTCTATCCCTTGGGGAAATAATAGCCATTTGTTGCTCTTCTGTTGACATTTTACAACAACAATGTTAGGTACGTTTTGTACACAAAATCAGGAGCCAAAGCTGATGTTCGGTATAACGGTGTTGGGTATAGCGACGTTCCACTGTATCAAAATATTCTTCAGACTATTTTATTAGTCTGTGCCACAGGTTTACTTTTATTGGCCTCTAAAGACATAATTAACTTTAAGCTTTGAAATTTCATTTCATCTGAGTTACTGTCTTAATTCATTTATTTCAACTTGATGTCTCAATTTCAGGCCCGTCCCGAGACACAAAATGTTTGTCTCAGTCCTGGTCTCAGTCTTGGTTTTGGGCCTGGATTTATTCAGTCGTACATACACCACTGTCACTGACAGAAATCTCATTTCATCAGCTATTTTTGCGTTTGATTACCATCGTAGTTGTAGCAGCCGGCGATTCCAACGGGCCCATCCTCCCCTCGGTGATATGCCCGATCAGTCGCGAGGCCCAGGTGGCTGAACGCATCGCCCAGATCGGCGACAAGATCATGCAGCAGCGCGGCGATGAGCTGGAGAAGACCATGAGGATGCTGTTTGGCAGTCAGTCTGACGATAACCTGACCTACGGCCTCTTCAAGTCCCTAATGAAGCAGATGATGAAAAGCACTGTGCCGGGATGGTATCATGTGAGTGTTGCTTAAACCTTAAAAGGAGCAGGAAGCACTTTCGACTTGGACTTTTTTCGGAAGTCCCCATACAATTTATGCTGTTGCTGATTTGTTCCCCCTAGAGGATTTTTTTAAGGGAAAACAGCGCCCTCTTTGTCCACTCCCTGACTCCCACTCCGTATCCGCGTAGCCACTTGGCGGGGGAAACACTTTCAAATTGGACTTTTTTTCGAAAGTCCCTATTAAATTGACGCTGTTACTGATTTATTCCCCTTTGAGGATTTTTTTTTAATCGGGAAAATAGCTTTCTCTTTTTCTTTTCCGCTTAGCCACTCTGGGGGGAATATTTTCGACTTATACTTTTTCCCTTGCTCCTTGGACTGTGTAGCCATTGATTGTTCGGGGATATTTTCGAGTGGCAGGGCACTCTGCAATTATTCCCTGTACTCTTTTGGGGGGATTTCTGTCTCCGTATTAGTCCTCATTTACAAAGACCCTTTTTGGTTTTCTCATCCAGCTTGCTCTGATGCTGAAGTTCACCCAGCACATGGCCCTGGGTCTTGTCAACAAGGGAGGCAAAGGCTTCGGCTCTGTCACTGACTTTGCTGTTCGGTACATTGAGGAGAACCTGGCGCAGACCATCATTGACCAAGGGGGATGGGTAAGTGGAATACTAGCTGGATCTTATCCAAAAAAACCAAACATTTTATGGATCAGAAGATATATGCCTTTAAGAATATTTCTGTAAGCGATCAATGTGATGGAATATGAAGGAATTTTGCGTCGGATAGATTTAATATGATATTGGATTTTGTAATATGTAATTTTATTAGCACTGCATACCCAGTGCTGTCCTAGAGCTTGTGAGAAAAAATTCACAAGCTTACTTGGTTGAGACTTGTACCTACGGCTTACGAGAAAAATCCAGAAGGTCATGTGTTAATACGTTTTCTTGAAGGTGGTTGTGGGTTCGAGTCCCACCCAAGTAAGCTTGTAACTGTTTTTTTCGGCAAGCTCTTAGGCAACACTGAGTATGCAGTGCTTATGAAATTATGTCAGTGAATGGAGAAAAAAATAATTAGCTACAATAGATGAGGTTCGGGGTTGGGACTAGTGATAAGAGGGTCAGGGGTTCAGTTCCATCTGCTGGTTTTATTTTGTGTCCTTGGGCAAGCCACTTCTCCCATACTTGACTCTTCACATCCTGGGCCCAATTTCACGGTGCTGCTTAACAGTTAGCAGAAAAGTTGTGCTTAGCATAGCAGAAAAGCTTGCTAACCTCGGGCACTATTTCACGGCGTGGATGTGCTAACGGTCGCGCGTGCGTGGAGATTTCTATTCTTGCGTCTCTGTGAAGTAAGCGTGCCCTTTGCTGTGCTTATGCTTACAGTCTTCATGAAATAGACAGAGGCTCTGTTAGCAGAAAATGGTTTGTTTTGCAGCACTGTTAAATTGGGCCCTGGAGATGAGTGGATTCTGACATTAGCTAGGGAGAAAACCTTCGGTAGTCTGGCAGTCCATTCAGAGGAAATAGAAATATCCTGTGAATAAACCTGAAGTGATTTCATAAGAGCACTATGCATATGGCAGTATTGCATTCAAGGGTTTGTCACTCTCTCTTTGTCAGTTTTGAGCGGGTACTTGTGCAGATCGAGAGTCCGTACCCAAGTATTCCACTGAAGTACAGGGTTTAAAATAATATTTAACGCACCTAAGACTATTCATAAGATGGAACTTTTGCGTCGGGGTGATGTGAATCAAATTAGGTTTTGCCCTTCACCGTCAAAAACTAATTTGATTTACTTCACCCCGATGCAGAAATTCCATCTTATGAATAGTTAATGCGGTACCCGCTGCTATGTACATCAGATTCGAACCAGCCAACCGATCCCGTTAGCTCGGCGGTCGATTGGTAAGACATCTGCACTAGAAAGCAGGAGGTCGTGGGTTAGAGCCCCACCCGAGTGATTTTTTTCCAACTTTCACTCGGGAGGTAACATACTGAGTATACAGTGCTCTTACATGGCTTTAAGACCGAGGATCACACACAAAGGGAGCACAAAAGGTCTTTTGTGGTCTCGATGGAAGGTCCCTTTGTCCTCGAATGCAGGTTTGCATGCTTAGTCTATGGGAAAGGTTTAGATAAGGGAACAAAGGAAAACACAAAGCCAATCCTCGGAAGCATGGCAAAAAACGACTGGGTGTTTATACGTGGGTGAAGGGCAAAACCTAATTTGATTTGCACCTAAAACTACTCTTTATTTTTGTGTGTTTCCAGGATGCAATGACAAATATTAATTTGGAGGACATCAATATGGAGGTCCTGTCAGACCTGTCATCCCCTACCGCCTCTCCCATCCCACTGTCCTCCCAAGAGAGTCATGCCTCCCAACAGTCTCAAGAACCCCTGTCCCCAGACGCCGGCACCCCAGTGGACTCCCCCAACTGGAAGACAGACCAGCAGTCACACTTCACCTCCTCGGGCGAGGAGGGCTTGAATCAGCTGACTGTCCCTCCGCCGGGCACCTCCCCGGGGGAGATCACCCACCGCAGCCGGTCGGAATCCCATCCCGAGGACCTGGCGAGCCTCTTTGTCGGGGAACCCTCAGATCCTCCTATCACCCACTCCGTGTCCAGCCCTAGTCATCTAGGCACCAATCCCGGCAGCCGCGTTCAACAGCTAGGCGTGACCCACTCTGAGCCAGTTCTGTTCTCGGTCGACGACAGTCAAGCCTCGGTGATGGACGTTGACAGTCAAGCCTCGGCGATGGACGTTGACAGTCGGCCAGTGACGAGCCCCGAGTAACACATGACCGATGTCAGTGATGGTGACATCAGAGTGGAACACAAATCAGGTGTCGGTAAGGTAGCTGCAGCAGTTGCTGGTGCGCTCTTTGGTGTGGGGAAAAAATGATGCAGCTTATATTTTAGAAACTAGGAAAGACAAAGTGGCTTGCACTACATTGTTTGATTGCCCTACAAGGAAGACGGTCATACAAATTCAGGTCCTTGCAAGATTTTAATGTTACCTCATTCTTTGGGCTGTGCATTTTTGAATAAGTTAGTATTGGATCATACCAACTTGGACTTGATCGAATTTTTAAATATTTGATTTCAAAATAATAATAATAATAATTTCTATTACGCAAATTCCATTTGAATATGATCAAATGTGCATCACTATTATTATCCCTGTTCATCAGGAACAAGACCATTTTTTTCTGTAGCAGCTCGAGATCACCGCAACTTGGTCTACACCTTCACAGGTACCCATTTATACTCCTGGGTGGAGAGAGGCAAATGTAGTAAAGTACCTTGCCCAAGAGCACAAGCACCATGTTCCCCGTCAGGATTCGAACCCATGTACCACGGCACACCAGTCGAACACCGTAACCATTGGACCACAGCGCCCAATGCACTGATCAACCTAATATGTGCAAGCCTAAACTGGCCACTGATTGGGATTTGCGTGCACCCGCTCTTGCCAAAAATTAACAAAGAGCTTATGAAAATAATGTACAGAACAAGTGGCCATGGCTACTATTTGACATATTTGAGCTTATTCCTCATAGAAACTCTCAAGTCATTCGCAATAATGGCTTTCGACAAAAGTGTGTGCTATTTTTAAACATTAATTTTAAACCCTATCTCAGGCATTTTCGCTAGGATGCAACCTCAATCCTGCAAAATCCTCCAACTTCCTCCATGTAAAGAGTACATACAGCCTCAATCCTCCAAAAGCATCCGTTATTTCTTGAATGTGGTCCTTGGCGGGGTGACCACTGCCTCAATCCTGCAAAATTCTCGAGCAATCAATGTCAATATGTTGAGGCAGAGCCAGTGAGGATTTCAAGTATAATCTAGGCCTAAATTGATACTTTACTGAGCATGAACAACAACAGGTCTGGCCCAAGACCTTGACAGTGCATCCTCCAAAATCAGCCACACATTTGTGCCATATAGCCTCGATCCTGCAAATTCCTCCATTTTGCAAAGAGGATTTTGGAGGATTTAGGAAGGTTAGGATTAATAAGATAAATATGTTCTTCATCATCTCCTCGAGATTGCTCACATTTGTCAAATATCTGAATTGGATAGTTCTGTGATGATCGAATATTCAAATATTTTGGTATGTTCGGCACACCCCTTCTCATTCTTATTGTCAAAGCAAGAGGGTTTGATCTTTGGAACCTAGCAGACTCTTTCTCAGCTAGTAGGACGTTTTTGAAAGAAAGGCTGTGAGAAAAATGTCATTCCAGTCAGTAAGCAGTTCACAGCAGCTTTTTACTTATTTATGTTTCCTCATTTTATTTACTTGATGTAATATATAAATTATCATACAATAATGCTTTCTTTTTTACATTGCAGGTGCTTTTTTTGTTTTAACGAATGATGGTTTGCATTTTATTTTGTTTTTATGAACAAGCGATGGAAACTATCAGTTAGAAGGAATTTGCGTCGGGGTGATGTAAATCAAAATTAGGTTTTGCCCTTCACCGACATATCGGTCTGAACACTGTATTGTCAGCGTGTTACCTCCTAAGAGAAAGTAAGAAAAAAAATCACTCGGATGGGACTCGAACCCACGACCTAGTGCTTTCTAGTGCTGACGTCTTACCACTCGACCACCGAGCTTGACAGGATCGGCTGGCTGGTTCGAATCTGATGTACATGTCCATGTAGCAGCGGGTACCGCAATTAAACTATTTATAAGAAGAAATTTGCGTTGAGGTGATGTAAATCAGTACATGTATTAAGTTTGCCCTTCCAAGTGAAGGAAAGCAAAATGTAGGGCATACAGACAGTAATCGCTCATACACTTTGCATAAAACGTTGCAAAGTTTGCACTCATATTGTTCATGCATTTGAGCAACTGCTATCAGCTTATAAATAAATATAGAACCAATTAAAAAAAATATTACATAAAATATATCAAATTTTGTTAATAAAAATATTAGTATTATTACTTAGTACTACAGAAGCCGCGTACCACTACTAGTGGCACACAAAGCATTAATGAGAATACTTGTATTACAAATGTATATACAAAGTCATGTAGCTAAACATTAATGTGTGAGATGAGTTACATGTATGTGTACTCCCAAAAAATCTAAGTTAATCGATTGAAAACTCCCTTAAAGTCTTTCTTTAAGAAACCTCCAGGAAATTATAGCAGGTGCGTATTGTACTTAACTGGTTTATTCAAATAAAAAACTCTAAAAGTCTTGAAATCTGTCTATAAATGTATGATACTGTATGACAGTTTTTGGGCTAAACAATTTTAGCCTTTTTCCTGAAATAAATGTAAGAATGATGGACTTTCCCCTTGAAATACACTAGTATGATACTAATTTTGAGTTTTTTAAAAACAATTTGAAGTAGGCAAGTATCCTACTCCTTGCATGGGCGTCGCGAGGGGGGGGGGGGCACTTCCCCCCCCCCCAAACAAGCCCCCCCCCCCAAAAAGGGGGGGGATAGAAAAGATAGAAAAAGAGGCGCAAAATCGTATTGTTGTTAATTTAATGGGGGGGGGGGGCGGGCAAATGTCCCTGGCCACCCTCATAAAATGATCAATCGGGAAAATGCTGGAAAATATAGGGGTGTTTTTTTTGGGGGGGAGGGGGGAAAATGTGCTTTGCCTCCCTCTAGAAAAACGCCCATGACTCCTTATGAAACTTCACCCACGGAATTCTTATTGTAATTTCTCCGATTAAGACGGGCTTGACGATGTTGGCTATTTTAATCTGCGATTTCTTGGGGTTTTGTTTTAAAGTAAGGCTCTTTTGCTTCTAAAATTGCATGCAGTTTGCACGAGTAATTCCACACATTATGTACAAACTTGTATGCATTTTTTACTGTATGATTTGTGTTTTGATTTCTTTCATTTCTTGAGGTTGTACAGTATGTACATATCCATGTTATGTTGGAATTGAAGCTTTAATTTTCAAGTTAAAATGGAAAACATATTTTTGATTATGTGTGATTTTGTTTTAATTTTGATTATTTTTGTATTTTTTTAATGAATAAAATCTCCTTGCATAAATAAATAGATGTACATATACCAGAAACCATTTTCAAAGGTCATATGTGAATTTGTTTGAGACTCACTGACGGAGCCTGGACACGGTTGGGTCTACATTTTTTGGCGAACACTGAAAAAAAAAACCTGGAATTTTTCGTTATGTTGCATCAAGAGGGCTCTGTTTACATCTCAATAGTTGATTTTCATAGTCGAATGATTCCGATTTGCTCCTCACAATGACTCGTATTTGCGATTCGCATGGAATGAACCGAGCAGACGCCTTTAAGCTAGACTTTTCATTAAAAAAAATGTTTAGAAAAGGATTTAGCGACTGTTTTTATGTTCAATGGAAATGACGTGCGTATTTTGCAGGCAGCATTGCTCACAAAAGAACTTTGACGAATGTAATACTCAGAATATCGATGGCGGTTTACGTTTAAGTTGAGGTTGTCATTGTTCTTTTTTTTCCCAAGTGCATTGTATAACATTTTAGTTCCACCTACCTAGCTCAGTGGTTCCGGCCCGCTTGACGAGTACAATACTGATCCACCACGGCCAATGGTTCTGCAACCGTGCGTATTCCGAGTTAAGAAAAAACAACTTTGCAAACAAATTCTTCTTTTGTATCAAGGGTACTTGCACCATTTTCCAGGACCCAGCGTTTGAAGTTATGCGCGCATGAAAAATAGTAAAGAAATAAAACGCTGAAAATAGGGGAGAAAATTCATGCATATTATGGTGTATTTGCCTTGCATAATGACAGTGGTATGTACAGTTAACCTTGACCGAATCGAATGCAGACCAAAAAAAAGTATATTGAATCAGTGTTATCAAGTCGGCCATAATCATTTGTCAGAGCCTTGTGTAAGGATTAAACCTTGTATAAGGACTAAATTTGGATTTTGTAGCAAAACCATCGGAAGCAGAAGTTGGAAATAACAAAATACAGTGTGAGAAAAAAAAACGAAACCCAAATTTTGGGACCATTGGTTTAGTAAAGGTCTGCATGCAACACTTTAAAAACTTTCAAAATCTAGGATTTGAAAGCCCCATTCATAAGCTTTCTTTTAGTGCAAGAATCATTCAAATCACTCATGTATTTTTCAAGTTACGGAATTTTAAACACAACCGCAGTTTTAAAATGCTGACCACGCATCACAAAAAGGTAAGTGTTCTTTCAGCAAAACGACAACAAATCACATGTGGGAATTGTTTTGTTTTTTTTTTTGCTGAAAGAACGCGCCTTTTTGTGATCCGTGGACAGAACTTTAAAATGATTTATCTCTAAAATTTCGTAACTTGAAAAGTACATGAGTGGTTTGAATGATTCTTGTACTAAAAGAAAGCTTATGAATTGGGCTTTCATATCCTAGATTTTGAAAGTGATACATGCAGAACTTCACTGCAAAAAATAGTCTCGACAATTGGGTTACTCATCTTGTATTGTTACTGAACAGTGTCGGCTGTGTTTTTCATTTCATTATCGGATGAAAGAATAACCGCACAATAAACTGTGGTTGTTCACACGAAATTCGTCTGGTGTGAAAAAAAAGACCTGCATTATAAGGAGCCCAAACCCACAGCCTAGGTGGAATGGAAAAACAATGGAAGTTCATGAAAGTTCACAATTTGACCGGTTGTATGTACTTCATGGTGTATGAAGTACACAATACAATCGAACCCTGATAAGCAGAGCACTGTTAATACAACGTCGTGCTTTAAGCAAAATTTCAGGTCCCAAGTCTTTGTTTTTCTTTGTTTTCCATTACTGTTAATACAAGGTACCTGTTAGAACCAGGTATTTTTTTAAAGTCCAAGGACCTTATAAAGGTGTTCGAAACGACAGGGGGTGGGCGGGCGCCAGGTGTTGGCGGTAAAATCAGACAGCGTTCCCGTGATAAAAGAGATCATAGCCATGACAACTTGACCGACCTTGAAAAAATATATCAGAAAACGGTTGGAAGTATTCGTGCAAAACACGCCTACACACTTTCCAGGAACGTGCAGTACGTGACTGAATAGGCAAAACTGACCACCCCTTTAGATTAGAGGATGATGTGTATTAAAGCTTAGTAAAGCTGGTCAAGAACGCCCACAAATTCTCTTCAATCGAATCTGATTGGCTATTCACTGGAAGTCTGTCCGTTTTTGTGGCCAGATTTAGCCCATTCATTAGAATCCAGTATTCAAACATTCAATGTCCCACAGGGAGTGTGCTTATAACTTAGGGGTCCACTGTACTAATTCAAGCCCCATTGAAAACAGTGTAAAATCAACAAAGTTCAGGGCCAAGTAACATGCAAGCCAACATCACTGGGGTTTCTGAAACAAAAATTTTATTATTGTCTTGTCTTTCATCTTTTCATTTCTTTTCAATTTTAGGTACATTAACCAATTACATTTTTAAATATTCACACCCAAATAAAATCACCTCCCGAAAAGTGATAGTTCCCGAGCCTGCATGTAGCCATTTTACAAGTGGCATCCTTCCACTTTCACAGGCAAATAGGACCCATTTTTCGTCCGTGATTTTATCAAGCCTGCCCTCAGATGGAAGCCCCAAAACCAGGGAGTTGATCCTTGGGTATATTTGAACAATTCCACCGTTTTTAAAGCCAAACGGTCTCCGTTTTCAAAAGAAATTTGTGGGGGCCACTTCTTATGCTAATCAGCTGGCGTAGAAATTCTCGCTTGAATTAGTTCAGTGCACCCTTAGTGTACGGCGGCACGTACGCGGTACATTGTGTACGGCGTTAAACTCATGTACCATTGGTACCCGCGCTATTTTCACCATGTGTTCACACATGGGTGGGAGCAGGAAACTAGCAGACGATCATCTGTTTCGAGCGGCACGCGACATGCTAGCCCCATAATTGTGGCCAATTTACTGGACTACCTCCGTAAATAAAGGCCACACTTCCACCATGTACAAAAACATGTAGAACGTTGTCAGATTTTGATTTTCACATTCAGGCGTAGTTTGTAGTTTATTTTTGCTTTAGAAGCATTCTCACCCTCTTTATAGGCTAATCAGAAAGTGCTGCCTTTTTCAGATGTCTAATTGCATGAAATTTCATGTCGAAATTTTGATACGCAAACGTGTGCAAACGAATCTGGAAATTTCACGAAAAATAGACATCTGAAAAAGATGCCTATGTCATTGCATTTGAATATATGTAGCATTACCTTTCGTGGGGTTTGGTGGGATGCATTTGTAACTGTACCCTACATGCAAATCAGGTACAATGTCTCAGTCGCTCATGAAAAATGAACATGTGTAGATTTAGACAGCTCAAAATATGGAGCGGTAACACCAATTCAAAAAGGTTCTAAAAAGCCATTGATTTCTTAACCCGTGTACATGTACACTGAGCGCATTTAATTGGACAGTGTTATTACTGAATACATATGAACAGCTTTAATTCGCTGCTCATACATGTACATAGCAATCGAACCATGCACGTCCAATGTTTGTATAATTGTTAAAAGTGTGTAAAAACCACCACCTTGCAATGGAATTCTTAATTTAAAAACTCTGCATTGCACTGACTTATGTACATGTACATCGATACCAAGTCCCAAAGTACTACTGTACGGCCTATACAAAAGACATTTTCAGACAAAATAAAACAGAGAAAAATGAGATGTCATCAGATTAACGTCAAATACAATACCCCACATAAATTAGTAACATAACAAATATACAATAGGCGTCATATACTAAACTGAGAGAAGCAGATGTACGGATCAATATGATACGCTGGATGCTTTGAATATCCTTTTTTTTCTGGCTCTTCGGTATTGCTCTATGTTCATACATACTCAAATTTGTATTTTTGTGGAGAATTTTTTTTGTTCTCGTGTACTAAAGTTTTCGAGTTTGAAAGTTCAGTTTCAAAATGCTCTTATCTTTAGCAAGAATTAATTTACTTGGCTGAAATTCGAAGTTATTATCCTTTTTCTAAAACTCTACCATTTGCGACGGATCAATATACCTTGGAAATTCCTAGTTTTTGGGTAAAATCCATATATCTGTTTCGTGAAAACCTTGTGGAGACGTATTCATCCATATTGCCCTGTGGAGACGTGCACAATCTTTTGTTCCCTATTGTGTGCATGTCTCCAGAGGGCACGGTTTATCAGATCAGCAAAGGCGCATTTGACCAATCGGCTGCAAAGTACATGTTTGTTAAAACTGATAGCATTAACTAGATGTGAACTCTTGTAAATCGTTTATGGCAGTTAAATCCTTTTGATGATACAAACTAGCACCTTTTGGTTTCGTTGGGAAATTCGAATTAATACTCGTCAATGCATAACCTTGTTCAAAAAAACCCACCAAATCAACTTGTAAAACAAGCCAGTTCATTACTCCAACTACGCGTGTGCACATAAAGAACATAATTTTTCTGCGAGAGAAAGCCCTTCCTTTGCGAAATCGGAAGAAGGTACCAACAAATTTGACGATTTCTTTGGTCCTGAAATAAGTTTTAAAAAAATGATCACCGTTTTTTAGGCGAACAGTGGTTCAATTTTCGAAGATTTTTTGACGGCATCGTGTTTTGCATTCCATGTATGCTTCACCTGACGTGGAACCAAAATGCTTGATATGCACATGCGCAGATATTCGTCCGTCCACTTTTGTTCTAAGCTTGACTAACGACTGTTCCATGAAACATTTCAATAAGTTTTACAGTTGTCATATGCGTGCATGTTCTGACGAGATGATTATAATGTACAGTCGACTCCCGTTATAACGAGGTCCGATGGACTTTCACAATACTGTCGTTATAGCCGGAACCTCGCTAAAACCGGAGTGCAGTTTTCCCCATTCGTTGTGCACAAGGTACGGTAAATGTGCGCGCGTTTTAATCGTGCAACGCACGTCCGAAGACATGAAAAGGATAGTCGTTTGTTGGTATGTACGTCTGTTATTAATGTTTATTAAATATTTAACTGATGGTGATGAATAAATGGAAAATAAAATACCTTTAAGGGAACATTATTTAATATTTGAGGACATGAATCCGGAGGAAAAGGCACCATCGCTGAGAAGAATCGCTGAGAAGAATCAGGCAAGTAGGTCACTCGCACAAATCGTGCCGAGCGACATTTTGCTTTCATTTTGCATTTGCTGGAATCGGGCAAGAGAGGGCGCCAATACATATATTACTTCCAGGTTTTAATGATCTTTAGATGTGGAACTTTACTTTTTGTTGTTGACCTTTTGGAGCAGTTGGGTATTATTGTTTCTGAAGGGATTCTTTTATTTTTTTTCTGTTAACTATAGCGGACATTCGTGCCAAGTGACATTTTGCATTCTGTACTGTGAGCGCTCGTGAAACAAGTACGAAATGAGCTTGTTTGTTGTTATCGCCTTAATTTGCAGTGTCTGGTTAAGAAAATTAATTGGAAACTTACGATACGGTGTACAACACCTAGCCTGAGGATTAATCTTCAAAAATATACACTTTAAACTCGGAAACCATACTCAAATATACAAGTGTTGCAGTAATATTAAAACCACTAAATCCTTATTCACTATTTTTATGCGAAGTACAAACTTCAGGCCAAATAAAAAAAAAACATGTTTAGCGTCCTCGCCCGCTTGCTTTTTGGAGGCCTCCTCTTGTCTTTTTTAAAGGGAATACACATCATTTGCTTTTGCTGTAATTTTCAGAAATGGATGGAATTGGGGGGTTGGAAATATATAGCAAATATAGTTACACTGACTTTTTTGAGGTTTTGGGTTCAAAGATGCTATAAAAACCAAGAAAAACAATCATTTTCCTGTAGTCTGGTTCCCTGACTCCATTTTAGAAGAAACAGAGCAGTTTGCATACATTGGGGAATTGTAAGGTCAGGGAACCAGTCTAGCTGGCTTGTACCCGTTCATAGGTGTGTAATCGATTGCAAACAAGTGCGATGGTCAACTGGGGCCAGTATTTGAAAAAAAGCCAGTTTTTTTTCCAACGCTGATCGGCCGATCAGCGTTGGAAATTGATACAAAAATACCACTTTTCTTGAAAATGACAGTATACCAGGTGCCATGATTTTACAGGATGCTTTACACTGTCATTCACTAACAGTCCAGCAAGGTATTTCAAAATGATTTGGTAGTTTTATTTTTTGATGTTTGCAAATGTTGTATTTTCCCTTTAAAACAGAAAAAAAAATGATAATTATTTTTTACAGTGATATCATTTTGGCTCCTTGTTGCATATAGCCCATATAAAGCCGGTACATGTATGTCATTTCCTGAGTCCCGTGATGGCGGCCATTAAAAAAAAAAAAAAAAAAAACTAACACCATCTTGAAAAAAAAACCCCGGTTAGGCGGCCAATTTAGAGGGGGGAAGGGCTTCCCGCTTCAAAAAGGCAGGACGCTAAACATGTTTTTTTGTACTTTGCCTTATAAAAGGAAAGATTTTTCCACATCTGAGTACATGCAGCCAATATACATAAATAAGCACTTGAAATATGCACGTCATTACAAATTTATATTGGACAGTGAACGATGGTACATTGATAAGATAAAAATTGTAAAATACATGGTCATTGTAAAAGTTAGAAATACATAAAAGGCTCACGGTTATAAAAAGGCCTAGCTTATACAAAGAGGGGCAAAATGGTCTTCATATTAATACAAAACTCATCCATACTAAGTTAATTTTTGTTCATTAATTAGAATGTACATTAGCATTAAACAATGTACATTTAGTAATGGGTTGAGGTTACACATAAGTGCGGGATTTTTTTTGAAATAAAAGTATAATATTTAATATCAAGCTCCGCTGTTGATCGTTTGAGCCATGATTATCAGCCCAATTTCATAACACTGCTTAACAGTAAGCAGAAAAGTTGTGCTTACGATAGCAGAAAATCATGCTGCTGCTTAAGCACTATTTCATGCTAACTGTTGTGCACGCATTTCTATTGTTACGTCACTGATTTAAGCAAAGTTTTCCTCTGGGATTTAGCGTGCTTTTGCTGCGCTTACTGCTTAACGGTCCCTATGAAATAGATGGAGGCTCGGTAAGCACAAAGTCGGCCGTTGAGCAGCGCTATGAAATTGGGCAATGACATGGTGAATCAGAAGTACTTAATGGCATACAGGATCATTTGCTTTTCATGCATTTTGTTGGCTTTCAGTAACAACATTCACCATCCAAAGAGGAATGTTTGTAAAGCTAAACCCGTTGAAGTTTCAGTTCGGTGGAATTTACACTTTTCAAAAAATCAGACCCCCCCCCCCCCAAAAAAAAGAAACCCACAAAATGCATGCACAACCTTTTTGTTCACGAAACGTAAAACACTTTTCCAGCGATCAGTCAAATGGAATGATCCTTGGCAATCAGCTACATTTTGCAATTTCTTCTGAAGTGACAGTAAACCATAAGAAATAATTTCACAGGGGTCTTTAGTACCTGTACAAATAAGGTTTTGATAATAATCTGGATGAACATGTTCCTATATGCCTTTAAAGGAAGGCTAATGGTCCGGTTTTGCAGTTAAAATGGCCTGATTATTGTTCGCTTCCTGCAGTTTTTTGTCACTTCTTGAATATTCTGCCCCAGCCGCCTTTCTTTCTCAGTTTGCGCTCGACGCGCGGCACCGCGTGAGATTCCATCGAGCCGATCACATCCTTTTGGTCGCTCTCTCTGACCAGTTGCTTCAGCTGGTTGGAGGGCGGTACGGCGTACTCGCTGACCCGTTGATCGCCCTCCATCGGTAGGTAGTATCCATTAGAGGAGCACTCGGAATCTGATAGGCTGACCTGTTTGGTGATCTTTGGCTGCACCTTGACGGCCTTCGGTGGCATCTTGGTGACCGTTGAGGGCGCCTTGAGTTGCTTAGGTTTAGCTTTAGTCATGTCCATGTAGCCTTTAATCTCTCCATCGGCGTCGGTGAGGTCCAGATAGGATGTCTCGGAGGTTGACGAATGCTTGCGAGCTGGTGCGGACTTGGCGGGTTTGCCGGTGGGATTCCTGTCAAAGGTCTCGGGCCCTTGGTAGGTCTCGGGCCCTTGGTAGGTCTCGGGTCCTTGGTAGGACTCGGGCCCTTGGTAGGACTCGCTTTCGGAACTGATGTCGGCGCCATAGTTGTCTTGCTCCAACGTGAAATACACTGGGTTCTTGCCGTTCTCTGACGAAAAAGGGCTCTCGCAAGACGTCGAATCTGCACCTTTTCGACCACGAGCGCTGGGATTCGGCATGGGTGCACTTGAAGACAAGGATGCCCGAGATTGACCACGAGCTGGACCTTTCCCGCCATCCTTGGTGTCGAGGGATTTCTCGTAGACCGCCTCCCCCATGTAATCATCTGTTGTTCCCGCATCAGGAGGCACCTCATAGCCTGAGCGAGTATCGCGTGCGTCTGTGCTGCTCTCACTGCTCAGTGTTCCTGAGCGGCGATTGCGGCTGCTCTGTGCCGTGGCACGCTTGCTCTTCACAGTACCCAGCGGCATGTACGATGCGCTCTCCCCCATCATGGAATTTTGTCGTTGAGCTGGTTTGCTAATTTCAGAGTCGGTAGATGGAATGTCTCCCTCTCCTTGTTTCATGTACAATCCACTTTCTCCGTATATCCCGCTGTCACCCATCATGTCATCCGCGCTGAATTTCTTCACGGACGAAGCTTTCTCAGTGGTTTTCTTCAGGGAAGATTTCAGTGGTTTGGAAACGTACCTGGAGGAATTTGGCGTCTTCTGTAGGGCTTGATATGTCTGCCTTTTGGGGGATAAGTCCTTAGTTTGCTCGTCGAGGTCCATGTATGAAGACATCTCGATCACACTGGACTGCCTCATGGGAACTCTTTCGCTGACCGTCCCGATGTCTCCCCTTTTAGAGTTTTTGCCCGGCTGTGATGTCGGGGTTTTAGTCGGCGACGCCCTTATCACCGCCTTCCCAGATTTCTTGTAGTTTTTCTGCGGTGATGCAGACGCTGATTTGGCCATTGGTTTGGAATGTGAATTTGGTGTCACGTAATAGTCGCTGTCTGAGAGGTGGATTCCTTGGAGTGAGACGGTCTTACGTGGCTTCCTGTACGATTTGGTTCTGTCCGCGGGATCTGGTGAGAGCTCAGTGTAGGTTGTTGGTTCTGCCATCGCAGAACTAAGGTCATCTCCTGGAGGAGGCATGTAGACCCAGGACTGGCGCCTCTGGTCCTTCAGTTCTTTATCAGACCTCATGGACCAGTTTGAGGAACTGCTACGAAGCGAGGCCGGCCAGGTAAGTACACTGTCCTTCTTTAGACTTCTAGACGTCCCCGTATCGACGCTACGCACGGACTCACGGCCCCGCTCGACAGTTTTGGAATTGTTTAGTTTGTAAGTCAGCAGTTTGATTTTCATGAGCAACCGGACGATGATGATGCACAGGACAAAGCTGATGACAACCGTGAAGAGGAAAGCCGCAAACCACGAAACGCAAAGCTCTGATGTGGCATGAAGTGATGGAGTTGGTTCCACGTGTGGTTTGGCGGGCAGGATAAGGGTACTCCGGTTCTCTACGTATGTGTCCCTGTACGGCACTCGGCATATCACGCTGGTCATGTTGTCTCCCAGCTGTACATTTTTGACCGTCAGTATCGCGCCGCCGTCCATAACATTCAATCTCTCCGGGTCGATACTCGGGATGGTCTCCCAATTCAACGAGGGCATGACAGGATCAGTGCTGCAAAGGAAATGAATGTCGGCTCCTTCTGTAACCCTCTCCAGACTGCGCGTAACATCTACGACCGGCCAGTCCATTATCCGGAGTGGTCCCAGTGAGCAGGTCCGGTAAGTTTCGGGATATGCCTCGCTGGTCACTCGGCAGACAAACGTCGCACCCTGTAGATCATGACTTGCTGTAAACGCGAGTTCGGAAACCATCATGCTGGAGGACTCGACGTTGCGATACATCGGCGATGGAACGGTGTCATCACCCGTCATCCACTCGGAGATGATCTGCGGGTTGCCAACCTCGGAGGTGCAGGTTACAGTCAGCTCGGTCCCAGTCAGAAGAGTCTGACTCCCGTTCAGCGAGCAGTATGGATAGACACTAGACGGAAAGTACAACACCGACAGGTGGACAGCCTTCGACGCCATTGCCGAGTAACCGTACCCATCGTTCTCTTGGAGCACCTCACACTCGTAACTCCCGTCGTCGTCTCTGGTGACGTCGTTAATGGTCAGTATGTAACTGGTCAACATCCCCTCAGAGGTGTTCCTGCTCTCCATGTCTAGTTCGAATCTGGACGACATCATCTGGCCCATGGTGTCTCCCCACGTGATGGACCTCCGGTCCTTGCTCCAGACGATTACTTGGGATTGGTTCATGCTTCGGACTCGGCAGCTCAGTGAGGTGGAGTGGCCCTCCATGGGGTGGCTCGTTGATGCGTCGACCTGCACCGTCACGTCACCGTCTACCGGATAACTGACGAGCAGAAGAACGCCGACAAAAATACCATACCAACACACTCGAACCGCCATTTTGTTAATGTTCCTTGATGACTTTGCAAGTGTAAAGTCAGATATGATTTATGTCTTCAGAAGTCTCAACTTTTACAATCAGAATCCACTAAGCAGTATTGATTCGAAACTGTCCAATGTCAATAGTTTCAGGGCCGACTCGTCCGTGTAAAATATGCAAACAACTTCACGCATACAAAGTCTGGGACGAATTGGGAAAAGCCTGGCCTTGGGGGCCAGCCGTCAGCCCGTGACTCGACCCGTTGTCTGGTGAACACCTATTGTTCTTCGTCATTGAAACAGCTGAAGGTGACCCTTGAATGACAGGAATATTGGATGCGGCACCAGGCAGCGTCACATTCGTCTATTCGTTACCCTCTTCAGTGGGTGATGTTTCTGCAAAATTGAACATGAAAGAATGAAAGAGAAGAGTTATTTGTCAAATAGTGGATGAATGCGTCAGCCTTTGTTATACCTAGACCCAAAAAACAATAAAAACAAGGACACACATACTAAAACGACAAAGAACAATAACAAGGTAAAATGGGTGATATACATGTAGATGGAGTAGAAGCCATGCCGACAAGCCTGCACTTCAGGAACAAAATATTTGTAATGGATCTCACATCGTGTATGAAAAAGGTCAAATTATTTTGTTGCGTGTATTTCGTCGTAATGAATCGTCGATACATTTGCAAATGTATTTTCACGACGAAAATTGATTACGTCGTTGTTATTTCACGTCCCATTAGCCAAGTGAACAAGGGTTGCACAAAATTGTCCCTCACGGTCCAACCCCTTAAAATAAATCAGTCGGCCGTGTCTTTATCATCCATTTAAGACCGGCCACGTGACGGGCTCTCGACAAATAGGAATGGATTAACTGTCTTTAGGTTTTTATGAAACGCGATAAAATGTATTGTCATTTTCAGAAATCTAATTTGAGTTAACAAATTTGATCAAAATGCGTCACGTGTCATATGATTGACCCTGTGATCGTAAGGGAAACATGTCTTTAGTTTGCTCCTATGTTTAAAATGTACCAAATATGTAGAATCCCGTGAAATCATTTTCCCCATCTTTCAAGACCCGTGACCCAGCCTCAGGTAATCTGTTACGCTTTTGTCAATCTCTTAAAGGCCTTTCAATTCTGTTCATAATCACCTTGTTGGATCCGGGTTCAACAAGGAGATTGCCGGGGAACCAGTTTCACACTAGCAAGAACCAAACACGGCTATGATCCACGGGTCTGGCGCTCGATCTACATGACCAGGGTTGGGAAGCTGTACGCGGGCAGAAATTCCCAAATCTACAGCCGACCCGGACCGGCAACACCGTGGTGTTATACGGGTCTGATTCCGCTTACGGTGAACCCGTGTTGAATCAACACGATAAGGCGAGACAGTAGTGTGAAAACCTTTAGCTTTCAAGGGTGCTCAAGCGGAAGAAGGGATATTCAAAATATCCTAAATATAGCGTATAGGTTAAAAACTCAGCTAAAAATATAGTCATCTGCGTTATTTTTTGAATTCGTTTTTGTGGATTCAGCTGTAAAAACAGGCAATTTACGGTTATTAGATGTGATATAACCAAACGCCTCTTTTATTGAAGGCAATGTCCTTCACTACATGTACATGTATACTATAACCCTTTCTTCTTTACCTAAGAAGTCTTTAATACAAATTGTTATAATCTTCTCACTGACAATAATGTTCTAAATGCGATTAACTAAAAAAAATATCTCATTGTACCTTTATGATCTCTTAAGGGAAAATGTCTTTAGTTTGCTCCTATGTTTAAAATATATCCAATATGTAGGATCTCGTCAAATCATTTTTTCCCATCTTACAAGACTCGTGACCCAGCCTCAAGCAATCTGTTAAGCTTTTTTGTCAATTTCTTTAAGGCCTTTCAATTCTGTTCATAATCACCGTGTCGGATCCGGGTCCTACAAGGAGATTGCCGGGGAACCAGTTTCACACTAGCAAGAACCAAACACGGCCATGATCCACGGGTCTGGCGCTCGATCTACATGACCAGGGTTGGGAAGCTGTACGCGGGCAGAAATTCCCAAATCTATACAGCCGAACCGACCCGACAACCCCGGTGTGTTATATGAGTCTCGGACCCGTGTACAACACGGAGATTTTTCGTAGTGTGAAAAGGCCTTCTGATTCCGCTTACGGTGAACCCGTGTTGATTTTAACACGGGTATAATTATAGGCGAGATAGTAGTGTGAAAAGCCTTGGGTGCTCAAGCGGAAGAAGGGATATTCAAAATGTCCAAAATATAGGGAATAGGTTCAAAACTCAGCTAATAATATAGTCATCTTCGTTATGTTTTGAACTCGTTTTTGTGGATTCAGCTGTAAAAACAGGCAATTTACGGTAATTAGATGTGATGTAACCGAACGCCTCTTTTATTGAAAGCAATGTCCTTCACTACATGTATACCATATCACTTTCTTCTTTACCTAAGAAGTCTTTAATACAAATTGTTATAACTTTCTCACTGACAATAATCTTCTAAATGCGATTACCTCAAAAAAAATCTCATTGTACCTTTACGATCTCTAATCATGTTACCATTGCATCAATTTTAGTTCAGTTAATGGCTTTGGATTATGAAAAGTCAAGTAACCTTTTAAACATACGGCGGATGTGAAGTCATTGATCATTGTCTTGTATAACGTTTTACAAAATATCCGCACTTCTAAGGCCAAAAAAAATAAATTAGTCGGTCTCTGGTCAGACCAAAGTTCCGGAATTGATGCGGTGACGCGGTTTTTTGGGGTTTTGTTTGGTGGGTTTTTTTCAAGCTTGGATTGTACAGACAAGGTGGGTTCTATTTTGCTTTTGTTGTGTCCTCATATGCATTGGTGTCCTCCATAATTTGCCTTTGTGCCCTCCATCACTTGCCTTTGTGCAATTGCCCCATTCCTTGGTGCTCCTTGGTACAAAAATTTGAGGTGGTGCGGCAATAGAAACCGCTGTTGTAGATACCGCGGAAAATTTGGGGAAAAAATGACGCGCATGATTAAAATCGACGCGCGCGCTGACCAGAGACCGACTTTTTTTTTTGGCCTAACACTGTTTAATAAATTTAAAGATTGCAGAATCGTATCACAGGATTGACAACAGAGTATCTCAACATAAAAAAGTAAACAAAGAAAAATGTTCATTAGAAACATGCGTGTATTTTTTTGACAAAACTCATTTCATAGAACCAACGTGACTACATGCACACATATGGAAACAGAATTACGCCAGAAGAGAACAATGTAAATTGTTTGACAATTGATATTATTCCGAAAAGACAGGTCGTAAACTTTGCTGTTTTCCGAATTACAATGGAACAATGGTGTTTTCGTGGCTGACACGATTGACCTGAACTCATAATTCCCAACAATTTTTCAACAAGGTAGGTTTTATTTCATAAATTTGATGACCTCGAGGACACAATTAGGGATTTTGTTTATTCTGGAAGATACCTGTGATACCTCACACAAAATGATTAACAATGCTATTTTCCATTTTTAAAGAAAATCTGTCATCTATATTTAGAAAGAATGTTGAAAGAAAATCTGTCATCTATTTTTAGAAAGAATGTTGCATCCCGACGGAACTTTTTCACCATATATTATCTCAGTGAAGGTCAGTCATTGCAAAAATATTGAAAAGACATGAATATGGGACTGAGAACAATTTCCATTGTTTTCGTTAAAAAATACTTTAAAAATGCACTCGACTCTCCATAGACTTTGTACACAACCAAAGAAGTGGGATACTACATTCTTTTTAAATATTTTCCCAACTTCGCTCATATTTCTTTCAAAGTGCCAGCATGCAAGCAAACTTGCTAGCCTAGTGAAAATCAATCAAGGTATGTAATGATGTTTGATTTACGTACAAGTTGTTTCTGGGACGTCCGATTTCAGGTTATCATGAAACATGTGTATTGTGGGAAAGTGTTTAATTCTGGTTAGACCACAATAAAATCACCTTAAAAACAAGAAGTAAATATCAGACTGGGACCCTGAGTGTTGAAAAAACATGCAAAACGAAATCAGGCCAACTTTACTCACTCTTTAGCCAGCAAAATTCTCCAAAATTTTCATTGCGCAAGGAAAATATCCACAGTATTTCACCAACCAATTTGAAAAGGAGATTTTTCCCTCAATATTCTGCACATGAGAGGGTAACCCCATAAATGTGGCCTATTTACTGGACTGCCTCCGTAAACATAGGCCACACATCCACATGTACAAAAATCGTGTCGACTTTGCCAAATTTTGATTTTCACATTAAGGCTTAGTTTGTAGGGTTTTTTTTGCTTAAGAAGCATACTCAACCTCTTTATAGGCTAATCAGAAAGTGCTGCCTTTTTCAGATGTATATTTTTCGTGAAATTTCCAGATTCATTTTTACACGTTTGCGTATCAAAACTTCAACATGAAATTTCACAAAAATTAGACATCTGAAAAAGGCAGCACTTTCTGACTAGCCTATAAAGTGGGTGAGTATGCTTCTAAAGCAAAAAAATCCTACAAACTAAGCCTAAATGTGAAAATCAAAATTTGGCAAAGTCGACACGATTTTTGTACATGTGGACGTGTGACCTATGTTTACGGAGGCAGTCCAGTAAATAGGCCACATTTATGGGGCTAATGAGAGGGAAGTCAAGTGATTTCAAAATGAGGCTAAAGACTAGACTGGTACATGTCCAACCACGCATCATGGTCCAACTAATTTGAAAAGGGTGACATCTTCATTTGTTGTCATTAGTCTGGTGGCTGACTATGGAGAAATGTGTAGAAATAGAGACTAGTACCAGACATGCCAGATGTTTCTTTTGGCACTCTTGATTGATGCAGTATACTGAAGCGGTGTTGGTTGTTTCAGGTGCCCCGCGTCTATTTTCTTGTATTTCGTGTTTTCAATACCTTAAGTTTTGGGACTCTCATACACATTATTGATAGTCCCAAATTTTCGGACTAAGGAAACATATACTGTACATGTACAGTACAATACCACTTGTTATTATATCATAATCTCGATGATGGTTAGCCGTATGCCTTTGAAGATATTTTAAAAACCTTAATTCAGGAGTGGAAGCAACATATCCAAATTTGACTATAAACTACTTAAAAACGTCTATGACTTCAATTGGCTCAGTAATGTACACAACAATGTGGCGTACTGGATACATCATTCTTTCTTGTATCAAGGTTTAACCCAAATTAATTGAAATGTATAAAACTATATTTTAAATCTCAATCAAGATGATTTACACTCACCACTACATCAGATGAGGTGATTGCTAATCCCAATCATCAGTAGGTTCTCACCTTCGGGTGAAATCAGACGACTGCACCGCTGATCGACTAGGAGTTGTTGTGTACCCAAACACATTGAGCAAAGCATCCACTGGTTAACAGCTGCAACGCAACGCACACTTCACGGGGGTAAGCGGCATCCACTTTTGACAGAATCAAAAGTCTCCAATTTCAGGCCAAGATTTTGCTCTCCAAGACTAAGGCACTGGGGTCTCTGTTCACCTACATATCTCCATCGTGAAGACGGTAGTTTTACCCCAGTATGATTCTCACTCGAGACAATCTCTTTCCCCAAAGATTTCCTGGAATATCAAAAACTTCAAAATGGAAAGTTTTGGGCGATGCAGAAACAGACATGCACCACGTACGCGTTTACAAAAAGCCCAGCCCCAACCTGTTCGACTGAAGAATTTCCTACCCGCACTTTCTATATGCGGTCAGTGAGTTTGAATAGCAAAGCATCCCAGACGAGGGTTGGTTCTGCCGGATCCATGACAATGGGGCATTGAGCCTTTGTTGGCTCATTCAATAGGCCCAATAATGGGCCAGTCTTTGTACGCAGAACAGGGTTAAGTTTTTAAGGACGGTTACTACGGAGGCACGTGATGGGTACATGCTTGTAAGAAGACATGCACAAACCATTTGGTCCCTGAGCATTTGGCCACATTTACCTGATGGATGCAGACCGGATAATACATTCCCATAGGCATCTGTGATAAATATTCCCATTCCTAAAAAGTCGGGAAAAACACTCAGTACGCTCGCAGGTTATCAAGACATACAAAATGTACATCACATTAAACAAGAATAACCCTCTTTTACTTTCTGTTCGATTTGGTCGGGGTTGACCCGTTGGGCGATTTTTACGAGCCCCAGTGTCCCAACCTCGTCCCCAGGGTGTCGAGCAGTACGCGCCCACCACTTCTTGCTCTCTCACCCTGGTATTGGATCATTTGCATGTGCAAGATTTTTGAACACCTATGCAAATGAGGAAAAGTCTGGTGCCTGGATATGCGTTACACATTAGCGTTTGTTTTTGTATGCGGTGTCTGGGGTAAAAACAGAGTCAATTCGTAGCAGCGCGAGCAAGGCGTGAGTTACGAAAACATGATTTTTGAAATCAAACTGTTACGATCTTATCGAGACAACATGCAGTATCATATTTCATATTAATATGAGCAAATTGGAAAGGAAATTAGTATTTTCGAGAAGGCGTGGACGAATGATCGCGAAAACACGTACTGCACGTTGTGAATAATAGCACCAAGTACACGATAAAAATCCATTACTAGCCAATTGCGGTATCCAATCAGGATACAGGAAGAAAGTTTCCTATCCAGGGTTTACTATTGGAAACGCGGTTGGAAATAAAGTAAGCACTGGGGACGAGGTTGCCAGTGTCCACACTTGAAATTGCGTAAATGCAAACTTGATAGTGTTCAGTAACAGATTATCTTTTCCAGACACTCGTCAAAGTTCAGTGCCTTCCAATGGGTTCATACTTAAGTTCCCCAATACCTATATAAATTATGTTCCCCAACCCTAACCCCAAAGGATTTTGGGGAACATCGGTATTGGCGAACATCGGGTAGACCCTCTTCCGATCATAATGTAGTGATCTATGAAGGTGACTCGGACTCGTCCTTCATGACTCAGACTCAGAAGAGGTGAGTTTATGTGACTCGAAAACAAGTCTGCCTCATGCCCAGATTAACAAAAGGAAAAGAAGAAGAACTTATACAAACTGTAGTATCAGCTTTTTCAGAAACATTATGACCAGCAGATACAGTGAACTGTCGGAACAATGAAACATTGGGTTCGTCCTTTTTCAGTGACATGTATATTGATGAGCCGAGCAATGAGTCATCTTCTCATCTTAACTAATATCCCCACTCCAAAGAAATCAGACCTTTAGTTCAGCACACACGCCCTATAGGATGCAGAGAAGGGGGTGTGCTGGACGGTTGCTTGGTGAAGGTCCCCCCCCCCCCTTATCCCCTGTTAAACTGTTTCATCCATGTTTTATGCAGTACTTGCGGTGAGTTTATGTGACTCGAAAACAAGTCTGCCTCATGCCCAGATAAACAAAAGGAAAAGAAGAAGAACTTATACAAACTGTAGTATCAGCTTTTTCAGAAACATTATGACCAGCAGATACAGTGAACTGTCAGAACAATGAAACATTGGGTTCGTCCTTTTTCAGTGACGTGTATATTGATGAGCCTAACAATGAGTCATCTTCTCATCTTAACTAATGTCCCCAGCCAAAGAAATCAGACCTTTTGTTCAGCACACACGCCCTACTAGGACGCAGAGGAGGGGTGCGCTGGACGGTGGGGGTGAAGGTTTCCCCCTTATCCCCTGTTAAACTGTTTCATCCATGTTTCATGCAGTACTTGCATAAAAAGAACATTATTTGCAAGAAAGCTTGATCGAGAAAAAAGGCTCACTCGTGGATGTCGAGCCATTTCACGAACGAGATGTCAACAATCCTATTTCTTGGAGATATGTACAGGTAACCAGGTTCATTGAATTTGGATCCTTTGTTTCTTATAACCATGGAGTTATAACCAATTCGAAAAACCAAAGAAAAATCCTGAACCTCGTTTCCACATGACATAATCATTGCTGCCTTTGTACTGGGTAATGCTGCCTTTGTACTGGGTAACTCCCTTTTCATTCTAAAAGGCCGAATATTTCGCAATTCGTGAAACGGGAAGTCCAAATATAAATCCAACGACAACCTTCCAAACTCCTTTCAGTATGTATACAACGATAAACTAAACACGACAAATAACTTTTTATCACTTTAGGTGTAAGCCTGTCATGCGTTGCAGTCAGATTTGCATGTGAATGGCGTGTTTGTTCGGTGTGGCCCATACACCAAAATGCAGAGCTCAACCGGTGGACAAACAACATGCAGTCGACATGCCTTTCACGCTTTTGTTGTATTTTTTATTTGAAGAAAGCATAGTGATGTCGCAATACTCGATGTACTGATCGCGCTTTAAAGATGTATTTTTACGTGCTTTTCAACAAATTCAATTTTCTTCTCATGAAGAATCTTTTGTTGGGGTCACCCTGTAGACTGGTCTCCGATCCTCATATCACATGATAGGAGGTAGGAAATATTGGACAAGTACATCTATAAATCGGTGATTTCGCAACATTCGATGTACCGATCGTCCATGGGGAAGTTATACGGCTATTAGTAGACATATGACTCATTACTATATTATGGGTGCTTTTCTGAGGCACCTGAGTTAACTTATTTCTAAATTTTATTTGATTCAAAACAATCCGTTGGGTAAATAAACTTCAAATTGCACCTCTTCTTAGTCCAGAAAATGGTCGAGTAGAGGAACATTTTGAACATGTAAAATTTTAATTAACATTTAAAAAATTTTTTTTTTTATTGTTTCGTGTGAAAGTATTTCATATCCTGTGATGTTTAACACTAGTGTAGACGTTGTTTGCAAATAAAAATGTGTCTTTTGTCGTTGCCACCGACAAGTCCAATTTGCACGAGCAGTAATGGGATTTCCAAACAGTAATCATAACACGAAAACTAAGGACATGTTGGTCAAGTGGATTATGGTTGAACGGTTCGACCGACTCAGTAATGCAAACAATTTTGTTATTCGAAATAATGTGTTGACTTCGTTGTGACCATCACAATCTTTTTGAGCCATGTACTTTCAAATTAGCCCACAGTTTTAATCAAGTCAATCTTATAGGCTAGGTCTAAGGTTACAGCTGAACATTGAATACCTGTGTTCATTTGCATAGCCGGTCACGTGGATTCGGGACTGGGTGACTTGAGATCGCGGACTTTACCCAACGCTCAGTGGCGTAGCCACGGGGGGGGGGGGGGGCGACAGCCCCCCCCCCCATCCCCATGAAACCTTGTCGCCCCCAGTCGCCCCCCCCCCCCTCCACTGAGATTTTGAGTTTCTAAAAAAATTATCATTGATCTACATGACGCCCCCCCCCCCCCCATGAAATGTTCCAGCCCCCCAGCGTCCCCCACTGATAAATTCCTGGCTACGCCACTGCCAACGCTCTACTGGCAATGCCATTGGGATGCAGACCTGTAAATCGAATCACATAGACCTCAGTGATAATTACGAGTACATGTATTTCCAATTTTTTTTTTAAATACTCGCAACTCTCCAAGGTGTTTGAGACACCCATCAAATTAAAGCTTATCTCATCATGTTTCGTGTTCTGTTCAATTTTGGGGTGGTTTTTGATGAATTTTGGGAGGAAATTTCATCCAAAAATGATCACTTCTAAAAGTAGTCCTGTGGCCATCGCCATTTTGAAAAACGATGCCTGCGCTCCATTGCAAAATAGAGCAATTTTAGGGCCCAATTTTATCCGAATTTCACAGAAATACACGCTCGCACTCCTGTGCACGGCTAGGCTTCCACCCATGTTCTTCTTCTTCCTTTTTTTTCTGTTTACAAACCTTCAAGTTTATGGTCCACAAAATGCACTAATAGCGAATAAATTGAGGGCATACAAATCGTGATTTGGCCACGTAGGCAATTCTGGGCCTATTTACAGGTCTGAGGTCTGCACCATTAGCCTTTTTGAGATACATGTATGGTGGACACAATATACGAGGGCGCTATTCGGATCGGGTAAGTCTTTGTATTTACCAAATCCCAACAGCGACCTCGTCTTGTGTCCATCATAGTTATCTCGATAACGATGGTGCCCCGAGTTGGGCATTTGGTCAGTCTGAAATTGGCAACCCTCACTTCTTGGATTGGGTAGCCATGGAGGAATAAGAAGGAGGGGTATAGGTGGCCAGCGATAAAATGGATGCAGTACACCCATGGAGCATTTTCCGAGTGGGAATGGTGCATTAGTCTGGTTCCCAGACCAAAAGATTCTGACTATTCCTGATGAATCTTAGGTCAGGTAGCCTCCGGTGATACATTGTATTACAATTTACCTCATTTCCGAAAATGTCCGAAGTTTGCCATATTGATTTCGTCGACAATCGGATAGCGCCCGAGTATTTCCGAGTATAATATAGGTTTAATTAACTGCTAATTGCTTATTAAATTTGTTTTAAAATGATTTGATAATTAATATTCATTGGTTTCATTTAGAAAACTTGAAATTCAACTACGATTTTGGGCATCAAGTATACTCGGATCGTATGGTCTTCATTCGGCTCTGCCTGCTGACAGAGCTATTTGGGTCCCTAATTTTGAACATTCCAGATCAACATTAGTCAATGTTATCTTACAGTAATATCAAACTGTATTATCATAATTGAATGATATTTCGAAGCAAGTGATTTATTTAAAAATTTGATCAGAACATTAAAAGCTATAAGTGATAAAGCGAAATCGGAAATGAAGCCGAGCTTTAGAAAAGGACCATCGATGTCGTCATGTTTATTTTTAGCCACGGAGGCTGCCTGACCTACAATTTTGACTTGAGCGTCGGGAATAATTGTCAGGTCTGGGAACCAGACTAATGGTGCATGCATCACATTACGTTGTGTCAGTACGTCGATAGAGGGGGTACTTGAAGTCAAGGTAACTGGTAGGTCAGTCCTACTCGTGTTAAACATGTAAAATGAAATTATTCCATTTTGTAGGCAGTCAGCTGATCGCCGGCAATATTTTCCACATCCGCTTTTTTGCAAGACTTCTAATGTTGGTGGATTCATTTTAGTTTTTACATGTGTATGGGTCGGTTTTCACATAATAATTGACATAAATAACTACCGTGAGCATAACCTTCGTATTTAATTGAAGTACGCCCTCTGTTGATTACATCAAGGCTTCCTACTCATGTCACGACAGCTTGGGGTGCATTTAGTTAGTTAGCTTAACCCAAGAAAATCATAATCTACCAGTCCACATCGTTAAACTGAGGATGTCAGTTTAATCAAGATGACTGTCTGAGATTAAAACAAGAACGATTTTCGTTCCATACCTGCACGCATTGGGCATCAATGGGTTTTCCTGCTTGTGGCTCGGTCATCCAACATGATAATACAAGAGTTGTAATAAGTACAATGAACTCCTATGCAAACATACATTCTGTGCCAAGTTGCCCTTTCAGTCAAAATCAATCAAGTGGCTGTTTTGTTTTCAACAGTTAAGAATTCCCAGCCTACATAGGCTATATAGCAGGATTGACTGACCGTGACTGTTTATGTAACTACAAAGCTTGCTTTGACTGTGAGTGATTGATAAGCCAGCTGTGCTTACAACTTGCCTGCTTTGTCTGTTCATGGTCTGTTGACTGAATTAGACTAGTCACAGTACTTGCTTGATATGATCTGACTGTTGGTGACTAGCCTGTGTTAAAAAGTATAGCAGAAGAAGTGGATGAACATTTTGACTGTCTGTGACTTTTTAAATTAGTATATAGAAGGGTTAATGGCGGATCTAGGGGGAAGTGAGTTGCAACACCCTGCCCCCCCCCCACCCGTTCATCCGCTGACTAATGTTATACTACTAATGGGGCCACTAAATAGTTAAATGCTTAAGTTCGTACCTTTATTCTCAAATTGAGATTAAAATAATGATCCAACAATATATCTTTTTTTAAATACTGAATGCCCCACTGAAAGTTGCATTCTCAAACTATGCAATTTCCTTTTTTTTTCTTTTCCAACAACCGTGTCGTATTGTGTTTGATTTTTCCAGCTTCATTCTCTGAATTTAGTTGAATGACGGTGCTCATGAGGATACATCTTTTGGCAAGATTTAACTTGATTCAGCACGTCAGAAAGTCTAGATTTCAGAATGTCTATGTTCTTTCGAGAAAGTCTGGGTAATTGTTTAGATTCCAACAAGTCGGAAGTCACAGCAAAATCCCACATTCTCTCCCAGATATTTCCCTCGCTTTGAAGTCTCTTCAAATTGTCCACAGTGCTGAGTCTGAATACACACAGGGATCGCAGCATCTCTGCGTGGAAGTGGCCGTATCTGTCCAGGAGACGGTAGCTGTGGATAAAACTCAGCTCGTTGTCAAGGAAATACAGCTGGCCCGTCACCATGGATTGCTCCAAGTTGTGTACGGGACTGTCCATGATGAAGCTGTTCCAGCGCTGGTTCACCAGCATGTTCACCATTCTGTCCATGTTCCCGGTCAGGTAGTCCAAGACGATCATGTCCGACCACTGGACGAGCTGGGAGATTTCCGAGGCGCTGCCCAGTCCGATGATATCCGGGGGATGCAGACGATTGTCGAGTTTCTGAAAGACCTTGGGCAAAAAGGCGGGAACGAGATTCGGAATCCATTGGCTGAAAATGACGCGGTGCCCGTCCAGCCAATTAGCGCCGGTCATATTCGTCCTCACGGCGTCCCACCGGCTACCAGTGGCGTTTATAACGCCGACTGTGGTTGGCGGAAGGTTTTGGATGTGTAGGATCTGTGACAGCGAGTAGGCGTAAATTTCACCTTGAATGAGATCGAGACTGTTCCGATAGCGACAACAGACTTGGCAGCCATTTTGAAAAGTTAATAACCGGTTCTGTGAATGACCGCATCCGGGAACCATTCTTATAACTGAGGTTTCTCTGGTCATTTTGGCTAATTCTGTGGCACTAATTTCTCTGAAATCCCTTTGAATTGAAGCCTCTGCCTTATTACTCCAGAATATCCCATGAATGTAGCCTGGAACAAAAACACTGTCTTGAATTACGTCCGGCAATTTTTCCTGCCCGAGAACAACACTTTGTTCCGAGGTCGAGACATGAGTTACTCTGATCAAAGATGCATTCATTTGATGGCTATGATTTACCAAAACATTTAATTCCCGAAGTCTCTTAGAGAAGGACAAAGTGCCATTTGTGACACCTGCTTGTGGTTTTGTGCTCCCAAGACTGGATTCTCCCTTCGAACTTTTCTCCAAGTTGATGGCGGAATACTTTCCCCGAGATGTTGGCGAATACCCATGAAATGGATACACCGTGTTCACCATAAAGCAAGCTGCCAGAATTCCCATTATCAAAAGAAATCTTGCGAGACAAGACGCCGCTACCCTGCAGAAATGTCTTCTAAGCAAAGAGGGTCGCATTGTGTCAAGCTACACAGTTGTAAGACTTCTTATCAATTATTTTGGGATCACAGTTGGCCTGGAGTAATGACACACATTAATTCGGTTGCACATTTTTCCAAAGATGCCAGAATGTGTTTACCATTAAAGGGAATATACAACATTTGCAAACATCGAAAAATAAAACTACCAAGTTTTTGCGAAATACCTTAATAGGATGTTGGTAAATGACAGTCTAAAGCATCCTGTAAAATTATGGCACCTGGTATACTGTCATTTTCAAGAAAAGTGGTATTTTTGTATCAATTTCCAACGCTGATCGGCCGATCAGCGTTGGAAACAACTGGCTTTTTTTCAAATACTGGCCCCAATTGACCATTGCACTTGTTTGCAATCGATTACAAACCCATGAACGGGTACGAGCCAGCTAGACTGGTTCCCTGACCTTACAATTCCCCAATGTATGTTAACTGCTCTGTTTCTTCTTATATGGAGTCAGGTAACCAGACTACAGGAAAATGATCGTTTTTCTTGGTTTTTATAGCATTTTCGAACCCAAAACCTCCAAAAAGTCAGTGTAACTATATTTGCTTTATATTTCTAACCCCCCAATTCCATCCATATCTGAAAATTACAGCAAAAGCAAATGATGTATATTCCCTTTAAGCATAATGTTTCTTGAGTTACGGTTCTTGAGTTCTTGAGTTACACAAAGCGTTGTGATTCTTCATGAGGACTTTCGGGAAGCTACGCTCCACCAGAAACGATGTCAGGTGATTCATCCAACTTCCTAATTTGCAGAGAGCTTTCTTAAGTCCTTCCACCACAAGGGTCGCTAATCATTTCTAGTTTTGAAAGTATACTACTGCGGCTTGAAAGGGACACTTCTAGTCGTGTACTTATTCTTAACTATGACGTGTTTTTTTTTATATTGTTGAGGTAACAATTGCAGTTGCCTTCTTTGATATATTCGTATTGATAGTATTCATCAAAGAAACTTACAGGTTGATGGTCCTGCCACGTTAATCTTGCTCATCACCTTACAGGCCTACACAGCAAAGATGGGGATCATCCTGGATTTGAAATGATTCCGCTATAAAAAATGTATGTAAAAGTTGATTTCTTTCTGCCACCGAAGGTCACTGTGCGTAACATCTCTCTCTAATCCGGGGATTACATGTAGCGCCAAATCCTCTTTGGTATGCCTTCCATCGATTTTGTGTCTGCTCTTTCTCATCTCACCATCATGGTTTCCCTGTTCTTAGTGTCAAGAATTCATGTGGAACCGGCTGGACCAGGCCCCATGCGTTGAGTGGATGGGACACAGCGCTCCAAGCTCAACTCTGCTTGTTCACCATCACTTGCGTGCAGGACGCCTTACTCGGCACACGCAACAGTCGTTGGCACGAAATTTAACAATCTCGGGCTGTCGTGGGAATCTGTAATTATCAAAAACAAAATACTGTTTCACTCCTCAGTGTAATGAGTAGCAATCTGCAGAATATGTCATAATCACCTCGTACAATTAAACCAAACGGGTAAAACAAATCACAGTTTTTTGGTCGATAGCGCCAATAAATTGGGGGTACCACTTTTGTAAGTCTCAGTAACAGAAGCGGATGATCACCATATTAAAGGCCTATACCTTTGGCTCATATTGATGTGTAGCATCGCTCTATGGAAGCCGTTTTTATACTTCTTTGGTTTCATGTTAAAGACTGTTCAGTTAAGAGTGCATGTATATTAAATTTAGTATCTATGGGAGACATTTCATTTTAGGGCCATGCATGCTGCCCAAACTCATGGCAAAAGCTTTAAACTTGGTACATGTGTACTATTGCATGGGTGCAATAAAGAGAGATATCTAGCTGCCACCACAGGCAGTTTGTACGTGTTTCTACCTGACATCCATTTCCCCCTGTTCCTTGGGGCTCTTCAAAAGATTAAATCAACAAATGCATGTACTGATTGAATAAAGGCCCTAATGCATTGAAGAGGCTTGTTTTTATGCGGGTAACTGTTCATTTCATTATGATATTCTCATTTTTGATTATGAGCAACCTATTAAAATGTATACACACGGAGCCATTCAACATACAGGTAGAAAATGTGCTCTTTTCGAACTTAATAACAGAATTCTATTCAATTCAATCGAAATACATGTAGACATTTATTTCCATATACAGCAAATACATGCAAAATAGTGGTGCAGGATGATCCCTAGCTGGATGCAATACATATTATTCTAATGGCCTGCTTTTGAATAAGTGTGTCTGTTGCTAGATTGTGCCAAAACAATATTACAAAAGTTGAGGTAAGGGGTGACTGTTCTATGTTCCGACACCCCTATGTTTCGACAACCCGCACATAAGATTGTGTTACACCCGGTTAGGGTTAGGGTTTGGTTTAGGAAATAGGAATAGGAATATGTGCAGTCGGAACATATATGTTTCAGAACATATAGGGGTGTCGGCAAATAGAGGTGTAGCCGAGGTAAGGCAGGTTAGTGTGATATAAAGGGAATAGAGCGGAGGTAGGTAGGAAATATTGAAGTTTAGGCAAAACACCAGTTTTCCGGGAAATCGTCTTAGTGACGGAAGAAATGTGGTCTTTCCAGTCGAGTTTCTCATCCACGATGACACCTAAAAACTTGGGTCACCCTGAAAATGTGAACACTATCGTTAGCAAAAGTAGATGAAGACTTGTTTCGCGTTGTCTTTTTTTGGACTTTTCTCATCATTTCTGAACTCAAAATGGGAAAGTTTATTTTTAAAGTCTGAATCATGAAATTTAATTGAGCAGAACTGTTCATTGAAAGAAGCCGGAAATGCGGGGGTTGTGCTAATCAATGTAAACTGTCCATGCATGTTGTGTCTAATGCATGGTCCATGGTCCATCATTGGTGGCTGTGTGTGATTGCATCGTAGATCACATCTGCATTAGGCCTAGATCCCTTAGAATCGCCTGTGTATTTTTTTTTGCTGTGAACAATGGTATGATGATAGCAGACAGCAAAACGAATTTTAAAAATGTGGATGGTGCAAAAATAAGGAAACCCACTTTTGACAGGAATTTTACACTACTTACTTAACTGATTTCTACTAGTTTCTTTTATAATGTAGTGAAGTTTAGCTCTTCAATCATACGTGGTGACAATAATCTTTTAAAAAATCGCAAGAATAGTGTTATTATGCTAATTTGAATACAAGTCACCAAAATCACTGTTTTCCACGTGTAAGTCTTGTGTAGTGTTTTTTTGTCTTCAAGTCGAGCTCCAGAGCTCAGTCACTGCAAGAGGATGGAAAAAAGCAATCCGTGGGCAAACAGGTTTGGCACATGAAATGTTTAAACTACAATATATTAGAGACAAAATATGAATTTTCAATCACTTTTTTCGTCACTTATGTTTAAAGATCAATATTTTAATACCATTTAATTGAATTTTTGAAATATGCCCAACAAGTAGGTGATAATTGCTGTCAAAGGTGGGTTTTCTTCTTTTTGCACCATCCTGTACCGTGCCGTGTATTTTGTCGTTGGGAATCTATATAAGCTGTCACATACACACACAAAGATACTTTATTTTGTTATAATACCAGTGTCATTATTTTAACTAAGTCAGTAAATTAATGTACATGAACTTACCAGTCGTTACAGGTTAACTTAATTGTCAGCAGGAGGTAATCGGTCTCGCATCGAGAAGGCTAGGCCTATAGTTGAATTGATTACAACCGTCAATTATCGTTAAAACGTTTAGTCGTGTGCACTGGCAGTCGTCGACCCAAGTTGATTGGTGTGCCCCAGTACATCCTCCCACAGCACCGTTCAACCGTAAACGAAAGAAATGAACTAGAGTTGCAAACATACAGAAACAATAATTAGCCGGAAGGTGCAGCTGCGATGAAGATTCAGTGAACAAAGTTCGATCCTTCTCTTGGCCTTTTACTAAGTTTGAGTTTGTGCGTTTTCAGTGGCCTTTTGTGTGTTTGTTTCAGTGGCCCAACTGATGGTGTTTCAACTCAGGTTGTACTTTTCTGTGGGTCGAGTTTTGGCAGTGGAGGGGCGAACTTCAATCGGACGGTCTCCAAAACAGCCTGCATTATTTTCTTCCAACGGATGACATAATAAGCACGACGATGACATTTCTGACGATGAATGAAACTTTAAGTCAAAGGACACGAGGTGAGTGACCGCCTTATCTGTGTTTCTGCAGGTATACAGGTATGCATTTGCACAACGTTCAGTTCGTCATCCACTGTATGTGTTTTCCTCCATGCATATCACGTCACACGTATTAAGGCTCTGTGACTTAACTGCGGAACATGTAGTAATTTGTACAGTAATAATCACTGTGGGATTTATTTTTTTACGGTCGTGTAATCACGCGGCAACTCGACCGATCAGCACTATTGTCTAGCGCCATCTAGGGATCAATCCTGGCCAGTCAAAAATAAAATGTCGTTGTAGCAATCTGCGTATATACATGTAATTTACCCGATCTGCTGTTTTGCATTTTTCCCCGTACTTATATTTTCCCAAACGTTTCAACACAACGTCAATTTGGTAACACTGTTATAGACATGAACACCTGCAATAATATTCGCAATTTGTAACGCACAGTAACTATTTCTGATCTGTTTAATAAAAATAATCATCGAAGTGATTCATAATAACTGAAAAACAATTACACAATGTCAAAGAGACATTATGGGCTATGTAGGCATTTAAATGAAGTGGATTTATAGCCTCTGTGATCCACTCTTTTTTCTTTTTTTTTTTTATATTTAAAACAATTTTACACTCCAGTTTTAATCAGCAATGTCTTGTCTTAGCAAGTCTTTAGAAGTCTGTTAATGATAATGAATAATTTCTCCCGTTATGATTTGTACCTTTTAATTTATAATCTAAAGATGTATTAATTGTATTTTTAGTATTTTTTTAACTAAGATACCCGTTGTAAATTTGAATGTTTTCTGCCTGTGGGCTGCTTTTAATTCAAATAAATAAACCATAATAATAATAATAACAATTTAAATTAAGCGGAATTTCAAGAGAAGGATGTGTGCTAAATGAAATAGGTTTTTTTGTTTTGTTTTGTTTGGAATGTTTAGTCTCTTGTGCGCACACGTATGTTGGCATTT